TGAAGAAGATCGTGCAAAAGAGTATGAGCCTCTTGGTTCAGAAATTTCTTCGGGCAAGATTGGCCCAAACACGCCTAACTATGTTATGCGTTCTTATTGTCAGCAAGAAGCTGATAAGTGCGACCGACAGATGAAGGCCGCTATTGCTGCTGGTGATGACAAGTCTTTCGACGAGTTGTCTAAGCAGAAAGAAAGATGGTTGCTGAAGAAGCAGCATTTTCTTGAGGATGATGGAGTTGGTCCTTCGTCATCCAAGGGCAAGTCTCAAGGCAAGAAGGCTTTGAAAGATATCGTTCACTTGCCTACGTTCAAGAAGGATGTGCCACCCTTGCAGATTCAAGGTGAAACCAAAAAGAGAGACCGCCATGACAAGCGTCATCCATTGTACGCCTCTGTCGATGACTTTTTCGAGGACTTCGAGACGTACCTTCATGTCAATGAGGTACCCAAGGAAGATCACTGGGAACAGTGTATTTTCTTTACTTGTGCTCCCGAGAAGAGGTCTTGGTTGGCATCCATCATCAAGCGTGCCAAGGATAATACGTACGAGGGTTTCAAGTTGGAACTCAGAACCGATTTATCCAGCCCGTACGCTGAATTGTACCATTTGATGCATATCAGGTATATGCAACAAAAGAAGATGAAGCTGTCTTTGCGCCAATTCGCTTTGGCCATCAACCAATATGCCCAACGGCATCATATTCCGGATGACAAGTCTCCTTGCTAATGGACTTTGTGTGCAACGTTGCGGATCAATCTCGTAAGCCCATTTGGGATGTTGTCATGAAGTTTCATGAGGGCCACGACCGTTTACCTTCAATGAGTGAGATGGTCAAGCTTGCTGGCACTGTAGAAGATGCCAACAAGATGTCAAGAGCTTCGGATCAGAGCAAACCTTGGGCTGAGGTAGAGAATGATGATGATGATGATCACCAGACAGTGAATCTGGCAGCGACAATTCTGATGATGAAGAACCCACTCGCAAGCGTAAACGCAACAACAAGAGTAAGGGTAACAAGAAGGCCAATGCTAAAAAGGGCAAAGGCAAAGGAAAGGACAAGGGCAAAGAAAAGGCTCTTTATTGTCGAATCCATAAGCAATGACCATGACACTGACCATTGTTATTCGGTGGTGAAACTCGCCAACTCCAAGCATGGTGTTCAAAGCTAAATAGCCCAAACGCAACAGACTTTGCGACTTCTGCCACGAAGTTCCTTACCGCAAAGGTCACTGCGTACGCCACCTATGCTTGAATACAACGCCAGGAAGGATGCTGAGGCTAAGCAGCAGCACAAGAAGGTTATGGCAAGATTTGCCGCTCTCAAGTATTTGGGCAAAGAGCACAACGAAATCGATGTCGACGAGCTTATGGGCAGCTCTAGCAAACAATGTAAGAATGACATTTGGGTTAGAGCAACGCAAAAGGAAAAGACTGACGAATGCCTTTTTTAATTCCTATCATGATACAGAATATAGAGATCATGGCCTTGCTCGATACGGGGTTGCACCCATTCCCTTGTCAATAAAAATTTCGTTGTCACCAATAACTTTGAGATTACTCCTACTGATGGTTCAATCCATTTAGCAGCCGATGGTTTGACAGTGCCTAGAACAGGCTCCATCAAAGATGTGAATGTCGAGTACTCTGATAAAAATTTTCTCATTCGTTCGAGGTCATGGAATTACCAGATCCCGAGATCCCTGTTTATTTGGGTATGGATATTTTATCCAAGATGGGAATTGGCTTTACAGGGTTGACAAGTGCGTGGCCTAATATGGTTGCTCCTAGGCGCGATAGCACTGTCATTGATCCCGAGCCTTATGAACCCAACAACTCACCAGCAGGCACGAATGAGCAGAGAGATGCTTTCTTTTAAAAAAGATTGATCCACTCATTTTAGATAACAAAAGCGATTCCAAAGACGTCGTTTTGTACTTTGCCGGAATCGGTAATTACCTTGGATACGTACAAATCATCCACCTGTATACAAACGACAATATCCAATTCCTATTGCACTCGAGCCTGTGTTGCAAGAAACGATTGATCAATGGCTAGAGGATGGTACCGTAGAACCAGCAACCATTAACTCTTCGTGGAACTCTCCTCTGACCTTTGCACCTAAGAAAGATGCATATGGCAATTATACAGGCAAAAGACCTTGCCTTGATCCACGCCACATTAATCGTTTGATCGCTTGATGATAGGCATCCATTGCCTCTCATTCGTGACATCTTTCACGGCTTGAATGGTGCTTCGGTCTTTACGACTTTGGATTTAAAGAGTGCTTTTCATCGATTTGAGATCCATCCTGATGATAGGCATAAAACAACCTTTACGGTCAAGAAACAGCAATACATGTTTAGAGGCTGTCCTTTCGGGTTAAACCCATTTCATCCAAATTCCAAAGGGGTTATGACATCGTTTTCAAGCCCATGGCAGATTTTGTGTTGTGCTTTGTTGACGATATTGTCATCTTCTTGCTACCATGGAAGAGCACATTGAACATGTTGCTCGCGCTATCAAGGCTCTGACGAAAGTCAACCTGATTTGAATGCTGATAAATGCCACTTTGCCCAAAAGGCAGTATACCTGTTAGGTTTTTGTGTGTCTGAAGCCGGCTGTACGTTGGATCCACGCAAATTAACCAACATCCAAAGTTGGCCTATCCCAAAAACAGGCAAGGATATTCAGCGATTCATGGGTGTAGTGAACTACTTTAGAGAGCACGTTCCCAAAATATCCACACATTAACTGCTCCTTTGGATGAATTACGCAACGTCGACAAGCTCGATGATGAATGGACAGATGAGCACACTGATGCTTTTATTGCTATACAAAAGATCTTGACGAACACCCCGATTCTACGCTATCCCAATATGGCGTATCCTTTCTCGTGGCCACTGACGCCTCGAATGCGGGTATCGGTGCGGTGTTGTATCAGGTTATTGATGGTGAAACTCGGCACATTTCTTTCATGGCTCGTGCACTGTCGAAATCTGAACGTAACTATTCAACTACAAACCGAGAATTGCTTGCAGTGGTATACGCATTGGAAAAATTCCACGACCTACCTGTGGGGCAATACCCTCTATACGGATCACAGAGCACTTTACCTATTTGCACACCCAAAGAGTTGCTACACGCGTATCGATGATCGGCTGGTTGATCACATCCTCGAGTACAAGTTTGATGTCGTGCATTTGCCAGGCTTGGATAACATCTTGCCTGATCAGCTGTCTCGCCTTTTTCCCACGGCAAAAGAGCTGAGGGGGGTGATGATAACGACGATATTGTCGTAAGAGCTGCTAAGGCAAATGATGTCGACGATGACTTCGGATGACATGTTCGAACCACCAGAAGGAGAGCGCAAAGATTTACTGATAAAGTATCACCTCTTCGGTCACTTTGGTGCAGCTGCAATTGTGAAGGCGTTGCATAGCGACGGTATCCATTGGCCAAATGTCCACAAAGATGCTGTTGAAGTTGTAAAACAATGCAACGAATGCCAAATGTCCAACATTGTGAAAAAAGGGTATCACCCATTGCGTTCCATCCACTCATTCCTACCAGCAGACCACTGGGCAATCGATTTGGCAGGACCATTTAGACCTACACATGACAACAATACATACTTATTAGTCATGGTTGATGTATGCACAAGATATTGCGTACTTAGACCTCTGCCAAATAAGCAGTCTGATATCATTGTCAAAACCTTGATCCAAGTGTTTCATGACGGCTTTCCGAGATATTTCTGGCACGGAGTCAATGGCACGGAATTTGTGAATCAGCTTGTAAAGAAATTGGCACAAGCGACTGGCTTTGACCATAGATTGGCAACTCCTTATCACCCACGAGCAATGGCGTAGCCGAACGTTGGGTGCAAACATCGGTAAGGACTTTGAGAAAACTGATCAAAGGTGCTCAAGGACTGGGACTTGTTCGTTCCAGGTGTGCAACTTGCTATCAATGGAAAGATATCAGGAAAGGCATGACTCTGCACCCTTTTCCCCTGTTTGCAAGGAAGATGAATACCTCTGCGGATTATCGAACCGAAACAGATGTGAGAGCACGACAGAAGAAGAGTTGCAAGAGAGATTGGAAGCATGGAGAACGTGGTATTTCCAGTAATCAAATGAGAAGGTGTTGGCCATGCTAGAAGCAAGAAACAAAGCCTCTCAATGATAAGTATCATATCGTTGATCTCCCTATCAACAGCCAAGTAGTGGTGATCGTACCAGAGAACGAAAGAAGTGCTCGATACTCCACATGACGGTCCATTCACAGTTGTCAGGAAGACACGAGGTGGTAGTTATGTGTTGAAGGACATCAGGGGAGGCAAACTTGGTAGAGATTACGCAACTATCGCAGCTGAAGTTGATATCCCAAGACTTACGACTTGCCATGTGACGATATATACGTTGTCGATCGTGATTGTTGCCTCATGAGAGTGGCTCCTGGCAAGTACAAATACTTGGTAAGATGGGAAGGCTATCGTGAAGAGGACGACACTTGGGAACCCGAATCGTCGTTTACAAACGTACACACCATTCACGATTACTGGAAAAGACTTGGTGAACAACCTGAACCAAAGCCTGAGAACACGCGTGGAAAGAGAAAAAGAAACGCAAAAGGCAAAACGAGTTCTGGGACAAATGACGCACCTCGCAAAAACCACTCACGCAAAAGACAACGGAACAGCAATCCGAAACAACCCGTGCGTAAATCACTCCGCCTCCAATAAGTGTTAAGCATTTCCCCACACATTCTCATACTCTCTCTTTTCTTCCTTTTTCACTTACACACACTACTTCTTCGCGTTATAATGAACCTGGAGGAGGGTGATGTGGTGAACCAGTGATTAAGATCGGTCATTATCACATCTCAGACAAATCATCCAAGTGAGACATGTCCACTTGTAAGCCAGCATCTCACATTATTCACCTCTCAATCAACGCTAACCCATGTCAACAGCCTGCCATTGGATTAAAACTTTTTCTATAGCCGATGTATAAATACGTAGTTCAGACATTAGATTGATAGGTTGATTCTTTTTGAATATACACGCATTCTCAAAGACTTTCTCGTTACATTTGATATACATACATCACAGGTCCTTCTGCATCTTAGGCTCTCCAGGATCTAGTTGATCGATAATGAACAAAGACCACTCTTCATATAGCATCACGCTTACAAACATAAAGGTGCCTGTATCTCCGAACTTTACAATCAAACGTGGGGTCTTTGATAGAACAATGGGCTCGGCTTGGCCAACAGCACCTTGTGTGCAAGTTTCACGTTCATCGTGGCCAATCCCAGATTTCGCAATGTCGCCACCAGCCAAACTGGATCTGGGGGTCGACCTCTTCGACGACGACGACCAAAAAAATATTTTTTGGGCTAGTTGCGACATTGAACGTAAAACGTGCACACAAGGTGCTGTTGGCCAAGCCGAGCCCATTGCTCTATTCAAAACCCCACGTTTCATTGTAAAGTTTGGAGATACAAGCACCTTTATGTTTGTAAGCGTGATTCTATATGAAAAGTGGTCTTTGTTCATTGTGAAGTAGGTGGACCCTGGCAGAGCAAAAGATGCAGAGGGACGTGTTTGTGTAACTGGGTTAAAAAGTTTGGACTTCAGGGACAATGCATGATAGGTACGCAACCCTCATTTTCAGGTCATACATTGGCAGCTAATAGCCACTTTTGTGCATTCACAACTTTTGTACATTCCATTGTAGGTGGACGATTCTCCTGCTCTAGACATTCATTTCCATGGTTCAAGTAGCTTGATCCGAGCTGATTTGGTTGAGTTACGGTCGAACAAGGATTAATCAGCTGAGACATTCGCACGTATGCTGATGTATGGATTGATGTAATCTCTCTTTGACCGTAGCTCAGCCAAATCAGCTCGGATCAAGGTAATTGAATCATGGAAATGAATGTCTGGAGCAGGGGCATCGTTCCCATGCAATGGATCTCGCAACAATGATGATTGGATAAAAGTGGCCGTTAGCTGGCAATACATGCCTGTTCCTAGATGATCCATAAAGTAATTATACATTGACCGTTTCATTCATGCAAACGTAGCTGTGTTACACAACACGACCCTCTGCATCTTTTGCTCTGTCAGGGTCTAGCTACTTCACAATGAACAAAGACCACTCTTCATATAGCATCACGCTTACAAACATAAAGGTGCCTGTTTCTCCAAACTTTACAATGAAACGTGGGGTTTTGAATAGAGCAATGGGCTCGGCTTGGCCAACAGCACCTTGTGTGCACGTTTTACGTTCAATGTCGCAACTAGCCCAAAAAATATTTTTTTGGTCGTTGTCGTCGAAGAGGTCGACCCCCAGATCCAGTTTGGCTGGTGGCGACATTGCGAAATCTGGGATTGGCCACGATGGACTTCATAGTTTGACACAAGATCGCTTTGACCCCGCCGAGCAACTCTGTTCTATTAAAGACCCCACATTTCATTGTAAAATCATGAGGTATGACTGTCTTTATGTTTTACATATGCTGTAAGCGTGATGCTATATGAGAGGTGGTCTTTGTTCATTATCGATCAACTAGATCCTGGAGAGCCAAAGATGCAGAAGGACCTCTTTGTGTAACTGAGCTAAAAAGTCCGGACTTCAGGGACAATGGATGACAGATACGCATACCTCATCTTCAGGTCATACATTGGCAGCTAACAGCCACTTTTTTCCGATCAGCATTGTTGCGAAATCCACGTGATGGGAATGATGCTCCTGCTGCAGAGATTCATTTCCATAATTCAAGTAGGTTGATCCGAGCTGATTTGGCCGAGCTACGATCAAACAAAGAAACATCAGTTGAGGTAGATCGAGCATGCTCTATGTTGCTCAACTGATGTAATCGTGTTTGACCGTAACTCAACCAAATCAACTCGGATCAAGGAAGTTGAATGATGCAAATGTTGGGCAGGAGTAGGAGCATCGTTCCCATGCAGTGGATTTGGCAAAAGTCTGGAATGGGAGGAAGTGGCTGTTAGCTGCCAATTTATGAACTTGTAAATTACATGGATAACATTGGGATTGCCAATGTCGAATTCGATACATGGTCAGAAAATGCTTTCGGGCACGCTGATCAACTTCGTTCATAAAGACTCCATACTTCATTATGATAATCAAGAACGAAAAGAATGCAGGTATAGGAGAGGCTATGTACGGATCGGACTAGCACATAAGTAGTACATATCGTTTACAAGCTGATGTACTCTTTATTCGAGTCTCGCTAGCCATATTACATTATGTGGATAGGGATGCAAGTTGAAAGGGAGTAGGTTTTGTAAGTAATTTTATGCAAGTCAACGTGAGCGCACAGAAGAAAAAAAATAGAGGGGCGGTCTTCTTCCTCCTACAACGTCAGACTTTTTCCAATGTCACAAGCTCATCGATCGGTGCATGTGCTCTTCCATGTTCCAGAGGGTACATTGACACGACTTTTACGTTCCTGAATCGCTTTGCAGACGAGCTAATACAACAACGACAGGCTTGGAATTCGTGGCAAAAGAAGAGATCAGCAAACGATTGGAATTGCCAGCTGAAGGAACCCGCTATGTTGAAGAACCTGGCACTGGAAGGGTACAAGTGATGATGGATCACAGCGACTTGGCAGACATCATATCCATTCTTCAAGACACTCCATTATCGAGCGTATACGACATTACACTTGTGGCCACCAAAGTCAACATCCCACTCCATGTTTTCAACAATGTCGACGAGACGAACGAGTTTATTTCCCACATCACTGAAACGACAGCTTGGGATCCTATCGTGAATGGGGTTCGTCATGCAGCAACAACAAACAATGCATCATCATCTTCATCAACCGATGTCCCAACTTTTCGTGCAACCTTTCGCAAAGGACAACTTAAACATGCATCCAAAACCCAAGTACTTGCAGGACAAGTCGGCTTCTCTTTTGGTAAACGCTATCCAGATTGGAAAGTCAACCTCGAGCACTATGATCATGAAGTATTGGCAACTTGGATGCGTCAAGAAAAGGAGGGTCCAATCACGCTGTTACTCGGCATCAGTCTCCCTGTACCTGATACTCGGTACCGTCATCGTATCCATTTCGGGAGAACAAGTTTGAATCCGGCCATTGCCTATTGCTTGGTACAATTGGCAGACCCTCAGCCAGGTCAAGTGGTCTTTGATATGTGCTGTGGTACTGGTACCATTCCAATCGAAGGTGCTGCGGCTTATCCAGATGCAATGTGGTTTGGTAGTGAAGGTAAAAAAAAGGATGAAGATTGGCATATGGGGAAAATGACTGATATGGATGTGATTATTTTTAGTCAAAGTGAAGACATTATCCGAAAAGGCACAAGGAAACGTAAAGCATGCAGGGCTTACCAATGTGGATCTTTTCTTGGCGGATGGACGTCAACTGTGCATGCGGGATGCTTCTGTGGATATAGTTATTTCCGGTAGGTATCCATAAAAAGGGATCATGGCTTATGAATCAGTGATTGATCGGGAGCGTGTGAATAGATTGGCCATGGGGATTGCGTGAAGGATCATACTCAACCATCCAAAAGGTTAGTAGCCAAATGGAAAAGATAACATGATGAGTAGCTAGCTAATGCCAGTGCATCATAGCTCTATCCAAAATTTATGCGTCAGATTGGGAGAGTGTTGAGATCGCATGGCAAGGCATACATTGTAACGCAAGGACGCAAGTTATTCAATCGAGTGCTGGCGTATCCTTGGTGCAAAGAAACTTGGAATGTAGATAAGGTGATATCGATTGGTATTGGTGGCTATCCTGTTTCGTTGTATATGCTTAGCAAAAAGGATTGAGATGATGATTATCACGTTTGTAAATAAATCACCTTTTGGGAAAGGATCGCTGACTAAGCGGAAGAAAGATGAAAGTAGAGAGTAATCTTTTTCTAAAGTGTGAATGTAATATGAAAATCATGATTGGGGATATTATTGATCAGTAGAAAACGTGTTGTTGTCTCAATGTAAATATGTCGTCATATCGCGCCCTTTTCTCCCTTTGGATTGCATGCATTGTGCGGAGGAGGATACAGCCCCTGATAAGATTTCCATGATCCCAACTGCTGACCTCGAATTATCGATGGCCCGGTCGCTGATACATTTTCTGGGGTTCACGACGCAAGGATCTCGATGCAGCATTATGGGGCAAAGTGAGGATACGAAGAAGAGAGTGTTAAGCAAAAAGCAAAGAAATTCTTACGTAAGCTGTAATGATCTCTGTCAAGGGGTCAGCGTAAGGAATTGTCCGTGCACGTCTCACAGATGCAATGTATCTTAGTCATCAGCAGCTGTGTGTGTAGTGAGAGGACGTGAGAGACCGGTAAGAACAGAGCGGAAGTGGCTGCAGCTCCCAAGGTAGTTTATAGGTCGTTTTGGGGAAGCCGCTATAACGAACAAACACCCCTTCCCTTTTTCCCTTTCAAAGACAGCACCCAAAAAGTTTCAGGATGACTACCACGCTTCTTTCACCACCGTATCCTATCATGAATGTTATCGGTGCCTCGGTCTCTGAAGCTGCTCCAACAGGTGCTCACGAAACAAGAGATATCGTTCTTCCAAACCAAACCGAACACGTCTCTCAAATCGCTGTCGACGTATGAACCAATGAAGCTCATGGACTCTTTAGCGAAACAACAACTCACTTTATTCGTCTTTTTCTAGATTGGTGGTTCACTAGCCAAGATTGTCTACTTCACATCATCTGCTGATCGCAAAGGAGGAAGACTTCATTTCAAAAAGTTCGAGACTGAAAAGATCGACGAGTGTATCGACTATATCGCTGAACTCGTTGCAGACTCTCGCCACCTTATGAACAATGGACAAGAGCAGGTTCTCAAAGCCACGGGTGGTGGTTCTCATCTTTATTACGACAAGCTGTCAAAACGACTTCCCGGCATAGTCGTACAAAAAGAGGATGAAATGGAATGTCTTATCACAGGTAGGTTGTGGTGATGGGTATGAGGATATGGGATGGACAGCCAAGATTTACTCTCGGACCAGGTTTGAACTTTTTCATCACCGAGATACCATACGAGGTCTTTACATACAATGAGCAATTGGAGGAGAATCCCATGCAATTTGAAGAGACAACTCAGGCCATATACCCGTATTTGGTAAGACATTTGGGGGAAGAAAAACGATGACACTATATCACTTACACGTCTTCTTGTTACATTAGCTGGTCAATATTGGATCCGGTGTGAGGTAAGGTTACTTTTGCAATTAGCTGGGGAGGAAGAAAAGGTCTCTAATAAGTGATCCTCTTTCATATAGCATACTCAAAGTAACAGGTCCAGACGATTTCTCTCGTGTTAGCGGCACATCTGTAAGCACCAAAAGAGGGGCCGTGTGTGTGTGTGCGCGATCTCACACTAAACCATATCTAGTTGGGTGGCGGTACACTTTGGGGTCTTTTGTCATTATTGACCGAAGCAAGCACATTCGATGGTAAGATATTTCAATATGGATAACGTATGAATAGTCGTTCTCATCACTGTGTAATGCGTTTCTAGATATGCTTGAAATGTCACAAAAGGGCGACAATCGCAATGTAGATCTCTTAGTAGGAGATATCTATGGATCGGATTACAGCAAACTCGGACTCAAATCAACACGGATAGCATCAAGCTTTGGCAAGGTGTTCAAACAAGGTGTTAGACAATCAAAAGATAGCTTCTCTCATGCCGACATATCCAAGAGCCTGTTATTCATGGTTAGGTACGTATGGATCAAGAAGAAATATGGGAATAGTGATATGCTAACCCAACGCCAATAGCAATAACATTGGTCAGATTGCTTATCTCAACGCAAAACAACATGGCTTGAAGCGGATCTATTTCGGCGGCTGCTTTATACGAGGACATCCCATAACCATGAACACATTGTCTTACGCCATCAACTTTTGGTCTGGAGGTGAAATCAAGGCATTATTCCTTCGACATGAAGGTCACTTGGGTGCTACGGGTGCTGTAAGTATTCTATTCTATGGAAGGATGGTGTGAGCAATTTCACTGAGACCATGTTTTTGCCCCTCCTAGTTCCTCAAACACAAGCCTATTCGTAAGGCGCGACATTCTTTCTCCTATTCAGAGGACTTCCGACCAGACACGGCATCCACACCTAGCGGCGTATACGATGTCATAGAGAAAACAAACTTAGAGCTTCGGTCCGAGGACGCGATATAAAAGGTTATCATTTGTGTTATTCTGTGTTTTACTATTGTACTATTTCACTTGCTTTTAAAACCTTATAAAGTCTTATTCAAACAGATACCTGTTGATTGATGCGATCAAGTGTGATGATAACGATTCTGATACCTCGTGAATGTGCCATTGTCTACAATGCTCAAATGGGCGAACATACAGGCCTATCACTATAAAGAAGCTTGAAGGGCAACTTGGCAATAGCAAGCTCTTTGTGATGAACAGGCGTAGATTTCATTGTTTCATGAGTTCACGACGAATCGATACTACTGTAATTGGCCAATTTATGCATGGACATCCACACATCCAAGCTCTTTGACAAGGAACCAGGTCTAATCCAGACATAGGAGACCTCAAAAATTCGCACGCTCACTCGCATAATGCATGCTGTCACGCATCGTTTTATTCCACCACACATCCTCTATCAATGCCCATTCATGATTTTCATTATTCTTGTTACCTCCCCTTTTTCCATTATCATCGCCGTGCCTTTGTTTTATTATAAGAAAGGAGAAGTTTATTTACAAGTCAAAGTCACCCTGTTAGTGGCTGCACCTTGTCGGTAAAGAGGTCAATCCATGATTTGACTTTTTCATATACAACAAAAGTAACAGCTTGACCAGGAGCTACACGTAATACACGTGGCGTCAAGCCCTTGTAGAATGCCCTGAACCCTTCCTTGGTATAAATCTCTGTAGTTACTTGCTTGAAACGTTCCCATCCAGAGCCGGTTAATGATACAGATTTTTGAATACGTGTCTTGATTGTATCAATGGGTGCATTTGAAAGAGGGCCCATGGCACCAGAGATACCACCAATCACCAGCGTTTGATATGAAGGAAGCTCATCCACCTTTTGAAAGTTGCGAGCTTGCTTCTTGAGTTCCTGGTAGGCAGTGAAATTCGCAGCTTGGTTGGTCGCTAAAGAAGAATCATGTTAATCAATCAACACCAGAATAAATGGATCCACTCCTTGTTACCTTGTCGTAAAGCCGTTAATCCCACGCCCTTGTATAAAGCTCCTATGCCTTCTTCCTTTATGATGGTAACAAAAGCATGCGAGAACGAGCGATACTTGGGTGTGTCCATTGGATCGGCCAAACTGTTCCTTTGCGCTTGTAATCTATTTCATTATGGATTTAATGATGTTGTGATGATAGGACGTGGTATTCAGAGTGGGCGTACCGAATCTTAACCAAATCTGCAGGAGAAACTACACATACAGCTTCTGTCGTTCCGGCGGCGAGACCAGCTAATAACAAAAATAACCATGTGAGTATAGAAGTATCTATGGCAACGATAGTAATGCATGAATGGGACGACTGCTTACCAAAGAAGATACCAGTACGACTGGTAATCCCATTTTCATCAGCAAGAGCACCCTTATACATTTCAAACGAGCTGAATCGGATGGCCATCTTTGGTACTATGCCAGCAGTGACAGCACCCAAACCTTTATACAATGCCCAAAATGACTCATTCTTGACGATACGTGCACCCACTCCAAGGAAGCTTAGGTTACGTCCCTGATTGTGTGTGTGTGTAAATCGATTTTTGTCTTTGATGTGATAAAAGGCACTTACTGTAGCACTACGTTGGGCTTTTCTGGAGAGCTGCATTCTGACTTTGATGGTATCTAAAGGATGGCAAGTGCATGCCTCCATGAATCCAGCGGTACCGCCAGCGACAAGATGAGTCAAAAGTGGAGTCTTTTGTGCGTTGCTGTTGTTTTTGTTCATTGTTGTTCGAGGGAAAGAAGCGAGTGGTGCATTGAAACAAGCAACCTTCCCACCCCGCATTTCTCTTAAATAATGCAACCTGGTAATTTTCATGTGCAATCCACATGTCTGGAACAAAGCATTGCACTGTAACACTTTCGTCATTGATTTGCCCGTTTAAAAAAGCACACGCTCAGCTTTGCTGATTCACTTTGATTTCATCCTTATCACACGCACTCGTCAAAGAACATGATTCATAGATCACTACCTCGTTTTATATTCCTTACTACCTAAGCATGTATAAGCAGGTACGCATCCACCATGTGGCTGCTGTTGTGGATGATTTCTTTGACATGTGATTGATAAATTTCGGGTTTTCCCACTTGATTCAGTAAGCTTAAGCATAATGGAATCCTTCTTACAACTACGTCATTTCCTCCATATTATACCTTATGCAATGATTTGACTACCTTATCACGTGGATTGTGATGACGATGTATGTTTATCTGAAGAGACATTGGTATTTGATACAACATCTAGCACTTTACATGTCGATGTGGTTGTGGTGGGAGGGGTGTGTGTGTGTGTGCGTGTGTGTGTGTCAGCTGATAAATGTCAGCAACCTGCATCGGCCAATGTCAATCATTCAATGACAGCAGCAGTAGCAGCACGGAGTCCAATAGCCGATTTTGCAAATTTTTCGCTGGCACTTGTACTCCTTTGACCACTTCACTTTCAACATGTCACTTGCTCTTGATTTCTTGTTGCCTCCTCCCCCTGCTTCGTACAAGACTGATCAGTCCCACGTTGTCCACGCTGGCTTGACTGGTAATGTGATACTATGAATTAGTACATTCCAGTTGCTAATGCATACACTATAGCTACCAGCGATCGTGTTCTTGAACCTGTTGGTCCTGGTTTCTTCGCCTACGCTCGCCGTAAGAGACACAACCGTACTTTCTCTGAAGATGAACGTCACGAGGCTGAGGAAAAGGCCAAGCACATTGTTGAAGAGGAAACCGTCGACTTTGAATATGAAGAGGTTGATCCTACCACTGTCAACACTGATCCCACCAACTGGAAGGTAAAAAAAGAACAAAAGTGGATGCTAAAAGAGGAGGATATTGACACATTGTATTATAGCAACAAGACAACTATGCTGTTTTGGGCTTGACTAAGCTTCGTTACAAGGCTACCGAGGAGCAAATCAAGAAGGCTCACCGTCGTATGGTCTTGTTGCACCACCCCGATAAGAAGGCTGACAAGAACGATGATGCTTTCTTCAAGTGTATCGCCAAGGCTTATGACACCTTGATGAAGCCTGAGACTCGTCGTCAATACGACTCTGTTGATTTCGGCATGATCGCTATCGATGATGATGTTCCCACTGCCAAGACCGAGGGCGACTTTTACGAATTGTGGAACCCTGTCTTTGAGCGTGAAGCTCGTTTCTCCAACAAGCAACCTGTTCCTACTTTGGGTGGTCCTGAATCTACCAAGGAGGAAGTCGAGAGCTTTTATGACTTTTGGTACAACTTTGATTCGTGGCGTTCGTTTGAATGGCTTGATAAGGAAGGCGCTGAAGGTGCTGACAAGTAAGTGTGATATCGAATGTATATACTTTAGGGATCAAAGATATTGACGAGTGTGTTCATATAGCCGTGACGACAAGCGTTATCAAGAAAAGAAGAACCGTGCTCAACGTGCTCAACTCAAGAAGGAAGACAATGCTCGTCTTCGCAAGCTTGTTGATGTTTGCTTGAGCGTTGATCCTCGTATTGCCGAATTCCGTGCTGCTGAGAAGAAGCAACGTAACGCAAAGAAGGATGCTAAGGCTGCTGCTGCTAAGGCTGCTGCTGAGGAGGCTGCCCAAAAGGCTAAGGAAGAGAAGTTGGCTGCAAAGAAGGCTGCTGAGGATGCCAAGGCTGCTGCTGCTGCTGCAAAGAAGAGCAAGGAAGCTGCAAAGAAGAACATTAGAAAGGAAAAGAAGAACATCAAGACCATTGTTCAAGAAAACAACTATGCTGTTGCTGGTACTGCTTCCCCTGATGACATTAACAAGCAATTGCTCAAGCTTGATGAAGTCCTCGAGAAGAACAAGGAGCTCGAACAACTCAAGAAGATGCGCACTGACTTTGAGAAGGCTGTTGCCGATGGAAAGCTTCCTGAAGTGTTTGCTAGCTATGCCAATTAGATTCGTATAGAGTAGTTTATTTAGATTAAATGCATGTTACACGCGATGGTTGTCTTCATCTGATTCTTCACTACTTAAGAAACTCTCATCCAATCCACGTTCCAATGCACTAAACTCAACCGATGGTTCTCGGACATCATCAAAATCAACCCTGGCTGATCTTGCGGTCATTGAATGCTTGTTTCTAGTTGTCAATGTTAGTTTATCACGCATGTCATTGAGGATGATTAATGTACAACTTACTTTCGTACGATCATGAATAAACGGAAGAATTGGATGCAATTACGGATAACAAGCAACACAGTGTCAAAGATGGCCTCGCTGCGTTCACCAGCTGAACAACCAGATGCAATCACGATCAACGTGATGGCGCAGAGCGTAACGAGAATGGTATCAATGATATTCCACACCGAGTTCCAATAAGCCTATATAGAATGAGAGGGATCACACAAGAGTGAATAAAGCCATGCATTGTTGTCATTGTGTGTTACGCGTATACGTTACCCTCCTTAGCGCTAACAATCGAATACCAACTTCAATGATCATGGCGAAATTGATCACGCTCTCGAATACAATGAACATCAATGTCGGGCTATATGGGAGGAGGTTCATTTAGTGATATGCGTTGGTTCTTTGTCTCCCTTGCTTTCTCTTTCCGGATCCACGCTGCGTCTTTCTCCACCCGATCCTACCATGTATCTCGAAGGGACTATACAACTTTTATCAGTACATGACAACATCAGCATACGTGTCCAGCGATTCGTACCAGTATTATTGAAACCAAACTTAAAATGGCGAGACAAAGGTAAAGGATAATATAGAATTGGGAGTACATGAAGCGGTTGGCCATGCCCTGAATCATTTCGGATCTCGTTAGGCCATGTTGGGTTCGAGCTGATCGTTCTGTGAGCAAGGCATCGGTGTCATCGTCGTTCATTGCAGTGTATAAGCCGAAAAGAGTGGGTTGTAACAATAGAGGTATGTGCTGTTGAAAAGAAAGCAAGCGTAAATGCAGCTCCGATGATGTGCGTGTTACCATGCTGAAAAGCACCTGATTGATACTGCCACCACCAGCCATGGGGAAACGACAAGTCCTTTGGAACCTTTTAATGGTAAATATCGATATCGCATGTTATGCATTGAAATAATGTGAACTAATCATCGAACCTTTGTTGCATTTCGATTTGGCATGGCAACCACCCCCATAACAACGACTGCTGCTGCATGATTGACAGATCACGTATCCCACAAATGGGAATCATTCCTGGGCCGCACCTAGTACTCCTGAGCGCACGATAGTATAGCTGCTGTTGAATCGTAGCAAACCAAACATGATTGTTGGCAAATTATAGATACGTGCATCCTATAATCTTTCTATTATTCTATGGGCCAAATAAAAGAGCACTCCACATACACGCACATACCAATGCTATTTCGCCTTGACACATATCAGAGATCAAATGGTCAACTTGAGAAAACCTTCATCATCACATCCATGTGCTGTGAAACAAGGGTTAAACAAGAAGGATCAGCACAATGAATTCTGGACAAGCCATCTCCTCAAATGGAATGAGTACACAAGCATTAAAGATACGCACACGGAACGACCCGAAGCATCTAACTGAAATAGCCATAGGTTGATTATCATCATCGCGTGGTAAGATCCAAGGGGTTTTTGTGATCGATCGAGTTGTGTTGGATCAGGGATTATTTGTGGGTATCGATAACAACGTGTATGTGTGTGTGTATGGGGGGAGGAGAAGGCACTTGCTTACGTAAATGGCAAGGTTACCAAACCAAGATCGTCCACACCAAAGAGAGTGGGAATGTGCGTGTGGGGAAAGGGACGAACCATTGATAACTTTGCGGGGAAAGTTATAAGTTGTGTGATTTTGTGTGTGTGAAAAAAAAGGGTGGGTTCGCACACAAATGCATAATGTCCTTTTCCCCGAACGAAATGGCCGATACACACAACATGACACAAAGTTTATAGCCCATGAATCCACCTTTTTGTACTCATTTCTGTTTTTGATCTTCTTCAATTGTCTTTTCTTCTCACTGCTTGACGTTTATTAACATGGAAACCAAATCACGTCGTCGATCCTCTACACTCTCCACATCTCCAAAGTCTGGCGGTATTAGAAGACGTGCTACGAAATCGCATGTACCTGCAGCTTGTGTAAGTCCGTCATTTATGCCAAATGGGATCATCCAAATATTTATGATTCCTTTGCTTTGCGTAGGTTCATTGTCAAAGAGCTCATCTTGCTTGTGATGGTAAATCTGGATGATGCTATGTAAGAAAACTCGCAATGACTGACACAATGCCTTTACCTTTACCATGTAGTCGAACGTCCATGCAAGCGTTGTGTGCAGGCGGGTCGTGAAGACAATTGTTTTGATGTGCAACATAAGAAACGTGGGAGACCAAGAAGGCGAGATCGTGAAGAATCGGTTGGATCCATCGCATCTAATTTTGGGTCTATGGATGGTGCATCCGGCATATTGGTTCCTGAAATGATCCGGTCATCGTTTTCTTTGACACAGCCGGTGCAAGGAGTGGATCAGTGTGCCAATTCACCTGGCACAAAAGATAGCCATATGGTCACGGTAAGCTTGGATATCATACTTAAAAAAGGAACAAGGTGATGGCTGAACAAATCATTTTTACAGCTATTCTTGTCAATGGATGTATGCTGTGCCCGTGTATCTGATGAATCATTGCAAGCGCTTGGTCTATACCCTCACGAATTTGCACACCGTTCATTGTACGATTTCATTTTCCCGGAGCAAAGCGATCGCCTTGCACGTATCCATCGATGTCTATTGGATAATGCTAGCAGTGTATGTGGTGTTAAACATATGCCTCCTACCGAACGCACCACCGCAGATTGCTTTTCCAATACCTCACCAGCCATGTTGATGACTATCGCTAATGGCTCGCAAACACTGAAAGAGACCTTGAACTTTAAGACATCAAGTGGGTCGTACGTACCAATGCAAACACGCTTCTATCTCGGAGGAGGTCTAGGCTCAGATTTGTTTGTATCGGATTCTCTACAACATCTATACATTGTATGTTTGGCCACAATTGATCAGCAACCACAACCCAAGATGGCAGATACCACCATTGAAGATGATCCACTACGCGTTCTACTATCAGAAATGGAGCATCCACTTGGTCTATATAGCGTAAGTATCGATGATGTGAGGATCCATAAGAAGAATACTAACGCATTTTTTTATTAGGTGGATGCATCCGATCCCTCGACACCATCCAACAACAGCGTTACAGGAAGTGGATTGCTTCTTCATAATGGCGACGATGGATACATGGTATCACCATCATTGAGCATGTCGCCATCTTCTTCACCAGTCAACATTCCATTTTTGAGTAAGGATGTTATACAAGAATCACCCTCTGTAAGTATTAAGGATGTGCGTTTTTGCAAAGCAAGGGAACTTTGGGATTAACAAGTGATCGTGATACAGGGGTTATTATGGCAGGATCCATGGATGTCGGCAACGACCGGGAATGATTTCGACATGCTTAATATCCACGGGTGAAACGATAGCAAGCCTTGAGTCATAATAATGGGAGCAAAAGCATGTGGGAAACTGGAATACGAAATAATGGGCAACCGATCGAGGTCTAGAAGAATCATCTAAGATGTTGGATCCCCTTGTTGCTTTTGATGTACAACCTGTCAAGATACCCACCACCTATATACAACAGCTGTTTGCATGTATTACATCCACAACAACCGTTGATCAAATGGTGTAGGAGCAGCTGCTGCTGTCATAAAAGATCATCATCATGCCAATAGCTTCATATAAAGAGTACCTGTATAATACCATCAACACAGCATAGCATACATGTAGCATTGACTACTTTAGTATATAGCAGGGAATAAACGGATCCTGTGTTGCCGCGGAATACGCAAGTGCTTTGATATCCCAGTGCATGGTAATACAAGTACCATCCTTGTGATCGTTTTCCAATCCTTCGTTATCGTTAAATGAATACCTTGGGCTCCAAACCATCACGTACGTGGGTGATGAGTGAACAGTAGCCATGCCAACCAACAACATTGCTTCTACCAAAACCCAGAGCTATGCAAATACATGCATTGATTGAAGCGTTTATGCATGATTCTATAATGCGTTGCATACCAAACTACTTTTTAAGCTCCTTTGTCTCTATAACGTGTAGCGTGCTGAAACTGATAAAGCAGCCCTGTTTACTGATGGGGTCGAATAAAAAACATGTGCGGGCGGGCCCGCTGGATGATTCAGTGTAACCTATTCTTTAAGGTAAATTACCATAGTTTTCTACCCCAAGACCCAAATAGGGTTTCTTGTCCGATCACCAATGGAATGGAATATAAAGGATACTACTCTGTTAACGGGTCAACTTTAAAAAATCGCTCCGAGTAATCGGGCAGCTCAGTATAGCTTAGTGCTGACTTGGATGCATTATAATGTGGTTGGGGAGATGTAAAGTGCAAGAGCTGTGTATTGAAAGGGTTAGCTTATCATTTCAAGGGCAAGGATGATAGTCTCACTTTACCCGGTAACTTGCTAGTTTAGTCAAGCGGGAAACCTCATCACAGCCATAGAAATTTCCATGCTGTTACAGCACATCCCATTGGCTATCAAGGGCATCAATGATATTGGGAGATCCAATGAGCTGATCAAGCGTACGACAATTGACATCCTAGTTTGTGTTCCTTACTAGGCAAAAAGTCAAAGATCCATGTTTCAGCTACATACCAGCTATAACAATCAGTTGATCTCTCCTTATGCAAATACAATTGACATGTAGGCAGCTGTTTTTCCAACTACATGTTCATCACAGCTTTTATCAAGAAGCAAATTTTGGCTACCAAAGCTATTGCAATTGGGACCCTTGGATGAAATGAAGCATTTGGCATTGTATACGAATGCTATATTAGATGCTATACTTTATTCAACGATACGCTGCCCGTGTTGGAAGGTGATCATGTAGGTCTATGGCACAATGGTATCCCTTAATTGAATGGGTGGTGATGGATCACTGCTATCATCAAATTACAGCTTATCTACATCATATCAAGGTTATGCCCTGTTCAAGGGTAGATTACAAGCTATTACATCATTTGCCATGAAAGGAATGTGCATCACATGATAAAGTCATCAAGCGTTTGCTATGAACCTGTTATTGTATATACAAGATTGTATTCCACATCCATCTTTTATAGAATCATTATAGGGTGAGAAAATGAGAGAACGGAGAATATGGGGTAGGTGAGTGTCTATAGTGTGGGGTAAATGTAATGCTTGAATCGGGGATACAAGTATAGATGCTGCTCCAACCACAACCCAGGAAGATGAACCATGATCCTGCAACAACAACACGACGACGACACCAAGCAGTCACCCAACACCAGGATCGATCTGGGATATTCCAACCTCCACGCACAAAAACCTAGTCGGCTTTTCCCATGTTGAGGGTTGCACGTCTTTTCTCTACTATGGCATCCAACGCAGTTGAAAACGGCAAAAAGCTCGCTGCCTACAAGGCTGTTGATGAATACATTTCCGCCAACCACAAGGTCGTCGGTATTGGATCCGGCTCCACTGTGGTCTATGCTGTTGAACGTATCTTGCAGCGTCCTGAACTCAAAAACATCGTCTATGTCCCTACCAGTTTCCAAAGCAAAAACTTGATCATTGATGGTGGCCTTACTTTGGGCTCTACCGAGCAGTAAGTGTGTGTGTGTGGAAATGGGCCCGTTCACGAGGTGTATCGATGCTGATTCCACAATGTCAAAAGATTCTCTGAAATTGACGTGACCATTGACGGTGCTGACGAAGTCGATGAGCAATTGAATGCTATCAAGGGAGGTGGTGCTTGTCAATTCCAAGAAAAGGTTGTTGCTGAACTCGCCAAAAAGTTTGTCATTATTGCCGGTATGGATTGTCACGTGAAAATCATAAAGATAGAAGGGTATAATTGACAATGCCGTGATGTTCATGCATGTTTAGACTACCGCAAAAAGTCCACCAAGCTTGGTACTCAGGTATGTGTATCCATGGATACGGGCGGATGGATGATGATGGGAATCAAAGTGATTGATGATGAGGGTTATCACATAGTGGACCAAAGGTGTGCCCATCGAAGTGGTTCCTATGGCTTACAAGGGTGTCATGAAAGCCATTGAATCCAAGTTGTCATGGAAACCTGAAAAGGTGACTTTGCGTATGGTAAGTTTTACTTGATTGATCCCGACAATGGCTTCAAAAGTAACACGATGTGGTATGGTATATATAGGCCGTCAACAAGGCTGGTCCAGTGGTGACGGATAATGGCAACTTTGTGGTGGATGCTCACTTTGGTGGCATTGATGATCCCAAAGCACTCCTTAAGGAACTCAAACTTTTGACCGGCGTTTATGAAGTCGGCTTGTTTTGCAACATGGCAGAAATTGCCTACTTTGGTGAAGAAGATGGAAGTGTAAGCACGCTCAAAAAGTAAGAATAAAAAAAACTTTGTCGGATCCAAAAGTCAATCCACGCGTCAGAGCGAAGATAAAAAAAAATGGATAGAAAAAAAAACGTGGAGCTGCGCGCGTAGCTATGGAGCACGCTTTTTTGATCATTACTCAGACTCGAATTTTTTTTTGCGCGTTGTCAATCTCCCCCCCCAACCCTCCTAAATTTTTTTGCATCAACCGCGCTCGACCCTTTTGTAACACCTACGCGCGCGTATACTACACACACAATTCAAGCGCGCTTGCGCTTGCGTGATTTTGTAATGATAATGAGCTAAATGCGTTATATTTCAACTCATGACTGTACAGATAGATGAAGCTAAAAGAAAAGAGAAAGGAAACCACGTTGTGAAAAAAAAGAGATCAATGTAGAGAGGAGGAATGAGTTAAGCGGGAAAAAGAGGTAAATACAATGGTGTTGATATGTTGTGCTTGTGTTTGTGCGTGTTTGGGAGAGAATGGATGGTACGGGGAAATAAAGCTGTTTGATGCATGTGATGGATCCAGGAAGTTTGGCTTGCGTTTATTTATGCCTTGGTGGCCTTGGATCGTGGGGAAGACCGAGAGCCCTTGGCAGAAGCAGCCTTCTTGGGAGCAGCAGCTTTCTTGGTGGCAGCAGCTTTCTTGGTGGTGGTAGCCTTCTTAGTAGCAGCAGCAGTCTTCTTAGGAGCAGCAGCCTTCTTTGGGGCAGCAGCCTTCTTGGTAGTGGTAGCCTTCTTAGTAGCAGCAGCCTTTTTGGGAGCAGCCTTCTTGGGAGCCTTCACATTGGCCTTTGCAGTAGTAGATTCCTTCTTGGTAGGGGTCTTGCGCTTAGTAGTAGTGGTCTTCTTGGTGGTAGTAGCCTTCTTAGCAGGAGCCTTCTTAGCAGGAGTCTTCTTTGTCTCAGCAGCCTTCTTGGTCTCAGTAGCCTTCTTAGCAGCAACACGAGTAGAAGTCTTTTTGGCAGCAGTGGTAGTAGCCTTCTTAGCAGGAGTCTTCTTGGTAGTAGTCTTCTTTTCAGCCTTCTCCTTATCAGCAGGTGCAGCAGACTTCTTTTCAGGCTTGGCAATCTTCACGGTACCAGACATGCCTAATAGAACACATCACCTTGATCAATAACCCTTACTCTTATTCCACATTGAATGTTCACTTGAGCTGTGTGATACACGGTGTGATGCCCTCTTCCTTTCCTTCCTTGCATGTTTTGAGCGCATCCAACCCATCCACACAAGCCGAAGTGATCCATCACACTCTTTGATCCTTACCCTTAGGAAGAAGGAAAACACCCTTGGCAACACCACGCTTGATAGCAGCATTGACTTGAGTATCGAAATGGGAACCAGCGGTAAGGCCGTAGTTGGCAAGAATGTACTTCTTGATGGCGATACGGGAGCTACCACGACGTTCCTTCAAGGCAAGGATAGCAGCTATGGAGATAGATAGATAGATAGAGGTTGATACATTGCCTTTCTCACTTGGTGTCATGTAAAAGTCGTCATACCTTTGATCATAGCTTCGTACTAAAGAAAGGACGACATGGTGGTGATTAATGGGATGGGTCAATGGATCAAACAAGACATGTTGCTTACGCTAGGATGGTTAGGGGCAGCCTTCTTGGCAGCAGCAGTAGACTTCTTAGTAGCAGGAGCCATGGATAATGTTTTTCAAAAAGATGAGGGAAAAAGAAACGTGAGTGGGAAAAAGAGTGGGCCAAAAGGTTGGTTGCAAAAATGTCGGCTTATATGGCCACTTTCAAGGAGCATGGTCCAATCAAATTTTGAGAAAATTTAAAATGTCAAACAACACAGCAGCGCGTACACGCGATTTCTTTTTTCTTTATCCTTTATGCACTATATCAGCATTTCCCTTTGGCTGCGGCGCCTTCGTTCACGAGCACGTTCAATTTCAAGTGCCCGAGATGTCATGGGTGTTCCATTGATCGAAGCACGATTAGGCAGTGTCATGAACTTGGGCATAGGTCGTTGTTCGAGATCGAGAGAAATGTTGATTGCTAGTACATAAATGAAAGGGATATAAGCGTACAGCCCCATTGAAAAGTAAGCATGTTGATATTACCTGCTTGCAAATGTTCAATCCATGATATCATTTCGACATGTGAGGATAGACGTAGCAGCAATTGTGGACCATGAGCTGTTGTGAGGCGGAGTACATGAGGTCGTTTTGTATAATCCCAAGCACGACCGGCTTCAGCACCAGCAAGGGATAGCGTATGTATTGGCTGATAATAATAGCGTGACCATTGAGCAAGTGGTAATCTTGATGGCAGACGCTTTTCCAAACGAGAATAATATCCACTCCCATGAGGTGATGCTCTATAAATGCGAAGTACGGTACCCCATAGCTCGAAATACAATTTCCTATATCAACCATGATTGTTGTCAGGATGCAAGTACATGTGTGCGTGTGTGTGTGTGTGCGTGTGTTACTGTTACTGTTATGTTTACCTCCACAAGCGCCACCGGGTTCTTACACCTGGGGCATCCATTTCACGTTTGATATGCACATGACCCATTTTGTATACGGTGCATTTGTAAGGCGGCAATTCTTCCCGACCCTCTTCTTCTCGGGGTAAAATACACGACCGACATTTTTCCCAGCGTTTCATCAAGGCTGTATCATGATAATCAGGTGGTGATGTCGATAAAACAATGAGTGATCTTCGATTGATGGTGGATGCAGTGCTGGTTGGACGTGATGTATTGTTATTATTATCATCGTTTTGTTGTTCAGGAGAAACGAGACAAACCGGCATAGATAATGGACGGCGACGAGGAGGTGTTGTTTTAGGTGGACGTGGTACAACCATGCCAGGTCTACCTACTCGAGTTGTTGTTGTTGTTTCTTGGCGATTTATTGATGATGATGGTGATGTTAGAATAGAGGATGTGGATGCATCAGGATCATTGTATGCAGGAGGAGGTGAACGATGATGGTCATCTTCTTCTAGTTGTTGGTGATATGATGATGTTGTTGTATGGTCTAAAGGGTGTTGTTGTTGTATCTCATTGGGTATCTCGTCTTCTTCTTCTTCTTCTTCTTCTACTGTAGTTGTAATTGTGCTTTCACTAAGGACCGATAAGAATGAGGAGCGCACAGACGACTTTTGTTTGTCGTGTGGAGTGAACGTGATGTTGTTGGTGGTGGTGGATTTTGAAAATGGCGGGGTCGGTGGGCTACTCGGTATCCATGCCGAAGAAGAGGAAGACGATAAACTCGGCAATGCATAGCGATCCACAGCATCGATCACACGCAAAATATTTTCTTGCTCCTCGGCATTTGCCGGAATTGACAACACTGAGTGGCTACTGCTCGGTGATTCAGGTATATCATTGGTGGTCGTGGTATTGTTGTTGTTGTTATTGTTGGGACCAATCAATACCAATCCCTTGTAACTGAGATGTGAATGAATGGCTCGTATACAGTGACAAAGTCGTCGATAATCATCAGCGTCGCATATCCCAATGTTGATGTAGTCGCTAGGATTCTTCATCAACAATAGCCGAAAAAGATCGATTTGCTGATCCTCAAACAGTGGCATCAAATGTGACAGTGATAAAAAGTCCAGAATGAGTATTGGCAGGCTGTCTAAAATAAAGGGTATAAAGCTATTTAGAAGAGGTGGTGGTGGTGGTGGTGGCGACAACGACGAAGACTATCAAGCTATTATTCATACATAATGCAAATTTGCCGTGATCAACACCGGGGCGAGTAGAATAGGATATGTAGTTTGAGCTCATTGGACAGCAACAGTGGTGATGGTGGTGGTGGTAACAACAAGGAAATGAAGCAAAAGAAGGAAAAAGAAAGACTTGAAGGAGGCCATCCGGATTTGTCAAGGATAAAAAATATGCAGCCGATTGACTGGTTAAGGCGGGTTGATGATGTTCCGCTAACGCGTACCTCGTGATCGCAATGAGTGGGTTTTTGCATCATGGCGTCGGTTTCTTAGAGAGTGTGGTCATCATTTATGCTGGATTAGGTAGGCAACTAGCCTTGTTGGATAGTTTGCATTGTCGTGAGAATAAGCGGTGATCGACTCTTTCCCCCCTTCTTCTCTTTCCCCTTCATCTTACTCTTGTGGCTCCTTACATTCTATAACAAACAGCAGCAGCACATCACTTTTGCCATGTGTCAATTACTCAATAAATCATAATTGTGTGTGTACACCACCACTTTTCATTACTCACACTCGCTTTCTTTCCATTGCATGTTGCACAATGCTTTGTTTGTCGATCTCCACCACCAAATGAAAAACCGCGCACCTTTTGCCTCTCCACGTCATGCTTCTTAGTCGTCTTCCTCCAGAGGTCCTCCACAACATCTTTGCCTTTCTTGTCTTCTCCGATCTAGAGATCCTGTTGGACATTGGATCGATTGCGCAATCAACACAGGATTACTTACAGCGACATTACGCGTTCGAATACAAAGCGACTTGGCTATTGAAGCAGCATTTCGAAGCAGCCTTGAAGGAGGGCCAATCCAGTAAAAGTGTCTCGAGTACAATCGCCAATGAGCTATTGCAGCTTTTGTGTCAAGCGGCCAGCACCCATGAGAGGAATGAGCAAAGTGAAAGATTCAGTACACTGTTATCAGCCTTGGAGCAGTGGATCGGGCAACGAGTGATATACCCACATCTCACGGCAGGGATGGAATGCAACTATGCGTCATTGTGCCTAGCAATCCGACAGGCGTATCTTGAGCAACCAGACATACGAGCTATGCACGATCCTGTGAGTGAGTAATACATACATGACATTGCATGACTAGAGGAGGATGTTTTATTGACATTGTTTCATCACCCAAGAGATATCGTCGTCGCAATACAAGATATCCTATTGCTCCTTTTCTCCCTCGTGAATTCACTCACATTTGGCGTCTTCAATGCAACAATGTCACAGAGCTCTTGACATGGCCCACTGGTGGATTACCATCACTATCAGCACAACGACGACGCACCATTCGATTACGTTTTGCAAGGTTTTTTGGTATGTTGTTTCAAGCAACGAGCGTCTACTTGGAATTCAGCTTGGATGGGACCTTTGATGAATGCGTACGAGAAGCCTTGTTGTCAGGGGATGTGGAAAGTTTGCTCGTCATGTGCTTAGCAGCTGAGCGGCCTGTGGATGTGGATAACATGTGCATGATGGTGTCGTTGGCAGAGGAGCAACTTTGGAGCTACATTGATTTAATGGCGGATTTGACGGAATCGAACCCGACTCCCGAACAAGAGGCACGCTTACGTCAATCGGATCAGCATCAAACAACAACACCAGCAGCACCCTCCTCCTCCTCCTCTTCTTCACTCCCGGAATGGTTACTTCCATCTAGATATCGGATACATGAATCTGCACCATTACGATTAAAGGTAAACATCCTCTAGTGTGGGAATTCGAGTTTCACTTTTTTTCTAACCTCTTGACAACAACAACTCAGTTATTGTATTATTTAGTGGATCAACAAGATTGGAAATGGTTTGACGAATAAAATAACCCCCCACTTGGTTGTGATGGTTTCATATCCCTGCAGCAGTCGGAGGAGAAAGGAGAGCGAGAGAGTGAGAAGGATGTTTCACTTTTGCAGTTACCCAGGTGATCGTTTATAAAATTATCATTTTCTGTCTTCTGTGTAGATACAAATGAGTAACCATGTCATATTTGGATAATGAAAAGCTGAGCACTAGATATAGTAGGGAAGCAACAATGATGATGATGATAATGGTGGATTGTATTACCTTGCCCCACACATTCATCCCCGCCTCTGTTGCTGCTGCTGCTGCAGCGTATGGATACCCGATACTTTAATAGGAAAAACTGCTACCCAGCTGACACAACGAGGGGAACGCACTGTTCGCAATTGAAAACGTGTGTGTGTGTATGTGTTGGTTGTGTGTGGCGCGGAAATGCTTCTTTAAGCTTTTCTCTTTTTCTCTTTTCCTCTCTCTTATTGCCCTCTCTCTCATTGCACATTGACTTGTTCGCCTTGGGTGGACGACATTTTCCTCCACTATGCCTCTACCGCTGCAGACACGCCTTTACTTGATTTGCAGGTAACCCTTTCGCTCTCTCTCTCTCATCGATTACCGAGATTCCTCAAAGGCTCATGCTTCTTTTACTTTCCAACCACCCACCTTGCAACTTCTTTTTGCCTATTGTTATTGTTATCATGTAGTTTTGTGTCTCTTGGCGGCGTCATGGTACGTTGCTCTACCTCTTCAAGCATGGGTGAACGCGTATCTCGCTAATGCTTTTGTGTCTTTGCTCTTGCCATATCAGTATGGGTAAGAGTATATTCTTATTATATCAGATATCATTGGGGAAGCGCCCACATCATTCAGCCATCCTTATCATCCATCCTATTCAAATCAGCTACGACACAGCGGCACTTACTGCATGCTTGGGGATGCCCGACTATCGAAAAACGTTCATGCTCGATAACGACTCGAATGGAACAGTAGCCGTCATCATTTCATCATGTGCCTCGTTCCTTACTTCATTGGTAAGTCATCCATTTTTCTTTTATTTCCACGCTTCTCTTTCCAACTGTAGAATTAAACTTCTTTGTACCACCTCTGCTTAGGTATCGGGCTTTGTAGCGGATGGAATGGGTCGCAAAAAGTTCTTTTATCTTGCAGCCTTCTTTCATATCATTGGCAGCATCATCCAATTAGTGAGCACCCAATTTGCTGCTCTTGTCGCTGGAAGAATCATCACCGGTTCCACTGTAGGGTAAGCTTATACTTCCTATGATGCATCGTCTTTTGGGATAGGATTCTTTTTTAACACATCCTTGTTTCTTCCTATATAGCATGATGGGCATGTCCGTCCCTTTATGTATGTGTGGATAATGAAAAAAAGGAGAAGGCTGGATATTAATAACAGCTAAATAGACCAAAGCGAAGTTGCCAGTTCACAGAATCGTGGCCGTATTATTACACTTTACCAGCTGGGAGTGACCATGGGCCTTTGTTTAGCCGCCTGGATCGCATACGGCACAACAACGATCGAGGGTCCTTTGTCATGGCGAATCCCAGTGGGTATCCAAATTTTACCAGGAGGCCTCTTATTGCTAGGATTGTCGTTTGTACCGGAAAGGTAGGTTGATTCATTGTTATTCAATGGGTGCGATAGTGATATTCATTGTTTGATTCTTTCTTTCTTCAAAGTCCACGTTGGCTTATTGCATGTGGTCGTTACGCTGAAGCATTGGATATCCTTGCATTGATTCGTAGTCGTGGCGATACCAAAGACATTGCTGTCCAAATGGAGTATTTCATCATTGTACAAGATGTGACCTTTGATCGAGCCTATTCATCCAAAAGGCCTTTTGCTATTTTTCGACGAGGCATCGACAATTATCTCAAACGTACCGTACTTGGAGCAGGCATCCATATTTTCACTCAGCTTACAGGCGTCAACGCTATATTGTAAGTACATGTATGCATGCATGCAAAGGATCGTATGCACTAATGCACATGTAGATTTTATTTACCAAGGATACTAAGGTCAGCTGGACTGTCCGAAGTCGAAGCAGTGTTAATAGGTAAGGAGGATTTGGGTATTTGCTAATAGGAAGAAGATCGTTTGACATCCCTATTGAAAATAGGTGGTGGTGTTGCTGGCCTTGTGAATATGCTTGGGACTATCCCGGTGTTCTTTTATGTAAGTCATTAGATGGAGTGGAGTGAGGGAAAAGGGCAAGTGGATATTAATGTCCTTCTTATTATAGGTTGACAGGTGGCCACGTCGTCGAATTCTTGTGATCGGAGCAGCGGTGATGGCAGCATGCATGATTGTTGTGGCGGGGCTACTTGGGAAATATGGAACTATGGATCGACCAGCCCAAATCCATTTGAACCCGACATCGTCTGTGGATGGTATTGGCGTTGAAATCACCAATAGGAACGCAACTTACACCGTCATCACCTTGCTTTGCCTATTTGTGGCTGTCTTTGCTCTTAGCTGGGGACCAGCAGGTTGGATTTACCCTGCAGAGATTTATCCACAATTGATTCGAGCCAATGCAATGGGCGTAACGACCGCTACAAGCTACTTTTTCAATATCATCATCACCCTCGTTGCACCGCTGTTGTTTGAAACCATCCGTTGGGGTACCTACTTGTTGTTTGGTTGCTTATCCATTGCCATGGCATTCGCAGTTCACATGTTTTATCCCGAAACACGCGTATGTTGTTGTATATTCAAGACCCCATCAATGCATAGGCTGATGATGCTTTTTTTATATAGGGTCGATCACTCGAAGAAGTGAACTTGATTTTCAGTGGGGCGTTGATTGATGAACGAGCTGGTGCACACCATCCAGAGACGGCACACGAAGCTTTGACTGAAATATCGCAGATTGAACGCCATGAGCAACAACAACACCGAAAAGGTCGCCGACAAATACCATGGGGCAATGTATTGAACAGGGTCCAAAAACAAGATGCATCAATATCATCAGAGCTTGAGAAAGGAAACGCTTAGTTTTTTTATTTGGCGCACCACCACAACCACCACACACATCAGCCGCCATTTGTATATAGCTATATCACACACGCACACTCATCCCATATGTATAATGCACCTGCACAACCACCACCATCCAAATCATGCAAGATCCGTTTTGCCTCTTTTTCGCTTTGACAAGATTGTTTTCCGGAAGAACGGATGATAGCTTTGCATATACCCCCTTCTTTGTCTTTGTTTCCAATCTCTGATTGATCTAGGCCTATTCTGTACCGGGCGTAAGCAAGAAGGTCAAGAAAGTGTACTACTGTCGTGTAACAAGGAGGCTTTTCGTTTATTCCATCCCGCCCAACGAAAGAAGATATGATGCTGTTATATAAAACAAATGCGTTTTTTTTACTGAGGTTGATCATTGCCAGTCAATTTGTCGGCAGCGTGTTGTGCTTCTGATTTAACCTTGTCAGCAACTTGTGCAGCAGTGCTTTGATCTTGTGATGGTTGCTGTTGTTGCTGTTGTTGAGGCTGTGGTGCAGGTTCGTCATAGTCGCCGATTTGATAAGGATCGGATCCGCCGTCGCTTGAACCATCACGAGACTGAGTCTTTGATTTGAAAGGGTTGTTGAGTTGACCAATATCCATGGTAAAGTGTTGTGTGTGTAAAGAAGAAAGAAAAGTAGAGAGACAGGAGGTTGGCTGTGGCACGTAAGCTATAAAAAGCATGAATGATTCGATCAGTGATGTCACCCTTACTATACCTTATAGTTCAAAAGCTGCAGCAGGATGTCCTCCACTAAGCCAATCATATGCATTGATAACCCCATCATTAAGATACCTTTTGGACTGAAACCCCCCAAGCTAAAGAGACACGTGATTCCCTCCTCATCTTGGAAAGAGTGGGTTCCCCATCATACATGGTGCTATGTATTTAACGACTTGTCAGCGTAACCATGGAGACGGCCATTGTCCAATAAGCGTGGCACTGGTAACCATGTAGCAACCATCATACCTGAAAAGTGCCTCCTCCTCCTCCTCCTCCTCCTCCTCCTCCTCGGCAGTCGGGGTGACACCAGGCGCCATTTCCTTTTTATGTCAAATGCAAGCCAAAGCCGTCCTTGCACGATGGAAGCAATCGCCCACTCGTCTATGCCTTGATTTACGTCCAGCTGCTGCCTATCAAACACGTCACCTTGTGCCTTCAACCAACATTCCATGGCAACAAATCACCCAACGATGTGCCGAACTACCACCCAAGAACGTCCCATTTGCTATTGTGGAACCTGCCCATTTCAGAGGAGAATGTGTACCATGGCTTGAGGAACGAGGTTGGCAGTGTCCTTGGGTCTTCTGTGATGATGATGAAGAACTGTGGACGGCAGATACAACAATGGTGGAACATGGACCTCCTTCACAACGATGGCTCTTATTCCAACCATGCCCATTTCTTGCAAGACATATCGATTTGATCGAATCCCGGTTGAATGATGATGGTAAAAAGACGTGTCTCGACATTGGATGTGGATCAGGACGCGATGTTGCATGGTTGATGGCATCAAAAGGATGGCATGTTTACGCTCTCGATTCATCCAATGGTGCTGTTGAACGTACACAAGCTTTGGCGGAACATATGGGTGTCAAGGATCATCTCGTCAAGACCATGCAAGCCAAAGTGATGGCGGATGGTGGATGGAAATCATTCGATGAAACCAAAGGAGGAGAAGCAATGAGTTTGAGTAAAGAGCAACAATACTCACCAGGGATGCCCGCTGATCTATTCTTTCGTGACAAGTTGGGATGCAATCAATTCGATATGGTGGTCACTATTCGCTTTTTGGTCCGATCTTTGCTTCCACAACTCCCAAATTTGCTCAAACCAGGTGGTATGCTCGTCATTTCGCATTTTGTTGATGATGGCGTTCATGAATACGATCAACCACGCAAAAGTCATCGGTTACAGCTTGGTGAATTGGCCGAGCTCTATGGACAAAGGAAAGACTTGGAAATCTTGGTGGATGTGATTGAAGAAATTGAAGATGGTCGTCCTGTAAATTCGATTATTGTAAGTACTACATGTTAGGTCGAAATGGACACTTGTTGACTTGGTTTCGTGATAGGTTGCAAAGAAGAAGGATATAGACATACCATAGACCTGTACATATGTATTCTCTAATTTAGCTACGCTTGTTCCTTATTGACTTCCGATACAGTAATACATAGATGATATGAAAAACATCGATTCATAGCCAAATCCGTATACATACTACAAAAGATGAATAGAGATGGTAGAGTTTTAAGCATCATGGCAAAGAGTGTAGCATACCATGTCGATAGTAAAATGCTTATCAAGGTCGTTGTGAGAGAACCACCCAATGGAAATACCAATGTCATTATGCTCGCTCGTTGCATTGACCATGTTTTGAAGCCATTAGTGACCCTAGTATGGGGACACAAAGATTTCTTTGTATGTAATCATTGTCGGCTCTACAACTTTTTAATGCCATGGTAATTCTCGAAGCATGTCAGAGAGCGCTGAGCTTTCTAATGCTCTTTGTCTTTATCCTCAAGCGATAGTAGGAGACTCGCTTTATAGTATCTTCATTGTTGGATGTCATAACACAACCCGATAGCAGGTTTAAGAAATGCTCGTAACCAAGCAACCTATGCCAGCTCATCGTAATTTCTTGCTCCTTGCCATAGGTAGGTGTATTGTCAGCAAACAAGTTCCCGGTTATTCCTCATCACATTAAGGCTGGAGAGATACGAGGTATGTCTAACAACAAAGAGCCCATCAAGGAATTATTGCCGAATCTCACAAAGCTGATAATGAACAAGCCAACCTTATCATCCACTGATGCTTGGTTAAGTGATATGAGGTCATCAAAAGAGCACACATGAGCTTGTGCCATTCCCCTGTGTCTCGTGTGGTGATGCGTGTGTATATGCATGTGTGAATAAAATTCGATTGGGTTGCCAGGTTTTATATAAAAGTGTGGGGATGCATGAATTGACAGTGTGAATTGCTCGAGTTTCTCACCCAAAACAAATTCCGATGACAATAATAGATGCTCGATTATACTTCTTGTAGCGTTGCATGCATGGAGTTTATTAAACAAACGAGCTATGCTATGTGGTATATATATGTGTGTGCGCGTGTGTGAAAAGAAGAGGAACAAAATAGAATTTGTGGATGACAAAGCGTGAAAGTAAGGAAGTAAGGAGTTAAAGTTGTCTGACAAAGAAACCCGCATGCTTATGTTGGGTGCTGACTCATACGCTTCAAATCAACAACGCTGATATTATGAAATTCGGAAGCAGCAACGACGCTCGTTGGTTTCCTTTCCTCTTTTACTCTTCTCTTTTTCCCCAGAATATGGTAAACATGCCACAAAAGACTCAAGAATACGAATTCAACTCGGTCGAAGAAGCTTTGGCTGATTTCGGTAAGTTGTAATGAGGTGTGTTGTTTTCCTTGTCGCCGAGTCAACTGAATGGGCTGTTTGATAGCCGAGAACAAGTTTGTCATTGTTATGGACAATGAGGATCGGGAGAATGAAGGCGACTTGATCGTTGCTGGCAAGGGCGTGACAACCGAGCAAATGGCCTTTTTAATCAAGTATTCGAGGTGCGTGTTTTTTGTTGTATATGAAAAGAAGGGTGTATATTGATCCGATGTTTGTTAGTGGATACATTTGCGTGCCAATGACAGGTGAACGTTTGGATGAACTCGAATTACCATTGATGGTGCCAAAGAACACTGAATTGATGAAGACGGCATATACCGTTTCGGTGGATTGTGTCCATGGTACAACGACGGGTATTTCCGCACATGATCGAGCTGTCACCGCACGGTACCTGGCGGATCCAAACAGCAAGCCCGATGACTTTTCACGACCCGGCCATATTCTTCCTTTGCGAGCAGTATCCAGAGGAACGTTGGAACGATTCGGACATACGGAAGCAGCTGTCGATCTCTGCAAGTTGGCAAATTTGCCTCGTGTAGCATGCATTGGTGAATTGGTGAAGGAGGATGATCCCACTGGCAGCATGGCTCGACGTGATGATTGTTTTGCTTTTGCAAAGAAACATGGCATCAAGATGATCACTATCAAGGATTTGATTGCTTACAGACAACGACACAATCTGTGAGAGTGAGAGAGAATGTTACAAGCTTTATACCTTTTTCCTCCCTCTTGACATATCATACGTACTTCCACCCCCACTCCCTTCATCCTTTTGTATATAAGATGCAGATGGCCCCCCTCCTTTCTTCTCTTTTTTTATAACTTAATAGAGGTTAACAAATTCACATGTCTTTTTTTCTAATGTTGATGATGAAGGATGATGATGATACAGAAATGCGTGGGAATGCGGGGTTGAATATGATCTACATACACACATACACTAATAGGTAACGTGGCGGATTGTATGAGACCATCGCACGAGCCTCTCAAACGTGGCGTTCAAATGCTCCGCTGAATAGGGTGTGCTTTCATGGGCACGGATCTTGTCACGTTCCGACTCGAGTAAAGCCTTTTCAAATTGCGTACGATGGGGCTCGCATACCTTATCAGAGGATTCTCGCATCATGGCAATAAGGTCCTTGTGATGTCGACATACACTGAGGAGTGATACGAAGGGTGTATCCCACGTGATTTCATTCACTCGATCCACAAAGCTCTGCACCTGGGTAAAGAACCTGGCTCGACTCCTCCATTCTTGTATCGCTTGCACAAACTCATCAACGTTATCATAGCCAAACTCTTCCATCAATTGCTATTCATAGGCCATTAGTCAACACGTTGGTCTATGTATCATCACCATGATGGCGATAGTTACCTCCAAGGCATCCAAATGACGAGCTTTCAATTCAAGCTTTCGAACATTGACATTCCAGTCCTGCACAGTCTTCTGGAGCTCGCTCACATCTTTAAAGTCAAGATCGGAAACCATGCTCTGAAATATTGATAGTAAGTCCCCATTGCAATAGAATCTTCTCGTAATAATACATACCTCTATCACTTTGATATCCTCCATTTTTGATTCGATCTCCTCGGCATTCATTTTCCAATGTACCACGGTGTCCCTGAATTCTTCAATATCACCAATGCCTAGATCGTTGATCAATTCCTATGACAGCTCATGTAAGTAAACGTCGTAATTTGGGATACCGAATGACATGTAGCCATACCTCCACCGGTGCGAATGTCCGTATCCTCGATTCAAGCTTCTTGATACATGCTTTGGATTCTTTGACTGATGCTTCCAAATCATGAGCGTCTTCCATATCCAAATCTGCCATGACTTGCTATAGTCCTCAAAAGCATGAGCTATTACGTAGAATGCCACACACATGGTCAAGGATACGAACCTCCAGAACATTTAACCTTTGGCATTTTTGTCGAAGCATACTAATCGTCGAGTGTTGCTCCTCTACTCTTTGTTGGAGTTCATCGGCATCCGCAAATCCCAATTGAATCATTGCATCCTAGATATCGAGTCAATCATTAAGAAAAGTTATACCAGCCCATCATCCATACCTCGAGCGGGGCGAGCTTATTTGCCTTTGCCTCCCATCTCCTGGCTGTCGTCCTGATCTCCTCGATAGACTCATTCAAATCATTTGCATCGGTAATCCCTAGGTCTTCCATGGCTTGCTATGTGTACAACGCATACCAAAGATTAGAATATACCAAGGCCATGCCGTTTTTACTTACCTCCATTGCATCTATCCTTTGCATTTTGGATTCTTGGATTTTTGCTTCCTTTTTCCACTCATGTACAGCACTTTGAAGATCCACTGCATCTTCAAATCCCATATCGGCCATCATCACCTAGCACGAGCGTCAGCCAAAGATCAAGATACCATTTGCTTGATCCTACCTCGATTGATTCAAGATGCCGTAAACGGGATTCAAGTTTCTTGTTTCTTTGCAACAGCTCCTCAAATTCCTCTTTCAATACTTCAGGATCATGAAACCCGAGCTCGTCCATCATTTGCTATGTATCTCACGTCAATGTCTTGTTTTCAACAAGATCCTCTTCGTATTTGCATATACCTCCATGGGTTCCAGTTGCCGTGTCTTGAGCTCCAATTGCCTTTTTGCATCACTGTCCCATCCACTTAGCATTGTTTTCAGCTCTTGAGCATCCTTGATCCCGAATTCAGCTAACGTTTCCTTCAATATGCATTATCCGTGAGATTCTTGAAGGGTAGTGTGGTCTTTGAAAAGAGAGAGACACGCACCTCGATAGACTCCAAATGGCATGCTTTGTCTTGTAACTCGGGTACTGCGACAGCCCATTCTTCCACAGCTGATTTTAGCTCGTTCGGTTCCTTGAATCCGAGATCGGCCATGATGCTCTAATAACAACATGCATGAATGGTGATCCCTTCCAAAGATGAAACGTTTCACACACACACCTCAATCGATTCAATCCTACGCGCCTTCGCTTCAAGTTTGCTGACATTGCCACTCCAACTTTCAATGGTATCTTTGAATTCGTTTGGATCCTCAAATTGCATATCTTGCATCAAATGCTATCATTTGGTTTAGACTTCCCCCCTCTAGATATCGTGTGTCATCATGGTATTACCTCAATGGGCTCCAGTCTTTTTAACTGCAAGTTGAGCTCCTGGATGGTATCTTTGAGATCATCGACATCTTGAAAACCCAATTCTTCCATTGCATCCTATATGCAACAATTTCAGTTACCAAGGGGGTCGATGCATGGGATAGTAGACGTTCATTCACTTGCCTCCAAAGCTATCATCCTTTCTTGCTTTGCATCCAAATCGCTGATCATTTGAGCGCCTTCGATGCTTGTTTGTACACCTAGTGTAGTGTTCGATCCATCAATCACCTCATCGCCTCAAACCACATCAACCCACCCACCTACCTTGATCCACAATCTTTGATGCCTCCAGCGCTGTTTTTGTTGTATTCAAATCATCATTCACCTGACGCATTGTTTCCTCGATAGCCTTGTTACAAAACGGATGAGATCTCCATTCCAAAAATCACAATGTTGTCATTATTTACCTTGAGACGTGTATCGAACGATGTCGTCAGTGATTTGAATCGTTCATCCCTCTTTTCCTTTCCATGTTTACTTTTTCGATCACGTGATTCACTGTGTTGTCTGTGATGTTGTCTTGAAGATGAGCGGCTCATGGATCTGATATTGGATAGCGATCGTTCGATGCGTAGGCGTGTTTCTGAAGGGTATTCACGAGGATTCATGATACTGCTACTATGACTTCGAGAGTGGGTGCTGGTGCTGTCGCGACTGTCCATTGAAAATGAAGTGGATGCATCCATTCTTGGTAACGTGAAAGGGCTGATCATGCCGCTCACTTGACTACTGCTGCCGTTGTTGTTGTTGTCGTCGTCGTTGTCTTCGTCGTCAGGTACTTTCTTTCGCATGACAGTGGGTAACTCAAATGACTTGATGGCACGTTCATTGCCTACTGACAATGGTGATGTTGAACCAAGGCAAGGTTGCGATAGAGGACGTGGAGGTTGATAGCCGGCAAAGGTTGAGCTGTTTTCATGTCGCAAGTCTGAAATGAAGGAGAAATCGGAATCGCGATCGATGCTTGGGTGGTTGATACTGCCACGAGTGACATAGTTGTGTGCCGAGTCTGTTGATAATGGTGGGTCGTCGGAATAGGTGCTCATAGTAAGAGAGAGAGAGAGAGAGAGAGAGAGAAATAGGAAGAGGAGATAATGAAGAATCAATGAATCAGAGGAGAAGGGAATAAAAGGTGCCTCATTGATCAATATCACTGGCTGAAGACAATGTCTCTTTTCAATAATGCAACAATGGACACATCATCTTTATTTGTGGGTGTTGTCAAATAATAGATGTTATTGCGTATGTAATTTATCATTGGATACATTTACACAAGCAGCTATGAAACAGCGTGCATGAAAGACATGGAGGGGAGTGGCGAGCGGGGGATGAGTCGCGCGCGTGTGTGTGTGTTGCGTCGCGCACACAACTTGAGTTGTTGGCTGCGGAAAGCCAGTCATGTGTCATTCTTCAAAGGCCCCATCCCACTTCACCCACCGCTTTTTCTTTTTCATTGTAAAGCCGACATTCTCTCCACCCCAATGCAAAAGCTCAATGCTGTATTGCCAAACGACTGGCTCCACTATCTCGGCAACCACCGCATATTCGACGTCTCTCATGCCGATCTGCAAACGACACAACAACTCTTGAATGGCGTCGATCCATACGACACCTTTGCACGTCAATACCAGACGCGTGTCATGCTTCTTAGAGGAAGCGACTTGATCGTCGCCGTCGGTTCAGAAATCAGAATGCTCAACATTAGCAACGTCAAAGATGCCTGGATTAACGTCGCACCTACGTTTATTGATACTGGAAAGGATGCTCAAGAGGATCAAAGCTGGTTGCTCCAAGTGCCTTACAAGGTAAGACCCTTCACTATGATGCATCACCATGTTCACTCACACCGATTGATCGATTGCGCGTCTATGTGTGCATTTAGACCCTGTCAACTTCCGGCATCGATTTCCCTATCCAATCCATGGCAATCAATCAAAGCGGCAATCTTTTATCTGTGGCAGGCCGCAGCAAACTTGCCATTGTATGCTTACCACAACAAGGGTTTTCTCATTCAACAAAATATCTTCCCAAAGGACGCATCGATTGCAAGACATTCATCGTTGGCCGCAACTATTATAGTCGACATGTGCGGGTGCTAAAGATGGCATGGCATCCTTTGAGTGAGACACGAACCCACATCATGGTATTGTCAACCGATAATATCTTAAGGTAACCTTTGGATCTCTTTACAACAACAAAAAAGTGTGTATTGACATGCAACGACGATTAGAATGTTTGATGTGAGCGGGAACATTGATGAAGCTGAACAAACCTTCGACTTGGCACCTGCACATTCCAAAGACAAGTCTTCCATGGAACCTGTTCGAGGCATCATCTTGGATGATGATTTGGATCCTGATGAGGATGTGGTGACATTCACTCTCGGTGGCAAAAGTGAAGATGGAAGGAATTGGGAACCTTTTACCGTATACTATGCTTTGCGAAATGGACATCTCTATGCTTTATGCCCTGTGCTTCCATATAAAAGGTATGAAATGGAATGGGACTTTATGGATGCATTCATTGCTTACACGAAAAGCATCTCTTAGTGTGATTGATCATCAGCATATGGAGACATTGGCGTGTGTTGTCGAAGCCAAGACTCAGCAACTTGTCAAAGAAATCAATGACAACGACGATGATGACAGCGACGCAAAGGCATTGTATTATCTATTACGGCTTCAATCACAGTGGATCAGTGATGTTATCGCATCTGGAAGAAAACAAAAGACAGCTGTGGTGGGAGATTCGGATATCGTGTCGATATGTAGCCGAGATTCCAGTGTTCCATTCCCAGTACAACGCCAAGGACCTTTCAAGATTGAAGATGATAATCAACTCAAGCCCGGCAGTGAAGTTGGCGATTTGATCTTTATCAGTACCGAGGCTGCCAATATTCTCGTTGCAGCATATACCAATGGAGACGTTCAATCCTACTTGCTTGGTTCTGAAATTGATCCTCAATGGCTCATGCCTATCCAGGCCCGTGAATCAGATTGGAAACATGAGGTATGGGCTTACTTTTATGGATGTAGATATATATTCATAGGGAACTTTTTATAGCTTGGACAATTTTTATCTTCTGCCGATATTCTTCCCAAAGCATCCATATTCGAGACACTTCATTTACGCGACCAACCTGGTTATGGTGCACACAACATTTCTATTATCCCTGATCATCTTTACAAGGAGATTATCTACGTATATCATGCAGGAGGCGTACATCGTATCAACATGACAAAGCTTGTTACGGGACTAGCCGAGTTGGAGCGTTTGGATGCATCAGGAGCAGATCCCAAAACATTTTATGCCGCTCTCGAGAATTGGCATGCAAAGGACAACACATCAGATTGTACTTGTTTGATTGAAAGCAATGCGGGTGGTGCAAGGTATACATACATGTAGTGGTATATGATGTGTGGATCACTTATCTTGGTTGTAATAGTGCCACGGAGCCCATCATTGGAATGGCGATCATCACCGATATATACCTGACCTATTCCATGCTTGCATTGACGGGATCCTACAAGCTTGTTCCTCATGAGCTTAGCTTACGACAAGATGCTGACAGCACTCCACCAGCCGCTGCCACCCGAGATTCGCCCGAACCTACTCTTGGTAACAAGGATGAAGAGGGTACTGGAAGTTTGCTTGAAGGTCCACTTTACACAACATCGGTTCCTCAATCAAGTCAAACCAAGATTGTTGTACCACAAGAATATGCAGGCAAAAAGGAAGTTGTCATCAGTGAAGATTCTTTGCGATTCTTGTCTACATCCACAGAGACGCTTGCACGCAACATCAATCAAGTGAATAAGGGAACGGTGGCTGCCAAACGGAGATTACAATTACAAGAGCGAGAAATGCAACGACAAACCGATACCATTCGAGACTTGTATCAACGACTGGATGATTTGTTTTCAGCAGAATCGCAAAACAACTTCAACGAAAGGATATTGGAGACTGCGCGAAACCATGGCAAATTGGCATTACGCATTGACAGCATATTGCGACAAGCCATGGGTCGTTTCCAACCAGGCATGTCAACACAAGAAAAGGAGTGGGCTGAAAGCCTAGATGATTTGCAGAACCAAGTCGAAGGAGAACAAGGCTACACTACCAGAATCAAAAAGGTAAAAAGAGAATAGCTGGGGTGGTTAATAGGATACTAATTCGTGTGGGTATAATAATAGCTTCAAGAACAAATGGCAACCTTGAATATCGCCACCACGACAAAGCTTCCATCACCACTCCCGTCGGCAAGATCAAAGATCGACCCTACACAATTGGATTCCTTACGAAATGCACTTGACAAGCAGTAAGTAGCTGTTGTTTATGTTTTCATGGCCTTGGTTTTTAACTTTGTGTGTGTCTCTTAGGGCGGAGTCAGTCAAGGAAACCAAAGCACGCATTACGGCTTTGCAGCGAGTGGCATAATAATCAACCCATCATTCATACATTGCACAATAAAAGCTGCTATCGTTGTACAGTTTGCCCAACATAGTTGTTGTATTATCATCATCACCTATCATAATAAACGAAATCTAGCCCATCTTTTATATACCATATTAGTTGAGTTGCATGTTCAAGTATAGATCGGACGCAAAGAGGGAGATGTCAAATGAGCTGTATATGCATAAATCCGGCGGAAATCCAAATCAGGAAGCATTGAAAGATCATGAATGACAATGCAGAATGCTGAAATGGCATTCAGAGCACATCCCATCTCGAATAAAAATACTTTTTTTACTATTCAAACATATATAACGTAGCAAAATAACCAAACGATAGGCTCATTTCCTCATCGATGACGCCCCTAGACCTTTGATGGTGAGTTGTAAGCTCTCCTTCATTCTTCACTAATAAAAGAAGGTGGTGTGACACTCACTTTGAGAGGGTTTTACATGGCCGTTGGCTGTAGTACCCCATTCGGATGGTGTCGTATGGTGTGCGATATAGTTTTCAAGATCGTTGAGGAATACGTCAATACGGCGATGGAATCCAAGTATCAGCATATGGATGACTCTAAGCATCGGTTTACGGATAACGCCTTGCTGTGTAATCCTGAGCTGTGTTACGTTGGCAGCCGTTTCTTCGAGTTCAAATGTCCATGAGCCAGAAAAGGTAGGTATCTCCTTGAGTATGCGAAGCAGCTTATAATGTGGGACCTGCTCCACATGCACTACCACAATCTTACGTCGTGGTGTATACTCCTCAAAGACGAGCCGAGGTTGCTGCACCGTCGTGTTGGTGGTGTTGGCGCCATCCTCAAGCTGTTGAGTATCATCCTTGTAGGTTTCTTGCGTTTGCTGTTTTGTTTCTTTTATCTGGACTTGGACCAAACGTCGACGCCATTGTGGATATCTCTCAACATCACACAAGATAGACCAAAGACGTGTGGGCGTAATTGAGAATGTGCGTGTCCTTGATACGATATGACTTGCAGGCAGTAGTAAGCCTATAATGTAAACAAGAAATGGTGCGGCAGGGATGATAACGAGTAATGGTATTAAACAAGATGTTGACATGATTGTATAATGGAAAAAAAAGAAGTTGATGGGACCAGTCTTTGGGGATCTCTTGGAAATTAAAAGGTTTCCCAGTTAGGTCGCGTGATGATGTGTGGCAATAACAATAACAAATGGGCGATCTGGTGTTCAGAATCTAAAGCGACATCAAAATAAGGCAATTATCCAATCCAAATACTCTTATTACTCATGCTATCTTTTGTGATAGCATCTCTATAATAGACAATCCATGTTTCAATCCCACATCATCTTGCTCTCTCTATCTATCATTCAACTAGTAGATGCAACAGACACAAACACGCACACACATATATATATAACCACGTGGCAACGGGTGGGGGTGCATGTGAGGTATGGATCCCCAGGTATTGGCGGGCTAATTCTTTTTGAAACGACAGGTTGAACAATGGGGTTATGTATGTATCTATGTAATGCATCTGTATGGCCCATTCATTGGTTTATGCGATGACAACAGCCATATGATCTTGACCAAACTATGTAATGTGATCATCACTGGATACGGGTGGCGGCATTATCTCCCTGAGTAGTGGAGAGAGGTGCAGGTCTTCTTTTCATTCATTCATCGTCCCTTTATTACTGTTTTTGGCTACACCTACAACATACAACACCTTATTCCTATATACACACAACACAACACATACTATGGAGACCAAAAAGGTATGTATCCTTTCCCTTTCTTCTTCGTCCTGCAACTGTAATGGCTAACGAGACGCTCTAGACCAAATACCGATTCCAGTCAGAGATCCAACAAATGATGTTCGTCTTTGGCGAGGTTGCTGATCCCTTACAAGACACGACGCTCTTGGTTGAAGATATTGTACGATCACAAGTTATTGAATTGGTAAGCAAGGGGGAGAGCATGTCGTTATCGAGGTTGAAGGATCGTGGGCTGATTGGAGGGGAGTAGGTGATTCAAGCAGCAGCACAAGCATCACGACGCAATTCCAGGTACTTGAGTGCAGAGGACCTTATCTTCCTTATTCGACACGACCGCGCCAAAGTGAATCGACTACGATCTTTTTTGAGTTGGAAGGATGTACGAAAGAACGCCAAAGGAGCATCAGGGGATGATCAAGTGGAGGATGTTGTGGAGGAAACGAATACGGGCAAATTACATCGAAGCATCATCAAACTACCTTGGGAGCTTGTCAACCAATTTACAGACGTGATTATCAAGCCATCCAATCCAGATGATGAAGAAGAAGATGAAGATGAATTGGAAGCTTTCAATGACACCATTCAACGGCTTCGAGATGCGGATCGTGTTACACGAGTCATGACACGCGAGGAATACGTGCATTATTCGGAATGTCGACAGGCCTCTTTCACCTATCGCAAAGGCAAACGTTTTCGAGAATGGGCCAATATGAATGCATTTGTGGATGTGCGTCCCAATGATGATATCGTGGACAGTCTCGGGTTTCTCACGTATGAAATGGTATCCAAGTTGACAACAACAGCATTGCAAATCAAGCGTGATTTAATCACCAGGAAACGGAAACGGGGCACAGATGATGACGATGACGACGAACACCACCGACCCCAAGAAAATACACCCTCTGTTGTGAGTGGCGCACCTGCTTCAGCCGATAAACAAGGAGGACAGCAGCAACCCGATGGACTCTTTTCTCTTCCAAGTACAGAGCAAACACCTTTGGAACCAGAGCATATTTATGAAGCTTTTCGTCGATTACAACAAGCACCTCAACCTACAAAGAACTTTAGAGGCGGTCTCGTACGCACCAAAGTTTGTCTCATTTAAACCTTCCTTCCATGTACATTCATAACACTATATCCAACAACACCTTCCTAAATAAAAGTTGATCATGTATACATCCTTGTAACTTTGACATCCAAGTAATCTTATATCATCCCATCACCATGATTAACAGAGTCATTAACGAGGAGCATGATAAAAGAAATGCAAGTTTATATGATGATTGTATATGTGCTACGTATCTACTTTGTCCTTTGTTTGCGCGAAGGTTTTGATGCAATGGGTGGCACTCGCTGTTGTAACGTCTCGAGACCAGGTTTGGCGATTAAATCAATGTGAATAGCAGAGCTCATGCGTTTTTGGGAATCAAGATCTTTATCCTATCGATAGTCAACTATTAACATTCTTCCATGTCATCCTCGCTTCCTTTTATGTATGTATTACCATATCATCGGGAATAATGTCATCTACCAATGTCACTGAAGTAGTCGTAGGTCGCAGGTCCACTTGATTATGAAGGGCACCTTGCACCCTCTGTGCTATTGAAATGGTCCGTACAACAGAAGCACCCAATCCATGTAGCGTCACCTTGTGATAACTTTTGCAACAATAAAGTTACCGATTGGAACACCAAGCTATATACGTTTTGACGCCCTTACCGTTCATTGACCATGAGTTGCCGTACACGCTTAATCACGACTGCCGGTATGCTTTTATTTGAAATGTAAATGTCGCTTGGCACCGATGCTGGACGATGAGGCGTGCGTTTTCGGATCGAGCCGTTTTGGATCGGTGCTCGTTTCTCGATCATGGAAGTACAATGAAGGTGGAGAGAGTATGTACAGCGGCGACTGACTGAGATGCTGCTTAAAGAAAATTTGGCAGCCATGGTATACTACTACAATGGATATCAGACAATGACCATGGCTATTGTTCCGTTAGTGAAAGGCAACATCGGATAGATTATGCAATCATCCGTTAGGGAATCAGCTGACCAGATATCATTTATCCCCTTCCATTTGCTCTTTGTGCTCGTTGTGGGATGGTTGTGTCCGGTGTGTGGGTGTGGGTGTGTTAAGATCACGGCATAATATACACATCTCGGAAAGTTTGGAATTGTTTTTAAGCTGGTTTTTGCTTAGTGGCAGTAACGTTTTCAACCTGTTGTTGTTTCCATGATCCACAAAAAGGTAAGGAGTATTCAATGCATAATGCATATGACAGCTTACAATGAATTATCTCTCGACATAATACAAAGACATCTCTCCGAGACGTGGCACAAGAAATGGCTGTATTGTCCCATGAAAGGAATACCAAAGAAAGGAAACCCCTTGTACTCGCTGTGGTGGAATATTGGTCACTGATGGCAAAAAGGCACAACGACTCCCAATCATCACACCAACGATATGGCTACATGAACAACCATGGCGCTCAACGCGATTCCTTGCTGGCGGCAGAATCCACTCTATTTGACAACAATCGAATAAATTGATCTGACTACATTCTTTTATTATCAAATCAGCCTGTGCAAATGATCCGATGGTAGCAGTGTTGTTAATGGGCTTGCTTTGGGGAAGAGATTGGGTATCCAAACTTGGCACATTAACAGCATCCGGAAATTAATCATGACCAGAACTTGAGATGGTTGCATTGTGAGATAAATTAAGTATGGCAGCCCTGACTGAGATAAAGGAGAAATAAGTGATGCTATCCGCTAGAGGGAGTGAGAGAGAGTAGTCTTTAAGTTTACTCCATTGACGATACTTCTAGAAGCCTCATGAAGAAATTTGACGATAAATGACGTGCATGGCATATCAGAGAAGCTAAACGATCCCTTTTACACAATATGAATGATCATAGCGAATCCATTTTGCCCCATAGAACAATAAGCTTCATCGTAACATCGAGTCATTTTCCATGTCCTTTATCACTCTTTCTGTTCAAGCTTTGCATCCTATCATTGCATAAGCATAACATCATCCTGCTGCTGCTGTTGATCTTCGGCGAAATACTAGATTTCTGCTTTTTTTCAGCTGTAATTGATTCCCTTCTTTTTCCCCAATCACTCCTTGTGTGGCTCACCACCATCAATGCGTATCAGTCCCCTGGTGCTTCTATTGTTGATCATGGCGGCAGTAACAAGAGCGACGTCAACCCTATGTTTGTTGATGAGATATGGGTGGCATTGTTGTAGAGGCTCAGCATACAGTAGATACTCACCACCTTTTAATGTAGCCAAAGAATTTTGTACCTACATCATGGTCCTTAAGAAATGCCCTGACATGTCAGCCGAATTCAACCAAGCCAAGAGTGACGTCCGTAAGGCGGGTGGTCAAGTGACTGAAGAGCTCAAATACGGCCTGAAAGGGCTGATTGTTCGATTACCAAAGGATGCAGTGTCTGCTTTCGAGAAGAAGGACTATGTTGATTTCATGGAAAAGGATAGCCCAGGTAACGTTATACTCTATACTAGGTGTGCATTCACTTTGACTGACAATGCTGCTTTCCTTCTTCAGTGCACATTGTGTAAGAGGCTTACTAGGGATGTCATCAAAAAGGCACTACACCAATATGGTCATCTTATTGCTGAGCAATATCAAGCATCATTAACGGAATGTTCTCTGTAATTAAACACCTGGCCAAGTACTTCGATTGCATGAATGAAGGCTCTTACGCTACACATCAAACTTTTGTATTCGATATAGTAACCTTTAATCCAACACAATTCACGAGAGATAGATTGAGAGTGATACAGCGGATTGCTCCAATGAGGGAGATGCAATCTCTGGAAAGCTTTATTCTTTGGGTATGCATTGTGCAAAGGTGAAAGGATGAATGTGAGGTGATTCGCGAGGCGTGGTGGTGTGTCAAAACCTGGAGTTGGATTATGATGGTTGTACATGGTTGACAGGTTGCACAAAGGATCATGATAATAATCGCGTGTAGAATAGCGTAATTGAATGCAAGAATCGTTCAGGATGAAAACATAATGATCAAGTTGACAACGCATACACTCATTTTCTACGCGTTGTATATACCCAATACCTTCCATCCCATGCACCACACCAATATTCACATCCATATCCATATCCATAAGAAGTCTTGTGTATTGAGCAAGTTACTACACGTAAATAAAGCTGCTTCTATACAATGGCTATCTGCTGTCCACGTAAAAAAGGCTGCAAGGTAGGCTGCTGCAAGCAAAGAACGTTGATGGAGACAATGGAGTGAAGACCTCGCTAATAGCAACTGCTGGAATGAATGCTGTTACGTTTGATCGTGGCAGATGAGCGTGCAAGAGAGCGCGTTTTGTCAAGAGACTCGTGTGTTGTAGAAGAGTGACAAGAAGGCTGTGTACACGCCATGGACTTGCCATTCAGCCAAAGGCAATCGGATCAAGAGAGTTGTAGGATTGACATGATGGGTTGAAGCAGGACAATCGTTTGCAGGTGGTTGTTGTACTTGAATGGGGCAACAGGTGAGAATGGGAGGAAGAGGGAAGAGCTGGGAGTGGAAGAAGTAGAAATTAAATAGGTCAAGCACCTCTTGTATAAATGCATGAACACTGTACATCAAACCTTGATATTGAGATTGCCCATCTCAAACCACAAACTTTCACACAAGATGCTCTTGGTCATGCTGATAAAGGTGTTCCGATAAAAACCTCATACTTCATTTAAAAAAGTTGAATAGGAGGATGCAATATGGGATTTACTATGTAAGTCGGAAATGCAGGTCAGCCCCAGATACATGATTTATCGAAGTAGTATGTATTATCTTGGGATTCCCCTTTTCGAACGTGAAACTTTGTCGGAAACTTCGCTGGGACATGCTGATCAACTTCATTCATTTAAAAGTCGCAGACTTCATTAAGAAGATTTAAAATGCGGGGCGATCCAAATGGTGGATGATGGGAACAAAAGAGCGGACGGCCCACCGCCCCGAAGTTGCCCACCTCCAACTTGAAAATTGGTCAGCAGGGTGCTCTCGAGCATGCTGATCAATTCTTTCTAATAAAAACCTCACGCTTCATTTGAAAATTTTGTGTGGGAGCGTCCAAAAGTTTGAAAGACGGAGACATTCGCAGGGTCTGCGATTCATTAATTTTCATGTTTGCTGTTCAAGCGTAGCTCAGCCAAATCAGCTCGGATCAGGAAAGTTGAATGATGGAAATGTTGGGCTGGAGCAGGAGAATCATTCCCATGCAACGTATTTGGCAACAAAGACGAATTGGAGGAAATGGCTGTTAGCTGGCAGTTTATGAGCTATTGTCATAGTATGTATTATCATGCATTGATCCTTTCCACAGCCACCCAATGAGCTGAGTTACACAAAGAAGTCCGTCAGTATCATTTGCTCTATCAGGGGCTAGCTACATGGCTATGAACAAAGACCACTTCTCATATAGCATCACCCTTACAGCATATGTAAAACATAAAGGTGCCTGTATCTCCAAATTTTACAATCAAACGTGGGCTCTTTAATAGATCAACGTGCTCGTCGGGGTCAAAGGAATCTTGTGTCAAAGTATGAAGTTCATCGTGGGCAATCCCAGATTTCGCAATGTCGCTACCAGCCAAACTGGATCCGGGGCTCAACCTCTTTCGACGACGACAAAAAAATATTTTTTGGGCTGTTTGCGACATTGAACGCGAAACTTTCACACAAGGAGCTGTTGGCCAAGCCGAGCACATTGCTCTAATAAAAACCACACGTTTCATTGTAAAGTTCGGAGATACAGGCACCTTTATGTTTGTAAGCGTGATGCTATATGAAGAGTGGTCTTTGTTCATTGCCAAGTAGCTAGACCTTGGAGAGCCAAAGATGCAGAAGGACCTCTTTGGGTAACTCAGCTAAAAAGTCAGGACTTCAGGGACAATGCATGACAGGTACGCAACCCTCACTTTTTTGTCATACATTGGCAGCTAATAGCCACTTATGTGCATTTCCAACTTTTGTGCATTCTATTGTAGGTGGACGATTCTCCTGCTCTAGATATTCATTTCCATGATTAAAGTAGATTGATCCGAGCTGATTTGGTTGAGTTACGCTCACACAAGATTACATCGGTTGAGCTACATCGAGCGTGCTTTATGTCCAGAGTGATGTAATCTCTCTTTGACCACAGCTCAGTCAAATCAGCTCGGATCAACCTACTTTAATCATGGAAATGAATGTCTGGAGCAGGGGCATCGTTCCCATGCAGTGGATCTCGCAATGGTGATTGGATAAAAGTGGCTGTTAGCTAGCAATACATGCCTGTTCCTAGATGATCCATAAAGTAATTATACATTGACCCTTTCATTCATGCAAACGTAGCTGTGTTACACAACACGACCCTCTGCATCTTTTGCTCTGTCAGGGTCCACCTACTTTACAATGAACAAAGACCACTCTTCCTATAGCATCACGCTTACAAACATAAAGGTGCCTGTATCTCCGAACTTAGCGGTGCTCAGAATTTCCGAACTTTACAATGAAACGTGTGGTTTTTATTAGAGCAATGCGCTCGGCTTGGCCAACAGCTCCTTGTGTGAAAGTTTCGCGTTCAATGTCGCAAACAGTCCAAAAAATATTTTTGGTCGTCGAAAAAAGTTTCAAGAGGTCGACCCCCGATCCAGTTTGAAGCTGGTAGCGATTATGGAAAATCGACGCTTCCACGATGAACTTCATACTTTGACACAAGATCTCTTTGACCCCGACGAGCACGTTGATCTATTAAAGAGCCCACGTTTGATTGTAAAGTTTGGAGATACAGGCACCTTTATGTTCTACATATGCTGTAAGGGTGATGCTATATGAGAAGTGGTCTTTGTTTAATGTAAATTAGTATGACTATAATAGAGCAAAAGATGCAGAGGGTCGTATTGTGTAACACAGCTACGTTTGCATGAATGGAATGGGCAATGGATGATACTTTATGCATTATTTAGGAACAGCCTGCAATGTACATACAATGACTTTTTTTTTACTTTTTATTAAGGATCAATTGATGTGATATAGCGTATTGGCTCATCGTGGTACACCCCCAATCACCTGGCACTGCCGCCAACGAAAGCTCCAACGTCAATCTACATGCTCTATTATTAACAGCTCTACATTGGATGGGACACGTTTTTAACATCAAGGCGTGTGTATTGAGCTTCTGACGATAACAAGGATGAGGTGGTTGGGACATCTGGTTGAAAATATGCAGGTTTTGGGGAGATGCAGCTGTGTGTGTGGAGAGGGAGAATCGCTGGGAGACCAGCACAGAGCATAGCAACGGCCAAGAAGACCCTACTATAACAGCACCACGCGCTCATGACTACAATCGACATGAGGTTCAAGTCACCTTTCCTTTAGATCACAGCAACGATCAGTCAAGTGTTACTTTGGCAACCGAGATCACAGCAACGAGCGGTCAAGTGTTACTTTGGCAACGCGTTTTAGAACATGTGAAGAGGCAAGAGTATGTATGTGTATTTAAAAGACAAGTTTTATTTATGATGGTACTAATACTAATACTATAAAGAAGCAGCTGTTGGTTTCCTTGAGGCACAAAGCCAAGTACTTACAGGGATGACCACGAGAAGGTCGCTGCTCAACCATCCCCACCTCTACCTGTGGGCACCAATACCAGGTCGACAAGGTGCAGTGCTGGGGACACCGCTTGTACCTTTTTTGAAGACCGAGAGAAGTAGTTGGAGCCCCCTACAACTAAATCCCTCAAATCAGGTGCCGGGTCTTGACGCGCCAAAACCTCGTTGGAAAGAAAGGGTAAAGAAAAGAGAAGGAAAAAGGCGTTTATTTTATACCCGTTGCTGGGGCCGGTTGCTGCGGATGGTTGCTGTGACTGAAACAGGTCGTGACACCAACATCCCATATATGGGTTGCAGTGGTCATTGTCTTCTTTATATCGTGTTGGCTAAAGAGGTGATGATAAAAACATGCAACAAAGACACTTCTTGTACCTTGGATCAATGCTATATAGGGAAAGTGGAAATGCGTGAAACGTGCACGGTTCACTAGCTGGATTGATTTTGTGGAAAGCGCCGCTGCTTCTCTTGTTTCACACACCACCAACTCAACAACCCGACTTGACTGATGGCGCTTCGTCAATGCAACAACGTCAATGGCAACAAGAAACGATAGTGGAGCGTGTCAAACAGCGATCGGTGACCCATGTTCCTTTTTCATTGGCCAAGAGCGTAGCAATGATGCATCCCATCATGTGAAGGGAGGTTCCTTGCAACCCATCACGTACGATGAGCCACTACCTTCTGTGCCCCACATTAAACGGCCGCGACACTAGCAGGATATCATTATTTCTTTTGCATGAAGCTACATGACGACTTGTCCTATTGGTCATCAAAGGGGTTTAAGTATGTTGAAAAGGAAAAGGGATCGTTTGTGTACAAGGTGTATCTCACACATATGGGTTCTAGTACGTTGGATGTCATCCATGACAATGATCGCAAGATGGTTTCAATGGACTATTCAATATCCAACACGAAAAGGCAATCGACCGGTGATGCTGATGACAACACGAGGTTCACCAAGGGCTCTGAGAAGATCCAGTTTCAAACAAGGATGAAGAAGTAGCTGCGTGGGTATCTCATGAAGTGCAATGGTGCGCATTATGGATGATACAATGGGGCTTTTACGGCAAGAGCACAGTGACGGGATCAAGAAGAAGGAAGGAAGGCAACCATGTTTGTTTCATCGCTACTACAGCTGTCATCACTCAAACGACATTCCAAGTACTGAAACAACAATCTCCACGACGACCGCGGATTACATGCTTTGGTATCCGGTAGAAGATGGCAATGTACGATTGGACAGCCATATAGCACACCTTCCTTGTATCTTTGCAGCAGCTGAGGATGGTTACATGAGTCATAGTCTCCTTGATGAGAATACTTCGCTGTAGCTATTGGCATAACAATAAACACAGTATGCTTCGATAAGATACCTAGTTTGTCATAATAATGAGTGTGAATGTAAATTGAGACGTGCCGGCATCCATCATGATGACTTCAACTAGACCGATGAAGCAGCAGCTGATTGACAAATATCATCCAAAACAAGGTGCGAAAGGCATGAGTGACCCAGTGGTGGGGAAGGATGTGGGCGCAAACAATATCAATGTGTATCGTTGGTGATGGTGGGGGATCATTTCAAGCGCGCGCAAAGAGTTACAAACAAGGTCAGCAACACCGCTCCCAATGATCCACAGCATCTATATACCTGAAGCCTACATGCCAAAGCTCCATCTTGTACCTTACATATACAATGGTTGTATCAATGAACCATCCACTATTGAAGAGGGTTCTGTTTCTTGCTACATGTGTTACCAAATCATTCTCACAACAACAATTTACGTTGTTGCCTGGCAACGGGCTTGTTAGTAATTACACCCAGCAGCATCATGATGCAGCTTTATACTAGCTCAGTACTAAAACGGTGTTGAATGTAGCACCTCTTGTCGTGTTTTCTATCAGCCAAAGTACGCAAAAGGTAAAGTTGGAAATCCATGTGGCACCGAGAATGGCCCATTGAAACACAAAGCATGGTAAACAGCAGCGATGTCGGAGTCAATAGGATATACGCGGGCGGTGCCCTGAATGATCGACAAACCTTGTCACAAAAAAGGAAATGAGCTGTTTTTGTTCGATCAGTTTTTTTATATTGATACAATAACGTAGAAAAAGCTTATTACAACAGCTGCACACATGAATTCAAAAAGTGGTAGTAGAATGTGTATGTGATGGGGTATTGGTGACAAAAGAGCGAAGAGTGAAAAAGCATATATAAATCGAAAAGCAAAAAGGATGGGTTGGTGTGCTGTGCATGTTGTTGTTTGGCAGGTTACCCCAGCCTCTGCGTGTGCAGTGTATGAGAAAATGCATTCTGTGCAATACATCATGGTGGTTTTCTTTCATCAAAGCAGGCCATCTCGACGCAAATTAGCCTGGATGATGATATCGTTTACAGCCGTCATGACAAATTTGATTTGCTTGGTATCGGTTGCACATGTGAAATGAGGATATACTTGTTTCCCGGATGTTGGACTCGCGGTGTTGAGCTTAGTAAATCGCTCCATGATGTATTGACATGCATCGTCGTAGCTGTTACCTATGGTGATACAATTGTCGATCAGTGATACTACAACATACAAACATAGGATGGGGCCCGAGTAGTACTGTACCTTGGTAATCTTTAAAGTATTCATTGAGAGGATTCGTTTTTAGCTTTTGTCGAAAGAGATCGGTCTTGTTGAGGAAAAGGAGGATGGATGTTTTTTCAAACCAGCGCGAATTGCATATGGAGTCAAACAATGTAAGGGCTTCATCCATGCGATTCACTGATTCGTCTTCCATAAGCAGCTGATCGTATTCGGAAATAGCAACCATGAAAATTACAGCAGTGACGTTTTCAAAGCAATGGATCCATTTTTTACGTTCGGATCTTTGACCACCCACGTCAAACATACGATACGTGAGCTCGCCAATGTTGAATGTAGTCTCAGTGATGCCGGTGGTCTTGACGCGTGAGCGTAACACATCTTGGTCGGTGGGTACATAATGTGGGTCGCCGATCCTATCCATGGAGTCAAAGTAACTTTCATTGTGATATGCAGGTTAATGAAATGTACATACATAATACATAGGGAGATGAAGGTTTTTGTGTATACTCACTATGATGCAGAATCATTGAGCTGGAACTCGTTACTACGTCGAATGGCTTCTTGTACACCCTCATCAGCGACGAGAATGTTGATAGCATCAACAAGATCGGCTGGCATCCTATCGGACATCTCGGATGGTTGTCGCAACACAAGCTGAATGGCGGCTTCACAGGCGGGGTTGTGATGAGCAATTCCCAGCCCATTCATGGCTTCTATGATCACTTGCATAGATTGGACCGTGTTGCTAAAGATTATTTCACGATACGCTATTCTTTCGTCTTCTGAAAAACCACCATCGTGGATGAGTCGCATTTGCTTTAGAAATGTCGACTTGCCCGATTCACCAGCACCTAATTAAGAAAGGGAAAAAATGTCAGGCCACTATTTACAATCACAACACTAAATCCATTGTTCATTGTTTACACTGGCTGTTGCTACGATACCACAAATCGCCATGCCAACAACACAACCCCAAACTCGGTTAAAAAACTTTACCTAATAACAATAGCTTGACTTGGTTTTCCATGTTGAGCTTCTCCATACGCAGTTGGTTTTCAATTTCCTCGTTCCTCGCATCATGTGTATCTGGTACAGACGCACAGCACCCCATATTTTTGTATGAAAACGATTTGAGATATGAAAAAAGGAAGGGATATTAAAAAGAGATGATATGAAAAAAGGAATGGAAAGAAAAGAGAGAGAGAGAAGGCGGAGCCACTGGCACTTTGAAAAGAACGAAATACTTAATAAGGAGCTGCATATTGCGTGACACAAGCCTTTTTTTCTTTCAACATCAAGTAGAAAGGGGAAGGGATGGTGTTGTATGTGTACATTGGGCATCTAAGTTTTTGCCATGTGGGGTATACGTTATTTAGTTTTCAAAGCGAGGCAATCGGCTAATGCAAAATATAAGGATGCTGACACCACAAAGGGCTGCGGCACATCGAAACATCCAAATCGTGCCAAGATACTCGTCTAAATAGCCACCTATCAATGCTCCAAGGGCTGTACCGAGTCCTTGATGTAATGAGCCAAGCACACCTTGAGCTACAGCACGTTGCTCTGGAGGGAAAAAGCTATCCATTTCGCTGACAGAGGTGCCCCAAAAGATGGCAAAGCCAATACCATGCAATGTTTGTAATGCCAGTGCCAAAACATGGCTGACAACAGAATCGGGCACGAGCCAAGTGTAGCCCAGACACCGCACAATAGTCACCAAATGAGCAAGCACGACCAATTTGGTTACACCCCAGCGCTCAGTCATCTGATGTCATCATCATTGTTGGTGGTTAGCATGCATAACATAATAAAAGATGTAATCCTACGTACCTGCTTTGAATAAAAGAAGGCAAGTAACTCTGTGAGTCCGCCTAAAGGACCCGTCCAGCCGATCCAGCTTGCTGGCATGTGTAGATTATCGCTGAGAAACAAGAACAAAAAGTTGACAATGATCGAAAGGACGACGCCAAAGAGCAATGTAGTAATGAGATAGCCAAAAACACGTGGTGACCGAAAAGTGCTGGTGGAAGGCACTTGTACGGAATCGGAATCATCCGCCATTATACCAGCCGTGTGCTCCACAGACATCACTCTGGATACAGCAAGGCCCAAATTATTGTTGTTGAACGATGAGGGGGAACATTCGAGTGCATCATTGGCCTCTTCTCTTAATGTACGAGCCATGGATACGATTGATGTAGTCGTTGTTAGCTTGAGGAGGCGTTGTTGTTGATACGTTTCGAGTGCTGTTGTATAGCTGAGATGATCGTCATCATCATCCGTATCATGCCTTGATAACGATTGGTATAATGTGACAGGGTTATGGAGAGGATGCATGTGCCGGCTATTGGTATTGACCATAGGAGGCATGTTGTTGCCATCCAAAAGCCGTTGTTGCTCCTCATCTAGTGCTGGTATAGCGGGTTCCTCCACATCCGTAATAGCACTGCATATCATGAAGCCCACTGTGCAAGCCGCAAAGACCCAAAACAGCATATCAAGATTATCAGTTGCCGAAATTAGGATGCCAACAAGCAAAATCGTTAATCCAGTCGACACAGAGCCCCATAGTCGCTGTTCACCTATTACCAAAATACAACCAATACCATAAATGATAAGCCAATTTACAATGTTGTGATGCTGTTATTACCATAGAGAATCTTATTTGGACCAAGAATTTTCATGACAGCGCTGTCGACAAGTGCCGTGTTTGGCAGCGTAAAGAATGCAAAGGCGAGTGCAAACGTACACGTAGCAATGACGATGCTACGTTTGTTGTTGGTATCTTCATCATCATCATCGGCTGTTATTGATGACTGCACGTAATGGCCTATGCCCATGATACCCATTACGGCAATACCACCGAGACAACTTGTGAATGCCATTGTCGCGCCATGAAGCCGTGGGTGCTTGTCGACAAAATACGTCCACACTGGGCATGATATGGATTGTACAAAGGGTGCAATGGCAATAGCAAATCCAATTTGATCCGAGGAAAAGCCTAAAACATTGCGATAATAGAGTGGCAGGTACGGTGGTGCTGCTGACAGCAAGCCAAACACCGTAACATACAAAAGCTTGCAAAGGGTATACATGAAAAAAAGAACACTAAGGTATGCTACTCGCTGTGTAGCGTATTAATATAGGGCGGATGGATGCGGAAAAGAAGGGTGCAGCCGATGTTTCAAAGCATTGATAGATGTCCTTTCGGTTTCACATTGTGTTGCAAAGGATTGCATTGATGTTTGCGGGGTGGCAAAATACAAACACGCCAAACTAAAAGGGGCCACTTTTGCTCTGTCATTGTGCGACGGCTACGCCAGCAAATATGGCCATAAACTCACATGACACATTTAAAACCTCCTTTGTTCTTGCTGCACCTTCTCCTTTGTTTGATCCATGAAAATGATATCGACTGATCTAGACGACCCCTTCCCCTATTTATCATTGTAATAGCAACAGCAGCATAATAATGACTACATGTGCTCCTGTGTTGAGCACACCATATCAGCACAAGCGTCGTGAGAATCGCACCAAATATACTGTGCTCGAGCCAACTTGGAAAGCTTTGTATACCTTGTGATGTTGCAACACACAGCCTTCGAAAAAGCTGAGAGGTGTGGTGTTGTACACGCTCTTTTATTCACACACCTGCTGATAAGAAGCTTAATCTATGTGCTGCTTTATGATGATGATGATGGGTGTGGGCATGTGTTGTACGTTATCTCCCACAATCATCACTGATTTTTTTTCACGTATCGTATTTTGGATGGCAACAACAGCGTTTATTTTCGCTCTCGGATTGCCCTTCCGCTGATATCAACGCCGTTGCTTGGTTTCAAGTCATGCATGCAACAAGAGTCCCATGTTTATGACGCGCCTTTTCAAGTGCTGCAAATGCCATCATGGTCGATCTCCTCATTGTTTCACATACAAACAATTCCCAACAACAATGACAAAAACAGAGCTATCACCAGTTATCGCGCCATCCATATCCCCTAAAATTCTTTATTACGGATAGACAATCGCTCTTCTTTCCCATCTACTTTCTTATGAGGACTCGAAACGACCAACGAGACTTTTGACTAAAGTAGAGGCATACACTAGCTGCTATATAACGAGGGTCATTGTTGATGATTATGATGCTTGAACGTCGCTGATTCATGTGGCGCACAAGTTGAAGATCTCGATTTATAGCAAGCATGGACCATCACCTGCAAGTCATTCATAAGCTAATACATGTAAATAAAATGACCACACGAGTTGCACAACTAGTATTCTCTCACCAAGCTCATCCTTTTGTGATGATAACCATTGCTGCAAGAATATCGTTGTTCTCATCACGCAAAGTCACACATTGGCAAGGTTGCTCTCTTTGATAATCTATATCCCCTGGTTTGTTTGATGTCGTAGGCTGCTGTGCAGTTACACGTGCACTCCTCTACTAAAAACGGTTATCCCGAGTGATTCTTGATGATAAGGTACAAATGCAGTAAATGGATGGGTGATGGATGTAGAAGATGAGAACTCGAAACAATGGGGGCTGAGGCACAAGGCTAATGTAACCTTTCTTTGATAACTTATTTGACGTGGGTATCACAAAGGAAACGGGATCTAATTGCCGCTTTTACTGGCAGCTAATATCATAGACTCAAAGTCAAGCCGTCAACAAAGGTGGATGGATCGGTTGCTAGGATACCGTTTGCCTTTGCCTATTACAGCTAGACATGGCTTAAGAAAATTGGGGTCTACAAGGCTGTACATGCTTATCATCAATGCTCATGGTATCCCGCTCAATTACGCTGGTAAGTAGTTTTGACGACCAAAGTACAAAAAAAAAAGAAGACATGGACAACCACATTATGGGGTTGCATGGTGACAATAGATGTATTTGAAATATAGCTTAAGGAAGTGATTCATGGTACAGTAAAGGGGATGGGTTCAATGCTATCAAAGCGTTTCATTGTTGTTTGCGTGGCGTGAAGCGTATCTTGTAAGGTGCTGGTACCACAACAATACCTGCGTTCACATATTTATCCATATCGGGACATTGGGGTTTTCCATTCGAATCCAATCCTGCTTCGATGTTGTATTTGTCAAAGATGCGCACGAGCACCGCAAACATCTCCACTTCACTCTACAAACCCAAGGGCATGAGAAAAATAATACCAAGATTACTCTGCTGGACTCTACTTTCTTACCAAGTATGTACCGGGACACAGGCGTCTGTTGCCATGGAAACAGGAGAAATGAGATACACAATTGCAAGATGGTATGATATCGCTTACGTACCTTCCCCAGCCAAAGTTGTATTGATCACGATGCTCCAATTTGCCATTGCTCAATGCTGCCATTGTTGATTTGTTTTGCATGAAACGCTCGGGGATGAACTTTTCCGGTTCAGAGTAAACATTTGGGTTGAGATGAATGCCATGCATATTGCAAATGACTGGTGTTCCCTTGGGTATAAGATAATCACGGCAAACCACTACAACAATGAAAAGTGAGAATGCGAATCATATAGTTGTTGCATGTAGAAACTTACGATCTTGTTCCATAACATGTGCCATGCCAAAGCTGGTGGGTGGTCTAAAACGTAAGCCTTCCTTCATGACCGACATGATATAAGGCATTTGGGTGTATTCGGAAAAGGAAGGTAGACGACCTTCATGTTGTGCCTTGAATGTGTCAATCTCTTGTTGGATTTGGGTTTGCACGTGAGGATGATTGACGAGGATCACAAACAACCATGCAAGTGTCACCGATGTTGTGTCTGTGCCAGCGATCACCAGATCACCTGTTTTGACAACAATAAGCATATACAATCTTTTTATAGCCCCGTAGATGACATACTCATGATCACCATAATATCATCATCATCCAATTCATGCTCTGCTTTGATGTTATCCAATGTCTTGACAAAGCAATTTTGATCCGTTTTACGAGCTTGTTGCACGAGGTATCGGAATAGCCGGTTGCGAGTTTCCAAAAGCCTGTCACTCTTTTGTTTCTTGTTGCGTGCTTGGGAACCAAATTTCTCGAGCCAGTGGAAGATGGGCAAAAACGATGGCAAGTCATTCTCCAATCCTGCAAATCCAACATGCTCGTCAACATAGTGCACAATGTCACGAAAGAGAGGATCGTCCACTGAATCAGCACGTCGAGCAAAACATGTGCTGAGGATGACATTGAGTGATGCGAGTTGTAAAGTTTTAAAGGGATTGATGCCACCATCTTCTTTGCTCGCTGATACAAGTCGTTCTAAAAGTGTATCCGCTTCATACTCAATCATGTCGTTGAAAGAATCCACCATCTTGGGAGCCAAAACCGTCAATGCTATGTATGTAGAAAAAGTACATCAATGCATGGCAGATCCTTGAAAAAGGAGTACATGTAAACGAACCTGCTTTGCGAGTATTCCGCCAACTCTTTGTTGGATTAGCAAACACGATGCCTCTATGTACATAAAATGATGCAGCCAATGCGTTTGAGCGATTCATGTGTACCTCTACTTTGGCACTTCCAATGACACGTACTTTCCACCCATAGCGTAAACTTGATAGATATAGGAACCAAAAGGACGACCAGAGCCAATAGCACCATTACTGACAAAGATTTCATGTGCGATTTGCGGGTCTATGTAATCGGGTGATCCACAAAGAAATCAGTCAACATGACGATGTACATAGTCCTTTAGTATATATACCATCGACAATGATCCAGCGTTGTACGCCCATTTTGATTTGGATAATAGGGCCTGTTGATGATGATGATGATGATGACATGATGAGTTATGCATGCGCGCCACATGGAAGAGGACAATGAAAATGAAATAAGGTTTATGGGTTACCTAGCTCCTTTTGCCATTCCGTCAATTTGTGTCCAGGCATCGATCCCAGCGATAGTAAGTGGCCTTTTTGTGTAAAGTAGTACTTAGCACAGCTACTCGTGGTAACGGTTGTTTATGCTTACCAACATATGGATAGCTTTGCTTTGGTGTGGGGATTTCCTTGAGAACGGGACCAGCACGCTTACTGCTACCGATGAGACTTCGTAGTGCATAGGCAGCAACAAATACGGCAGTTGTAGCTCCAACAGCAACTGCTACTTGCTGACGATTACGATCAACAGCTGTCCACACGTTACTACTACTAGTGGTGAGGATCGACATGTGTGAAGAAAAAGAAGCGAAAGAAAGAGTGAAAAAAGGGAGCGTGGTGCAAAGAAAGAATATAATAGCGAATGTTGTATGTGCGACCCCAGGTTGCATACATAGTTACCAAGGCTTCCTAACCTTGGTGACACTGCTGTCATGTGCTGTTATTAGTTGTTGTTGGATCCATCCCGGCCATCAGCTCCGTCATAGTAGTAGTAAGAACACTCGAAGATGCGTTACAGTAAAAAGAGATTTATCATAATAGCAAAGGGTAGGAGAGGATGTTATGTACTTGATTTGGATGAAGGCTGATCACATTTAATATAAAAGAGTGTGTGTGTGTGTGAGAGAGTGAACATGTGGTCTTGGATGAATGAATGAATGATGACAACCAGCCTAGCCTATCGGAACCCCAAGTTCTTTTTTTGTTAAGCGAGGATTTCAAACCGAAAAGCATTTGTCTCACTTACACCCATTCTCTTTTTCAATACTTGACGACTCTTATGGAAGAGGAATATGAATCCCTCGGGTCCAATGCGACCATGACCCAGAATGCGATTGCAGGGGCTCTTGCTGGTATCGGTGAACACTGTCTAATGTATCCGATCGATTCATACAAGGCAAGTAGAATAGGGAATCGCGTTACCCAAAGGAAACAAAACAATAACACCGAGGTCAATCGTCATAGACACGCGTGCAAGTTCTTACAGCAGCAAGTCAAGTATCACTCAAAAACTGTTGGCGTGGTGTTTACTCGGTCATCCTTGGTGCTGGCCCGGCTCATGCTCTTCACTTTGCCACATTTGAATACTGCCGATCCAAGTTTGCTAGTGGCAAGCACGATCTTATGGCTTCGGGAGCTGCTGGTGCGTGTGCTACCTTTGCTCATGATGCGTTGATGACTCCATTTGATGGTAAGGAGAAAGCAAGGATACAAGTGAGGATATGGAAAAGTTTAATTTGGTGTGTGTGTGTGTGTGTCATAGTGATCAAGCAACGCATGCAACTACGAGAAACGACGTATCGCACCGTGCGTGAATGTGCTCGCAAAGTGTACTTGAATGAAGGGTGGACAGCATTCTACATTTCATTTCCTACGACGTTATCCATGTCAATTCCCTTCCAATCTATCCAATTTGCTACTTACGACTTTGCATTATCGCTTCTCAACCCTGCCAACAATTACGATCCAAAATCACATATGCTAGCAGGCGCACTCGCAGGCGTTGTTGCGTCTTCTATCACAACCCCTCTTGATGTCATCAAAACTCTACTTCAAACTCGTGGCTCTTCTCCAGATCCTCGGATACGGCATTGCTCGGGTTTATGGGAGGCTGCAAAAATCATTGGTGAACGTCAAGGTGCCCAAGGTTTCTTCCGTGGCTTCCGTCCACGTGTATTGACGCATATGCCAAGTACTGCTATTAGTTGGAGCGTTTATGAATATTTCAAATGGTTCTTATCCACAACTTCCGCCTCTTCTTCCTCTTCCTCTTCCTCCTCCACGTCAAAAACAACAACTCCTTGATCGTCATCATTCATCCCACCACTTTTACATACATCTCCTTTCCCCCTCTTAGAGTATCGCTAATTCATCTCATTCTACACCTGCACACTCATTCTCTCCCACACAATTCCCACATTGTACATTATGTTGAATCATTTTTTAATGTCGCAAAAGAGAGAAAAAGAAAAGATTTGTATAGTTGCATTAAAGATTAAAGTGACGATCTGCAAGGAATTGTTTCAGTTGTGCAACCTGTGTTTGTGTTCGTTCTTTTTGATCCTTGAAATCTGCTGGTAATTCGAGTTTGCCGAGTGAGACATAGATCTTGCCGAGTAACATGACAACTTCCACCAATGCGTCATCCGCTATCTCTCGTCGTCCATCCTCGTCAATGCCAGGTTTACCGATCCATAATGCAATTTGTGATGATAATAAAATCACGCTTCCTTCCACAACACTGATTAATCCCTTGATGGCTTGTGAGGGTGCTTTGCTGTCAATGAACTCTTTGATAAGGCTGAGAGCTGCGTTGCTACATTCCATCATGGTACCAAATGAAGGTGGTTCACCAACTGCGACACGTAGATTAGGACACAGAATAGTGTTGCCAAATGGCCATTCGATATCAGGCCGCTTGATGATCTTCTTCACATCCGTTAATTGAATCAATGTGATCAAGATGTTGCGTTGGATTCGCACCGCTTTTTGCATAGTTTGCTGCATCAATCGACTGGTCTTGACATCGGTAGTTGATGGTATTGAGGATGATGAGGATGATGTGGCTGATGATGATAATGATGATGGGACGACGAGCTCTTCTGCCAATTTACGCTCTGTGTTGTTGATTGGATACAGCTGTGCTTGGAGATGTGCAGGATGAGTGAAAAAGTAGAGATATCGTTGTAACAAGGTCAATGCACAATCCTTGTATGCCACAAACAAGTTGGCTGTGTACGACATGACCCGATCAAGTTGCTTGGCAAGTTCAAACATGATCATGCTCAATTGATCCACTTCTGATAATAGGCAAGATGCAAGCGATTCGGAAGGTGTCAAGCCGAGTAGCGAATCATTAGCCCCATTGGCTAGGCGGAAACAGGCATCCACTTGAGGACCATAGATTTGTAAAAAGGAAACCACGTTTTGAAGCACCTTATCGGATAGCGCACGATCCGTGTTCTTGCTCAAGGTACGCAACAAGTTGTTGAGGACACATAACATATGGCACCATACTGTATGCAAAGGATTTCGCTCCACGTATTTTTGATTGCTATCACCAAATCGAAGGAACATCTCGAGTTGTCCTTGTTGCAAAATAGGTGTGAGGGTATTGTGGCAGAACATCTCAAGTAGACCACTCTCCATAAGCACCGTGGCTGTCTCGGGCATTCCTGATAATACGAGAAGCAGGTAGCATCCATCTTCTGCATAAGGCGAAATGTTCAGGTTGCTGTGTCCATCAAATTGCCTACGGTATCAAATATGAGTATTATCACAATAAGGATTACTAAATGCATGAACATACTTGTTGATCTCGCTAATCATCAAATCAATGCCACCATAGATAAGCTTGAGTAACGAGGGAATGGTATCGTATCGGCGGAAAATAGCCAACCATTGGTCTGAAGAGATGGGATAGCTTGGATTGATCAATTCAATGATAAGTGCAATGCACACACTCATATCCTTGGCGCACTCTTCATCGGATGTATCACGTGCTGTTTTGTACACCAACATCTGGAAACATTCACATGCCACCTCGATAAGATTGGAAAGCAATTTCTTGAGTCGCTCAGCGTTACGTTGCTTGAAATCGGACATGGGATCAAATGATTTGCGTAGAGAGCGTAAAGGTATCAAAATGGATTCAAGCACAGGTCGATGATAAGCAACAGGCACAAGCTCACTGACACTCTTGATGAGAGCAAAGTTTTGGCGTTGAAGCAATCCACTATAGGTCTCCAAAAGGCTGAAGCACTTTTCAGCAAAGTCCATCTTGACATTGCGTTCCAAAGGCACGTTGCAGTTCGCACGAATCCAATCCTCAGTCAAACCACGTATCAACTCCAATTGCACGCTGTAGGTCGTCAAACTAACACCATCCATACGCTCATCAGCTAATGCGTCCCGAGTCAATGCCGTCAAAAAGTCGAACAAGCTGGTTGCACGTAATCCACTAGACTTGTTGCTGCCATTCCAAAGGACATCACTCACGTGACATGAACAAGCTTCAATGAACACCTTGAAGGATCGTAACATGACAATCTCGGTATCCACCAAAGACCAGTTGTGATTGGTTGCACACAAATCGAGCAAGAATCGACGTCCTGCATCCGTCACCTTGCGTACTCGCCATACAGCAGGGGTTACAATGGCATCCTCATCATGAATATCGACATTGTGTTCTTTGGAAATGACATCGATCAAAGGTTGTACTCGTGCGTCGGCAATGCGTAAATCGTACAAATAAGAATCACCATACTGCTTGGGCTCGCCTGATTCATCATCATCGCCAAAACCCACTGCACCCACCGTGTACAATAAGCTGTCAGGTGCTCGTTGAATACCAACAGACTCAAGGAAGGCTTGGGCATCCTTTTTGACAGAATTGGCAAGTTCTTCATCAAAGCTGTTCTTTGCAAAAGTCTCACGCATGAATTGAAGCTTGTTGGGGTCGTTCATCTTGGCGAGTTGATTCTTGAGACCAGCAGGTAACTTGTCAGTGATGGATCCCTTATTGGTGCCTGCTGTCAAGTGGATCTCAAAAGCCATAATGCGCATCACAAAGGCCTTGCTGATATTGAGACAACATATCCTTCGAACAGCTTCATTGCCATTGGAAATAGTGACGTTGCGAAGATCACCCTCCTCCTCTTGGTCGATAACATCATGTCCCTTTTCAAACACCAAATTGCTTCGTCCAGGATGTTCCATACGACTTGGGTTCAAAAGGATCTTGCCAAGTGCATCCCACAATGCGCTGTCGCTACGTGTACGTTGAACCAACATGTAATGATCAAAAGCCGTTTGCCAAAAGGTCGCCAAGAAACGAAGCACATTGGATAATACAGTGGGCTTCTCCATTGATAGCATCTCCCAGTGACCCAATAAATCGACAGCTGCACGAATGGCTGATTCTGTTGCGGGTGTTGCTGCTGCTGCACCTGTACTCTGCTGTTGTTGCTTCTTTTGTTCCTCCAGCAATTTGACAGCTATAATTCAACCATGTTAGATTCAAATAGGGGATGATGTGAATGTATAAAAAAACTCTTACCTGACTTTGGACTTGGCATAATATATTCTCCACATTCCAAGAACAAGATGGCTAAGCTTGGTTGTGTTTCCATCAAGAGCGTAATCATCTGCCAAATCGATGCCAATAGTCGTTCTTGTTGGAATTGATCTTGTGCAATGCTCAAATACGTGCGAATGATTTCTTGTGCTTGATCCTTGTCGCCCAAATGGCGTACAATATTGGGAGGTACTTGCCAAGCAGAGATATTGCGGCAAAGCAAAGTGACGATATCAGTGGCGAGGATAGCGAGCACCGTGTTGTGTTGATAATAAATATGCTTGGTGAGCCGTAACAAAAAGTCGGGACCAGTGGCATCACCCGTAGTGCGTTCGAGCATGAGACGTTCCAACGTGCTTTCATGGGATGCCTTTCCACTCTGCACAACCTCCAATCTTTGGCGCAACAATAACTTGATAAACACCATTGTCAACTCGGTCAACTTTTGAGCACGTTCAGCTTCCTTGGGACGACCCGCGTGATATAACTTGTCAGCTTGTTTTGCTCCATGGCACACCGTGTCAAGTAAAGGTGCAACGTGATAAATACCACCATCGTATAAAAAGTTGTTGATGATGCCTTGTCGGAGACGTTCCAATGAAAGACCATTGCTGCTATTGGTGTCTTTGAAATACTGCACGATCTCAATGAATGTGTTGAGCACCTTGATGCCAATCAAGAATCGCTGTGAAAGATACTTGTAACGCCAACCAGCATAAGATGGGAACACATCAAGCATCATATATCTCAAACAAAGGAACAATGTCGCTGTCTTGCATTGTTTGCTTGTTGTCGTATGTTCATCATCCTTCCACCAAGTTGCCTGGACATCCTTGATTAAAGCTGATACGAGATCCAAGAACGCTAATAGCAATGAATAACGACCTGTCGTGCATTCCATCTTGTTGACAATGTGTTGGATTTGACAAGCGGGATCAGTGGAAACGGTGGTTGAGAATTGAGGTGCATAATGATAGCTGGCATTGGGTCGAGGAAGGATGGGTGCTGTTTCCAAATAAGACCAAATCTCATTGCGATAAAATGGTAAGAGGCTGGTGATACATCGCAAAGCATAGGTGATCGTCATGATAGGCCAAGGTCGAATTGAACATCCTCGTGAAAGAATCTCGCATAAGAGTGCTACCAAGATGGGTGGTTGACCAGGTTGACCAGGCTTGGCTCGACACACTTGTTCGATATGATTCACCAATTGTGGACCAAGGGATGGATTGTTGTGCAAGAGCTTGTTGATCAATTCGAGAATGCTGTTGACCACCTCAATGTTCTTTCCTGCAAGATCATCGCCATGTTCAATATCACCGGGAGATTGTGGATTCTGCTGTAAAAAGGCGGCAAGTACACCAATCAACAATTGCCAACCGGGACAATCGATACGCCATTGAACCACACGTTTCTCATCCGACTGTGAAATCAAAGTACCCTGCAAACCAGATGGCAATGAAAATCCCTTGGCAACACCAGCATCTTGGACAATGTTGATAGGCTGAGAGTTGTATGCAACGACAATATCATTATCCACGCGTACGTTGAGATGGACATCATCCTTGAGCATGATGGTGAGTGATGGCAAAGTCTTGATGTACTCGAATACTCTTGTAGCTGGATGATCAGATGCTGAAGCGGAAGACTTTTGCCCTGCCATGGATGAAAGTAAACGGGTAAAATCCATAAAGTACACAGGGAAACGGCTTTGTGCAGTGCTGAGCAAAGAGGCAATGTCGTCATTGCCAGCGTCTTGTGTCCAATATTCCGAGCAAAGTTCAGCCTGATTGTCGAATAGCTTACACGTGCACTTTACAAGACTCGTATAGCTGTCGTGTGGAAGGAAATAGGGCTTGGTGATGGTGAGGAATGTGCTGAGTAAACCTTTGATGATGCCACGATAACCAGCACTGTTGACTTCATCCTCATCACAAATAGCATCGTCAAGCATATCCACCAAATGATCAAACACACCAAGTTTGATAGCACGACCCGCCAATACTCTCCAAAGACCCGCAGCTGGTTGAATGGAAGGTTCCCTTGGTGCGCTGATACTACGTGTGGAGGGTCGATCGTCGAGAAGATATTCTGGAGAGGGTTCCAATGTGCCTTCAATCAATTGTCGTACTTTTGCATATCGAGGTGGACAATGATCAGCTGTTAAATCATCGATAAAGGCGAGGAAGCACGACCATGCTAACAAAGGAACGGCATGTTCATCACGATCACCAAGGAACATCATCAATTGGCCGATCTTTTCAATGACTTCAGGAGATTCAGCGAGAGAGATATCACCACCCATGCGTAGTTGATTCAAGCATAGCACCTCCACCGATACCAAAAGGCTCAAGTATGAGACTTGATCACGTAAATGTTCACCTTCCTTATCCAACACGAATCCAAATGCTTGTTGCTGCCCGAAACTCGATGCCTCGAATTCTTGAAAGAGTGCGAATATACGTTGAGGTGTACAATCATTCAAATGCACAAGGAAAAGAATCTCCAGCAATCCACGTTGTTCCCTGAGATTCTGATTTGCCCATAGCAACGTCCTTTCCTTTGTATCAAACTCTGATGGTACTGTTTTGCGTGCAAGTGATTTGAGCTGTGTCAATAGTCGGTCGCTAAAGTCGTCCTTCACAATACGGTTGACAGCGTCTCGTGCAATAGCGGCGTATGGCTGGTCGTCATCAAAAGAGATACGGATAAGCGAAGCAATACACCCCAAAAGGGCAATACGATCTTGGTAGTAAAACTCTGTGATTCGCCAAACGAGATCGTCATCTTGTTTCATGCCGTCGTATGGCTTGATTTTCCTCTCTTGTTGAAAGGTCGACCAAAGTGAAGCGCACGCAAGCTCATTGGCATGGAGGAAATCAGCAAGTCTGACAACAAGGTCTTTTTCTGCCTGTGACAATTTCAAGCTTTTGCCATCCACCGTAATGCTCGTTCCACTCGTCAATTTGCTTCTGGATTGTGCTGAAGGCTCGCCAAACGTTGCCAATGCTGACGATAAATTGGGTGTCTTCTCTTCGAGCAAAGTTTGCAGTCGATCGATCGAGCACTGATCACCACCGCGTTCAATCGTGTCAAAGAGCTTTTGAAAAGTGCTAGAGAATAGACATGAGTTTCTTCAATAAACACGAGTCCCATGGTATCCACTATACTTACCCAGCGAATCGCTCATCGAGCTGATTCGATTGCGGTGTCATTGTGCAAGAAGTGCCTTGATAGATATACAGTCGCGCATGACGCCTTGTTTTCTTTCTCATCGCGCAGCACCCAATCGCTTTGAATCTCCGCGTGACAGGCCTAGGTCACGTGTACTTTGGAAACCATCTCTCCCTTTACACTTGCCGTAAGCATAAAGCCTTCCTATCCAGCATCTTGTAGATATACTAAATAGGTCATGTTATACCTCTTTGTCATACTTGAAGTCTTACAGCATCCAACATGTGGGCCAACAATGACTTGCCTATTAACAATGAACCTGATTTAATCATCCCCCCTTACACCTTTTGCTATATTGTTGTCCTTTCATTATGCAAACCAAAGTGTCTTTTGATCAGGTAGAGATAGGTGTTGTAGAGTACTTTGGTCTATACAATAAACACTGAAATGCAATCATGCAATCTACTGCCAATAAAAAACATGCACAAAGTCATCCCATAAATTATTCCTATCACCCATCATGTTGTGTGCAGTGTACCAAATATCGTCTCATACAGATATCAGCAACCGCTGTTAGAGGTTACACTAGCGCCTTATGCACGAAATTATCCCTTCTTAACATGCCTTTGTGAGCGGTCTTGTTTGCTCATCCCCGACAAAGAACCGGTAAGAGTTATGCATGGACAAAGAGCTAATGCTTGGCATAAAAAGTGATACCATGCTTGCCCCATTGGATGTATGTATTATTAAAACAACAAGATGTTGCAACCATAAGAATAAGAGATGAGACGATAATACTTCAACAAGGAGGATGCTTATATACCAGATATGGGAGGGAGTTGCCTTATACGCGATTTTCATTATTCTCGAATAAAAGTGTGTCCAGTGACACGTGTACATGGGACAAAGCATTATTTAAAACATCCATTACCATCATCCAGGATTGTGGCATGCAACGTCATGTATGTGAACGATGGGGCAAATCATAAAGTTGATATAGAACAAGCAAGATGGTTACCCTGGAAAGCTGACGTACGGGTGCGACGACTCAGCAACCGGGTTTCAGAGTTGTTCTTCTCACGACATCTAATGCAAGCCTGCTACCAGCGTTGAAAAGCACATGGCGGGTGTCAGCTACTATACTGCATTTGTCATTTAGCCGATGGATGACGCGATAAGATGCGCCCGATGACCGACACTATACGACGTATGTACGTATATCCCCCTAGTGGCGTCTTATTATCCATATACGGACATAACGTATGTCCTAAAACTTTATCTGAGGATGCAGGTTTGTGTATGTATTCGATGGCTGCTAAACGTGAAGGTGTTGCATGTTATGATGCTGCATCGTATCATTTAATTGAGGTTCCACTTTACAGAATCTGGGTATCCGATTCTGAGTAATGTTTTAACAACATTGATGGAAGATGATAGCAGGTGCAGAAATTAAGCTTATAATCTGAGCTGTCAAATTAGAGTTGATTTTTCCCGACACACAAGGAAAAATAGAATCAAGATGATCATCATCCATCATCATCATTTTCGTGATCTCTTAAGCACATGGAAACAAAGGTCAAGATGTCATTTGTTTCATGGCAATAGTAGTAGTAGTAGTAGTAGCCACCATGATCGGTTCTAGGTTTCGATTCATCATCCTCCATGTTCCATAAGTATTCCATAATGCAGTTCCCTGATTGGATAACCCCCCAAAACAGATTATCGGATCCGACATTCAACGGAGGGCTTGCTTCCATCCCCCATCGGTCGATGAAATAAATCCTCTAAGGCGGAGGAGCCATGCTAGCTATGATGTAGTTATCAACAGTGATCTGATGCGGGGCCTTTTGCTAATTCCGCCCAGTCGACTTCTTATCGACCATTGATCCCGTTTATCATTCAAAGGATCGAGCAAGAGGGGAATTATGATAAGGTATGATATGGGTTAAGCTTGGTTGCAGAAATTACCTATTTCCCAAAGTATAGGATAAAAAAGGCAGTCAATGAGAAAAAAAGAGGACCCTTAATGACTATGATTGTCTGTGCCCGAGGCAAGTTGTCAGTGTACACAAGAGGCAGCAGTAGACAACAGCATCATCGTCATCGCAATTGGTGTCAGGAGCCAAAAATGGAATAGCAGCGTCTCAATTTGTTAAATGCCCGAGTGGAAAACACAGATGCACAATCGATCTTGATGTAAACATAAAGACAAATAGAAAATGCCAAAAGTGGGCTATGTGGGTATGATGGAGAAAGGAATAAAGAAAAAAAAGTGGTATTACAGGAGAATGAGGGAATCTGATATAAATGTCTATACTTGCTACATAGTTTGTCAGCAGCATATGATTAAAGGAAAGGTGGCTCTAGCCCTATAATCAGGCACATGAAACTGAGCCTGTACGAAAAAATTTTCAAAGGCAGCGCATCCCCGGGCATCCCGCATAGCGTAATCAATATAAAGCATCCCCTCCCGAGCACTTGCATAGCTTGTTCTTATCTTTTCTTTCTCAATTCTCTCTTTATACATTTCAAATACACAAAATGGCTGTTGAAAACGTTTGCATTATTGGTTCCGGTAACTGGTATGTATTCTTGCATGTAACAGGATGATGCATGTATGTGAGACTAAACATTTTGTTTCTAATTAATCAGGGGCTCTGCTATTGCCAAGATTGTTGGCGAGACCACTTCCAAGCATAGCGATGTCTTCAATACCACCGTCCGTCAATGGGTGTTCGAGGAAACTATCAATGGCGAGAAGTTGACCGACATTATCAACACCAAGCACGAGAATGTCAAGTACCTTCCTGGTGTCACATTGCCCTCCAATGTCGTTGCCATTCCCGATGTCGTTGAAGCATGCAAGGATGCTACTCTTATTGTGTTCGTGCTTCCTCACCAATTTGTCCGTGGCGTTTGCGAAAAGATGAAGGGTCACTTTGCTCCCAATGCACGTGCTATTTCTCTTATCAAGGGCTTGGAAATCACCTCTGATGGCACTCGTTTGTTCTCTGAAGAGATCTCTCGTGTTCTCGATATCCCTTGCTCTGCTTTGAGTGGTGCCAACATTGCTGATGAAGTTGCCCGTGAAAAGTTCTGTGAGTCCACTGTTGGCTGCACCAACATGCAAGATGGTGCTGTTTTCCATAAGCTTTTCGACACTCCTTACTTCCGTATCAATGTCATTCAAGATCACGTTGGCGTCCAATTGTGTGGTGCTCTCAAGAATGTGGTTGCTGTTGGTGCTGGTTTGTCGGATGGTTTGGGTTATGGAAGCAACACCAAGGCTGCAATCATTCGTCGTGGTCTTATGGAAATGCGTAAGTTTGGTCAAACCTTCTTTGGTGATGTTGTCAAGACCGAGACTTTCTTTGAATCTTGTGGTGTCGCCGATCTCATCACTACTTGCTCTGCTGGTCGTAACCGCAAGGTCGCTGAAGCATTTGCCAAGACGGGTCAACCCATTGAAAAGTTGGAAGCCGAATTGCTCAATGGCCAAAAGTTGCAAGGTACTCTTACTGCTCAAGAAGTTCACGAGTTCCTCTCCGCAAGAGGCATGGTCGACCAATTCCCCTTGTTCCACACCGTCTACCGCATCATCTACGAAGGTCTCGACACCCAAGCTATTGTCCGCGACATCTAAATTCCACACACTTCAAACAACAATCTCATCCCATAATCCGCCATTTTTGTATACATCACACACACAACACACACATATCATCCTTTCATATCGACATCCCGCTTTTTGACGCTCAAAAGTCATCCACCGCAATCCGCTCATAGACACACACACACACACACACGATCCATCCTCCATCCATTATAGACCTTTTTTTATTGCATTGTAGAGTTCTATACCATTTATCTCCTCACACAACTGCTTAATGCGTCAAAACATATATAAAGAAGCATAGTGCATGCACATTCTATTTCTGTTAGTGGCCTGTTGACACACACAATCATATGAATTTGAATCACTCGTAGCACAAAAAGATCTACACATGCCAAACATTGAAAGATGACGATCACATTTGGGAAAAAAGTATTAGTTAAGTTGTGTATTAGCACGTGCGTATAGTAATAGGATTAACAAAGACACGTAGAATAGGAATTACAGGTTGTGTGTGTGTAGAACAAAGAAATGCACAGGAATAAGGAAAATGATGCAACATGATAAAATATGGGAATGGGGCGGATGTTTGGATGTAAGGCTCCTTGTCTCTCTCTCACTCTACTGGTTCATGACGTGATAAATCAAGTAACCAGGAAGACCATAAACACCAAAGCCCATAGCCTTTGCCATCTTTGCAAAACCTTCGGTCTCTACTTGATGTTGGAACACATAAGGTGGGAAATTGGCGCCTTCGCGATGTACGACCGACTTGACCAATGTGAACGTGGCTCCCTGTAGAATGAGGAAAAAGAAGTAAAATTAGAATTGTGCAACCCATAGGCTACACCAGGTATAAGGTGAATCATCCTCAGCTACTTACAACACCATCCAAAGGAACCTTGTTGAGTCTTCCCAGATGCGTCGGCATATCCACCATCAAGGCACGATTGGTCAAAAACTCATAGTAACCTACACAACGAGTACAAAGAATCGTTATTATCTCCGTAACATCTTCCGACTCGAGCTTAATCCCAAGCCCCCCTTTTTCTCTCTGTCTCTTGCTCCTTATCGATAAGCAAATGTTTACCTTCCAACAAGACGTATTCCTAGAGAAAAGGAGACACACACACACATAGCAAACAGGAGTAGGCAAGGATAAGGGGGGAGGGGAGGAAATGCGAAAATAAAAAGTCAGCATGTGTAAATATGCATGTAATTGTAAAAGAGAGTGAGAGAGACACTTACAGGGTCGAGGTCCTTTTGCATTGCCAAAGACTGTTCGGTCTCTTGCCAGTTGTTCTTATCGTATCCCCAAAAAGAATTGTCCTCTGTTTCACGTAAGCAATTGGGTACCACCACATCCACATCCACGCTCATAAGGTCCTCAAGGATGGTTGGGGGGTATTCGACCAAATCCACGTCAAGCCATAATACCCATGAATGTTCTTCACGCAATGCTGCTGTCAACAAGTAGTTTCGAGAGCGGGCCATATAAGAGCGGCGTAGCGGCTGAAGCTCAAATGTGTGTCGCTTGTCTTCAGGTAACTCAAAGTTGAAATCCTTTTCGTAAATGGCAATGTGATGATAGCGATCTTCGGGATTACGGCGGTTAAGAAATACATCAGCTTGTTCCTTGAGCATCTCAACAGTGTTGTCATCGGTATCAGACACAAGAAAGGCGACTGAGATCAAATGCTTGGGATAGGTCATGCGATCCATCAATTCAAAATAACGTGGAAGATAGGGTGCACCATTCTTGAGTGGCGTTAAAATCAATACATGCTCTTCATTATCCTTGCCATTGGGCGTTGCTTCAACGTCGTTAAGATCCACAAAGGTGGCTCGCGAGGATGGACTTGTAAAAGACAATGCTTCATTGAAAGTACGGATGGTGCGTCCACCTGCACTGCAGGCACTGATGCCAAAGAGTGAGCGAGAAAAGGTAAGCAATGAAAGAAGAATAAAGGTCAGCACAGCTGCCAAAATGACTGTGAGTCGCTTGTTGCCACGCAAAGGTGCATGAAAAGCCGACTTTTCGGTGGATAGGCCAAGCATGATAAGATCGGAATGAATGGAGGGAAAGAACGGTAAAGTGGGGGAAGGTGAAGAAGGGCAAACAAAAAGTAGGGAAAAAGGGAGTGAGAAAGAAAGAGGTGGAAAGAAAGAAAGAGAGAGAGAGATCGACAAAGTAAAGCACAAGCAAGAAAAAAAATACACCAAGTGTGTGTGTGTGTGAGGATGTTACCATCGGTCCCTGAATGTAGATCGACATGATGGAACGATTGGCTAAAAAGCTAATGTGCCGTTGCACGCATTCTACCATTTGCTTTAAAACCTCGTGGCTGCATATCCGTTTTTACGATCCACGTTGCACCACCGATGGTGGATCAGGTACACAATACTATCACTGCGCGACGATGTTTGTAACACCTTTCATTGGAACCAGGAATGGCAAAAGCATTTAATGAGAACCGATAAAAGTAAGGGGGGTTGGGTGGTCTAGTGTCCCATACACGTCAAATGAGCCCGATGAGCCATCATTTGAGCCCTTGGCTCGGGTATCCTTGCGACTTCTTCGCCGACTTTGACTTCCACACCACGTTCATCAGTGTAAAACTTGTCCTTGACCGGATGTAGCAAAACATTGAGCTTGGGTGTGATCACGAGGATATTGTTGGTGGGAATGGTCAACCAATCCGCTTTTTCAAATGTCAGGGGTTCTATACATAACTCGACGATCAATATCTATATGAATTTTTCATATGTTAAAAGGGCACTTACCACTGGCAACTACTACCATATCTTCACGGCGATCCGCTTTCACCATCCTGTAATGGCCTGGTCGATAGGACTCAAATCGTGTGCCAGATGAAAAATACAATGATGCTGCTTCTTCGGTCTTGCTACTGATATATCGCACGCACACCACCGATTCTCCATCCGTCACTGCGAAATTTAATAGGGATGGCTACACAACACAACATTGGGTCGTAAGCCCACATGCATGATTACCATCCATACCCCTCATACCAATTACTTACTTCAGTGATGTTTGCTTCCTCTGCCCATTCATTTAACTGTGCAATGGTCTTGAGCATGGCGTCTTTGAGTTCTTGATGATCAAACTTTTCAGCCTTTGGATTGGAAAGCTACAACAAGGAGCATTTGACCATATTAGGAATATATCCGTATCATGAAAATTCCACCAGGAAAACACTACTTACAAAGCTAAGGAAGAGAGCAAAGGCCCATTCGGAGTCGGTGTTGCCTTGGACAAATAGGAATAGTTCCTCAGGTAAAGCGCTCAATAGTTTACGTTTGATCTACATGCAAAAAAGGGTGAGTACTTTATGTTGCTTTCGACGCATGTGTGATAACATTACCTTGTCAAATTGCGCAATTCCTCCATTATGCATCCACATGATCCGCCCATAGCTGGTGATACCAATCAATCAGACCACTGACAACAACTTGGCATAAAAAGAATACCACTTACTTCCATGGATGGCAGTTGGCTTCAGTCACAGCTCCTGATGTACTTGCTCGTACATGCGCAAATAGTAACGGGCTCTTGATACGTTCTGCAAGACGCACCAGATTCGAATTGCTCCATGCAGGTGTCACTGACGTGAAAATACAAGGCGTACCAGAACCTTCATCCGGGTCACTGTCATACCACCCTACACCAAAACCATCACCTAGCATATATATCGTTATCATAATGCCTATCAAGGGAATAAAAATAGGAGGAGTGTGCTGCATACCATTGAGTGGTCGACGATGATCGAGTCGCAATCGAGAGTCAAAGGCTTGGTTGATTATGGAATGGGCAGGGTTGGTAAGAAGCTAATTTCGAGGTGGTTGTTAATGAGAGCTGTATCGACCAATGTCATAACGATATAACGTACATGGGCTAACAGGATAGGCTGCTTGCCTTTATACAAGAGCAAACGGCACATTTGGGTGGTACAGCAGAAAAATGAAGGGGGAGCAAAAGAGAAGTGAGATGTACGATTTATGAGTCAGTCCGCCCGTTTCATGTTATCTCTCAACTGAAGCCTTGACACACAACAACATTAGCGCCCACCCCCCCTTTATCCATGACGCAAGTTGTCATGTCATGGGTTGATGCTGCTGCTGGTCATCACCATGCTTCTCTCTTTATTCACACATTACTCTGCTCAAGAGACTATTGATCCACGTTGATGCACGACACCTGATACTGGAGCACTATGCAATGTCTTCTTGATATGGTAATTGATTGTTGCATAGGAATGGGCTTGATCCCCAGGTTTTGCCATGGCAATTCACGTGATGTAATATGTGTTACAGTATCTTCCACGTGATGTCCTTGTCAATCCACCACCTTTCATTGTGTGCTGTAAACAGAAACTTGATATACATACAGCATAGCTCTTCTTTTTTCTTTCTTACGATAAAAGTAATCATGGATCTTGAAAGCGTTTCAATAAGGAGTGGTACCTTGATAGAGCCAAATGCATCTAGGTGATCCCACCAAATCCCCTTGTTTAGGCGTGGGCAGATTCGTCAGTGGTACTCTTCTTGCATCGCCTTTGCTTTGTATTCTAAGATGCTTGACCACTTTATCATCAGCTTCATCAATTACATCCTCCTTTTCTTGCACGAACAACAATACCCATGCCCACAACCACATAAAAGCAGAGCTGTTGTCATCAACATGACCACACATCCCTTTTGTCTATTTGATTACCTATTCCATCAATGCCTTGTGACAATGGCCGGGATGGTCATTATGGTGTTTGCATGCGCCATGCATTGATGATGATCACTTTTATGATCCTTGAACTGTAGCTGTTCATTGTTTCTCTGGGTTCAACCCCGTTTCTGATAGATCTTGTTAACCACGTAAGGCTACATACTACTTTTGTATCTTTGTCTTAGCTTCTACAAGATGTGTTTTGAGTAGTGGTGTTCACCTCTTAAAATGACCATGTGGCATTGTACGTTGGCAAGCAAAATGCAACTCCAAGAACTTTTTTTAGATGCAATGGTACCCTATATCCTTACAAACCCTGCTTGGATATGACCCTGCACTCACAAAGCGGCTAGCATGTAATCGCAACCTCCAATGCTTGAGGAAGTAGATTAGTACGCCAGGTGCCTGAAAAAGTATAAACAGGATGCCATCGTTGAACAAGGTGCGTATGGGAGACCTTGGTAGTACTCGATTTCGTCTTTTCTTTACATATCTCGTTTGGATGAGTCCTACTTTTTGGCTCTATCCACTGTTAAAGGGGGTACCAACAATATCCCATGCCTTGTGCCTTGCTACTTTCTTATGGACATCTCATGCGTATGCAAGTATAGCAGCTTGACAGGGTAGCACGGAACCAGATTATTGTAGCTTCATGATACCTTATTATTGATGTGTCTTCATAGTAGATCAGCTAGGGATGCCTCTTTATGTACTCCCACTCTTCGTTAATGTATAAAATGCATTTTTATTCACGGGCTTCACTCTTAATACAAGTTAGCAAGGTTGTGTGGCAGTTGGAGGATTGTACGTAAAAAAAGGGAAGGCTAGCAAAGTTGCCATTATTAATCATCTGCTATCAGAGACAATGAATACAAGGAATCCAAGAATTACATAATGAGAAATGGCAAACGAGGTATGTTGTAAAGGTAGCAGTGATGTATACAACGAAAGCCTGCTAGTCTTTGTGTTACTCTGCGATCGTGTCATGGAAATTGCAGTTTGTCAGCATGAAAAGGCGTGTGTGCACAACCTCTATAAACGCCGCACACATTCTCTTCACCCACCACCACACTTCTTTATTCCATATACAAAAGTATGAAAGGCTACGTTGTCAACCAATGGCTCAAGGGCCCCAATGAGCTTGTGCTTTCGTCCAATGTACCCGTTCCCGAGCCCAAACAAGGCGAGCTCCAGATTCAAGTCAAGGCGATTGGTTTGAACTTTTTTGACACTCTCATGATCCAAGGTCGATACCAAATCAAGCCTCCATTCCCCTTTATTCCCGGTGGTGAGTTCAGTGGTGTTGTGCTCAAGTCTACTGTGCCAGAGTACAAGGCTGGTGATCGTGTCTTTGGTTCTGGTTACTCGTTTGCCGAGGTGATCACCACTGCTGCCGAGAGAGTGTTGCCTGTTCCCAAGAACTTCACCTTTGAACAAGCTGCTGGTTTGTATATTACGTGGCCCACATCCTATGCAGCATTGGTATTGCGTGCTCAACTCAAGGCTGGTGAATATTGCTTGGTGCATGCAGCAGCGGGTGGTGTCGGCATTGCTGCTGTTCAAATCGCCAAGGCTCTCGGTGCAAAGGTCATCGCCACTGCTGGTTCTCAAGATAAGCTGGATGTCGCCAAGCGTTATGGTGCAGACTTTGCTATCAACTACCGTGATAAGGATTGGACCGCTCAAGTCAAAAAGATCACTAATGGCCATGGTGCCGATGTTGTCTATGGTAAGCTCATCATATACGTGTGTATGGAACATGAAAATCTCATTCAAGTTATCCCTAGATCCTGTTGGATTGATTGAAGAAAGGTAAAAAGAGTGGGGATCATGGTGATGTATTTGTTCCATATATTGACATTGCCATCATCTCTTGTAGCACCAAATGCACAGCATGGAATGGCCGGATATTGGTGGTTGGGTTTGCCAAGGGCACCTTTGAAAAGCTCCCAACGAATCGCGTCTTGTTGAAGAACATCTCAATTGTGTAAGTGGTGGATAAAGCATGGGAGTCAACGGCAAAGTGATTAACATGGATGTCGTTCGATTCTTAGTGGTATTCATTGGGGTGCTTATACCAAGAATGAAGTTGAAGCCATCCCCAAGGTGTGGAAGGGTTTGTTTGATCTTTTCGAATCCGGCAAAGTGATTCCAGCCATTTATGACAAGGTGTACAACCTCGCCACTCTTCCTCAAGGCTTGAATGCTATCAACAACCGAGAGACTTATGCCAAGGTCGTCGCCACGGTCGAGAGCCGAGATAGCAAAATCTAGAACACGTCTTTAAATACAGTATTCCAATGTAAATCATAATTACATATCATGCTTGAAATTACGTTTGAGATTTGACGCAATGTACTACTTCTGTATGTGCTGTAACTTGCCCTAATCTAATCCTGTTGACGTTACCATGAACACACCTCTCTTGCTTTTATTGTATCGCCGCGATCATGTACATGATTAAAAGAAGGTTCATGTTTGTGTATACAGTAATGGCCTTTTGTGAGTTTGTGGATTACAGCTGTTCTTTGTGGCCATTCATTGTTACCCTAGCAACACTCTTTGTCTTGGTCGTCTTGGTAATAAATTTTCACTGTAAGTGATGGATCATATACGCATAGCATGTTCATCCGTTTCAATGCGACCGCTTCTCATGATGTGCCTACAAAGGTTGTGTTGGTCCCTAAAAGGGGAGGTGTGTTATGGTAACGAATACAGCCTCTACTTAAGACACAATGAATCAACCAGGCCCTTTCTCTTTCACTTGTTCCTTTATCACAGCATTCACATTTGGATATAGCCATACGATAAATCTTTTTTTTATTACATTGCATCAAATGGCCACACATGACGAAATCCATCATAGGAAGAAGGTAGCTCTCCTACGCTATAAGAAGAATGGTTGGCTAATACAATCCCATATTCGCTAAAGTATCCCTTCAATCCCAACATCATTCACGAGATGTGCGTCGGGTGGCACTTGATTGGGTGGTGGATAATTGTATGCATCACATTTATGATTGCGGTTGCATGGTTGACAGGTTGCACAAATGTCGATGATAGTAACTGCCATAGGTGCAAGGTACAACAATGGGATGCACCAATCGTTCATGATGATGGTATCAAACATAACGCTCAAACTGACAATGGATACATAAAACAAGACTCGTTGTATACACTCCCATCCACTGTGCTAAACCTATATCCATATCCATAAGAAATTGTATGTATTGAAGTAAGTTGCTACGCGTAAATAAAGCTGCTTCTATACAATGGCTATCTGCCGTTCACGTGAACAAGGCTGTAAGACAAGTTGCTGCAAGTAAAGAATGCTGTTGAGGCAATGAGCAAAGGCTTTGCTAATGGCAGCTGCTGGAACGAATGCTGTTACTCTTGATCGTGGCAGAGAAGTGTGCAAGAGCGTATATTGTATCAAGAGGCTCGTGTGTTGTAGAAGAGTGACAAGAAAGCTGTGCACACGCCATGGACTTGCCATTCAGTCAAAGACTTTCCAATCAAGGCAGCTGTAGGATTGACATGATGGGTTGAAGCAGGACAATCGTTCGCAGGTGGTAGTTGTATGTACTTGAATGGGGCAACAGTTGAGAATGGGAGGAAGAGGGAAGAAGCTGCGAGCGAAGGAACCGGAAATCAAATGGGCAAGACGCTGCCCTACAAATGCATGTACACTGTACTACATCAATCCTTGATATCGAGATTGCCTCTCTCGAACCTGAAGCTTTCACACAAGGTGCTCTGGGACATGCTGATCACATTGATCTAAAAAAGAACTCATGTTTCATTCCAAAAAATTGGATAGGAGGGTGCAATGTGGGTTTACTATGTAAGTCGGAAATGCAGGTCAGCCCCAGATTCATGATTTATCGAAACAATATACATTACCTTGAGGTTCCCCATTTCGAATGTGAAACTTTGTCAGAAGGTTCGCTGGGACATGCTGATCAACTTCATTCATTTAAAAGTCGCAGACTTCATTAAGAAGATGTAAAATGCGGGGCCGCCCAAATGGTGGATGACGGGAACAAAAGAGCGGACGGCCCACCACCCCGATGTTGCCCACCTCCAACTTGAAAATTGGTCAGCAGGGTGCTCTCGAGCATGCTGATCAACTTTTTCTAATAAAGACCTCACGCTTCATTTGAAAATTTTGTGTGGGAGCGTCCAAAAGTTTGAAAGATGAAGACATTCGCAGGGTCTGCGATTCATTAATTTTCACGTTTGCTGTTCCAGTGTAGCTCAGCCAAATCAGCTCGGATCAAGAAAGTTGAATGATGGAAATGTTGGGCTGGAGCAGGAGAATCGTTCCCATGCAACGTATTTGGCAACAAAGACGAATTGGAGGAAGTGGCTGTTAGCTGGCAGTTTATGAGCTATTGTCATAGTATGTATTATCATGCATTGATCCTTTCGACTGCCACCCAATGAGCTGAGTTACACGAAGAGGTTCCTCTGCATCTTTTGCTCTGCCAGGGTCCAACTACTTGACAATGAACAAAGACCACTCTTCATATAGCATCACGCTTACAGCATATGTAAAACATAAAGGTGCCTGTATCTCCAAACTTTACAATCAAACGTGGGCTCTTTAATAGATCAACGTGCTCGGCGGGGCGAAACGCACCTTGTGTCAAAGTATGAAGTTCATCGTGGCCATTCCCAGATTTCGCAATGTCGCCATCAGCCAAACTGGATCTGGGGGTCGATCTCGTCGACGACGACGACCAAAAAAATATTTTTTGGGCTGTTTGCGACATTGAACGCGAAACTGGCACCCAAGGTGCAGTTGACCAAGCCGAGCCCATTGCTCTAATAAAAACCCCACGTTTCATTGTAAAGTTTGGAGATACAGGCACCTTTATGTTTGTAAGCGTGATGCTATATGAAGAGTGGTCTTTGTTCATTGTGAAGTAGCTGGACCCTGGCAGAGTAAAAGATGCAGAAGGACATCTTTGGGTAACTCAGCTAAAAAGTCAGGACTTCAGGGACAATGCATGATAGGTACGCAACCCTCACTTTTATGTCATACATTGGCAGCTAATAGCCACTTTTGTGCATTCCCAACTTTTGTGCATTCTATTGTAGGTGGACGATGCTCCTGCTCCAGACATTCATTTCCATGATTAAAGTAGGTTGATCCGAGCTGATTTGGTTGAGTTACGCTCACACAAGATTACATCGGTTGAGCTACATCGAGCGTGCTTTATGTCCAGAGTGATGTAATCTCTCTTTGACCATAGCTCAGCCAAATCAGCTCGGATCAACCTACTTTAATCATGGAAATGAATGTCTAGAGCAGGGACATCGTTCCCATGCAGTGGATCTCGCAACAATGATGATTGGATAAAAGTGGCCGTTAGCTAGCAATACATGCCTGTTCCTAGATGATCCATAAAGTAATTATACATTGACCCTTTCATTCATGCAAACGTAGCTGTGTTACACAACACGACCCTCTGCATCTTTTGCTCTGCCAGGGTCCACCTACTTGACAATGAACAAAGACCACTCTTCATATAGTATCACGCTTACAAACATAAAGGCGCCTGTATCTCCAAACTTTACAATGAAACGTAGGGTTTTTATTAGAGCAATGTGCTCGGCTTGGCCAACAGTACCTTGTGTGAAAGTTTCGCGTTCAATGTCGCAAACAGCCCAAAAAGTATTTTTTGGTCGTCGTCGTTGAAGAGGTCGACCCCCAGATCCAGTTTGGCTGGTGGCGACATTGCGAAATCTGGGAATGGCCACGATGAACTTCATACTTTGACACAAGGTGCGTTTCGCCCCGCCGAGCACGTTGATCTATTAAAGAGCCCACGTTTGATTGTAAAGTTCGGAGATACAGGCACCTTTATGTTTTACCTATGCTGTAAGCGTGATGGTATATGTAAAGAGGTCTTTGTTCGTTGTCAAGTAGTAGTATGACCATAGCCAAAGATGCAGAGGGGCGTGGTTGTGTAACTAGCCAAGAGAGGGGCGGGTTGAAGGGTCGATCCTATTGGTGGGGAAATGCATGATGATCCTTTCCCTGCCTTGAGTAAGATCCGCCTATATGACAGCTTGTTTGGTATTTTCTTCAAGTTGACCATGGTCCGATTAATATGCTAATAATGATCAGTGCACCGGATGATACCTATCTTGTACGAAAAGATTATAGGGGTGATGGTATCGTTTGTCTCCTACTAGGTTTGTTCTCATATAAGAAGAATACACATAGAAAAAGATGATGATAATAGCGCATGCTGAATGTTGTCATAGATGAGCACATGTATGTACTCGTGCCACATCGTATCAGAGCTCGCTTTAAACGTACATAATGATTTAAGCCTACAATGGACTATAGGACTAAGCTATCTGTAACAAGCATGATTGTTGGGTATCATTACTACTATGGGTTTATTTGAAGATACAAGCGTCTATTTAAACCTGTGTACGGTCTGCTAAGAATTGCCACTGTCTAATCGTCTATCAGCGTATGAACAAGAAAGCTTCAACGAATGTGATGTGACAAAAGGATCACGGTATCTCGGTGCAATGATGTGGATGATCCAATCTCGCTTTTCCCTTTCATTTTCCTAACCTCCCTTTCATTCCAGAAACCAACCAAGTTGATCACATAGAATCAGCGGGCATCATGGTTGTCGTATTATTGTATCCTTGGTTGCCGCCGTCATAAGCATCTTCATCCATGTTGCAAACTAGATACTGTACGTACATGCCTAGTCTCCAATACTCCAATGTGATCCACTGTCTTTCGTCCAAGGTAGAAGCCCTCTTATCCACGCTATCCGATCCATCATCATCCTCAGCCGCATCCACGTAAACATGGTCCACCCTTCCTGGTAACGACATTCCAGGACCACCTGTCATTGTGCTTGATTGCATCCATCCGTCGAATCATAATCATTGTAAGCCCAACATCCCATCCAGCTGTTGGTCAACCACTTCCTTGGTCACCTTTTATCGTAGCTCAACCAGGTGAAGAAGCTTACATTGCGTAGTCGTAATTGATGGTAAATATGGTATCCATCGATAGTATTCGTATGTATTGAAGTAAGTTGCTACATGTGAATAAAGCTGCTTCTATATGATGGCTGTCTGCTGTTCACTTAAAAAAGGCTGCAAGGAAGGTGCTGCAAGTAAAGAACGCTGCTTGAGACAATGGAGCGAATAGCAACTGCTGGAATGAATGCTGTTACGTTTGATCGTGGCAGATGAGCGTGCAAGAGAGTGTGTTGCGTCAAGAGGCACGTGTGTTGTAGTAGAGTGACAAGAAGGCCGTGTACACGCCATGGACTTGCCATTCAGTCAAAGGCAATCGGATCAAGGCAACTGTAGAATTGACATGATGGCCTGAAGCAATACAATCGTTCGCAGGTGGTAGTTGTACTTGAATGGAGCAACAGTTGAAAATGGGAGTGAGTGGAAGAAGGTGGGAGTGGAAGAGGTGGAAATCTAAGTAGGTTGACCTGTCAAACGCTGCCCTACAAGAATGGGAGGGTGCAGATGTGGGAGAGGCTATGCAGCTTATTACAAGAGGCAATCTCTTTTTGTAAATATGGATAAACATTGGGTTGCAGGTTCCTGCAAAGATGAATGCTAGGAGATTGTGATGTTGTTGCGTAAACGTGTTCGCTTGTTGTAAGATCACCACACCATAGATAGTGTTAAGCCATCCAACGAGAAGTGAAAAGTTTATGAGCGAAGCGAGCAAGCTGGCTGCCTAGTTTTGGTATTGAATGTAATCAATGATGAATAACGTCCTCTAAATGGATGGAACCTAAAATCCAGAATAGAAGGTACACCCGCAAGTGCATATGCTCAAAGGCATTGCTTCTCTTTCCTTAATTGTTTAGCATTGCTGATTCAATGATGGGCTATAGGATTTCTTATACAAGCAGCTTCCTCATCAGAATGGGATGTTGCACCATACTTTGCCGTATGCCGCTCCTTTGAAATTTGTGGCCTGAGAACCGCCTGCGACAAGCCAAACATATGGCAACATCAACGTCGAATCTAAATGCTCCATTCATTCTCGTCATTAAGCATACAGCAGCTTGTATCCATGGTAAAGCAAAAGGATAAAAGCATGGTGTATCTTTACAGCCACACATGATCCGATCCCAATCCTGCAAAGCGCAATGAATAAAATAATTCAGCCGGTGTCACCACAACGTGCAACTGCTACCGCCAAGAAAAATCAGGGTCATTTGTTCCACGTCGAAAAAAACACCCTTTGTTTCAAAGTACCACATGTTTCTCGGTAGCAACGGCCCGTTACGATAAAAGGGAAGAGAAGCTATTCATTCTACTTTTCATGATGTTTGTAATATGATACCATCAAGTAGCTGTATGGGATGGTTTGGGACAAAAGTCAATGACGTTGTTGGGTTGATGGCAAGTGAAACATGCGGGATGTTGGTAGGATCAGGGCGAATCGACCCTGTATAATGCTTAGATGAATGGAGCATTTTGCCATGTTTGGTTGTTTGCAGCACACGGGATCTTTTTGCAGAATCTATTGTGTCCCAATGGGAACAATCGTGGTCCGGGAGCACACGTTTGATTATTCCTCAAATGATAATGACGGGGTATGTGATAAGTGGTAGCATGGCAACAGAAGGATGATGTTTTCCATGTTCACACGCTGATCGTATGATACGACCGAGTGGAGTGTATGTACATCCGCGGACGATTGGTTGGGCCATACCTGAAGTGGGGATAGTGATGGTTCAGATTGAGTGGCCGCTGCATATTGTGTTATATTCTTTCAAACGGCAGATTTTTTTGAGGAAGGCAAATAGAACAAAAAAGGCGAGATGATGCAAACGGTCGGGGGCCCATTCAACGTTATTCACCTTTTTAGCTGACCCTGATTCTTTAGCGCTTGTGAAACATTTTATGTCAGCCACTCGTTTGGCCCTTCCGTTTGCTGACAATATGATTACATCTAGACCAATCATGGCAACTCAAGTTATGAGTTCTTTCTATTATCATCCGGTTGTTTATTCTTCCCTTGTTGTTTGTCAAATGCAACATGCGTATCATAGCAACATGCGTATCCATGGCAACAATGATCTTTATCCATCACCGAAACGTATCAATGTTGAATGTCAAGCCTTATTAGCATTCGGTGATTCCGAGGATGTACAGCCTTGAACGTTAAAATGTGCAGCCTAGTCCCATGCACTCCGGTCCCAGGTACTACAAAAGCGGGGAGACATCAATTGGATGGGAGAGCGCGGGGTGATGTGGGGAAGAAAACGCCGCTGTAAGCTGGGGTACATTACGTAGTGTGGAGCTTCTTGTTGAATAAAGATGTGGAGATTTTATCAACCACGTACTACACACCCATACCCCGCATATACCAATAGATAGTGTCTCCAAGGCTTAATTATTCTCTTTATGCTCCAAAAGAAAATACGATTAAGAAAATAGTCGTTTGAATTACTTTGAAACGGGAAGAGCGGGATCAGGCTGGAGGCGGTGATTGGTTTCAATCACTCGGGATGATGAGGAATGGGGTTCTACAACCTGGTGCTCCGAGTCGTTGATGTTCCCATCCACTCATCCCGCTAAATGGTTCTAATTCAGGGCAAAATATATAAATTGGGCATCATCTCTTGACGTTATCCTTTTACTTTTTCTTTTCTATAATATTCCTAATGTCTGAAAAAGAATATCACGACGACGTCGTTATACCAGCTCGCCAACCTGTACAAACCACCAATGCCCTTAAGGGCTTAATTAGCAACCCATATGTGTTTGCCACTGCTCTCTTCGCCTCTATCGGTGGTGTCACCTTTGGCTGTAAGTCTTTACTTTGGCAATGAAAACAACATCATCCACTCACACTCTCTATGCCAATAGATGATCAAGGTGTTATCTCAGGTGTCCAAACCATGGAGACCTTTATGGCTCGTTTCCCTATGAGTTCCACCGAACAAGGCTTTGTCGTTGCCATTCTCGAATTAGGTGCTTGGGCTGGCTCTTGGCTTACCGCATATCCCGCTGATAGATTCAGTCGTAAATACGCTATCGTTATTGCTTGTCTTGTCTTTTTGCTTGGTAGTGCCTTCCAAGGTGGCGCTCAAACTGTACAATACCTTATGGCTGGTCGTTTCGTTTGCGGTATGGCTGTTGGCTCACTCAGTATGCTTGTCCCTCTCTATCAATCCGAAATTGCTCCACCTGAAGTGCGTGGTTCACTTGTCTCCTTGCAACAATTGGCTGTTACCTTTGGTATCTTGATTTCCTTCTGGATCGATTTTGGCACTCAATACATTGACAATGAGGGTCAATGGCGTATTCCTCTTTGCTTGCAACTCATCCTTGGTCTTATTCTTGGTTTCGGTATCTTGTTCTTCCCATTCTCTCCTCGTTGGCTCATGTCCAAGGGACGTGAAGAAGAAGCTCTTCGTGTACTTTCAAAATTACGTCGCAAGGCTATTGATCATCCTGATGTCCAAGAAGAATGGCGTGAAATCAAAATCTCGGTTGAATTCGACAAGGAATTGGAGCGTCATCAATATCCTCAATACGCTGACCAGCCAGGCTTCAAGAATAGCTTCATGATTGGCCTTTTGGGTTATCGTGATCTCTTCCGCCCCGGCATGTTTAGACGTCTTGCTATCGGCTGTATTATCATGTTCTTCCAGGTAAGCGAAAATGAGTTAAACATCCCATCCACAGCATACTCATTGGCATTATTAGCAATTTGTTGGTACAAACTCTTTGATCTATTATGCTCCCAAGATTTTCCAATCGCTTGGTCTTTCTGGTCAAACAATTTCTCTCTTGGCTACTGGTATCGTTGGTATCATCAACTTTGTTTGCACCTTCCCCACTGTCATGTTCCTTGATATGATGGGCCGTACTCGTACCCTCATGGTTGCATCTGTATTTATGACCCTTTCCATGGTCATCATTGCCATTATCTCTGGTATCTATGATGGTAACTGGGAAGGAAACGAAGGCAAGGGCTGGGTCTGTGTTGCTTTCACTTATGTAAGTGTTTTGTCTTTGAGCTCAAAAGAGATGAAGAAGATGATATTAACATTGCTTTATAGTTCTTCATTGCAAACTTTGCATACTCTTGGGGTCCTATTGGCTGGGTCATTCCTGCTGAGATTTTCCCATTGCGTTCGCGTGCCAAGGCTATGTCCGTTACTACCAGCAGCAACTGGATGAACAACTTCATTATTGCACAAATCACTCCACCCATGTTGGACAACATTGGTTTCGGCACCTATATCTTCTTTGCATGCTTCTGCTTCTTGTCATTCTTTTTTGTCTGGTTCTTCGTTCCCGAAACCAAGGGTCGTGCTCTTGAAGAGATGGATGAAATTTTCGGTGGCGGAACCGCTGCAACCGATAATGAGATCCTTCGTCGTGTGGAGCAACAATATGGTGGATCGTACGTCCCAGCTGGTATCAAGTCTGAATCGGCATAAGCTTATTGTATTCAATAATCCCCATTATCCTTCCTCGAACCCCCTTTATCCCGCTTCCTATCAAATCCATGTACTCATAATAACCTTGTTCCACATTACACGCTTTGTAAATATCTCTTTTTTGACACCTTTTTATAATCAAATCTCATCGTTTCTAATATACAAACAACGTTGATATGGTTGAGAATATGAAGGAGTCTAGAGCGCCACACACACGTGAGCTTTCTACTGCATATAAACGTGATGGTCCACTTTCAGGAGAATACTTCATGATGGTTGACGGGTCCAGGGACAGCGGCTTTCTGGATATTGTCCTGGTTCTTCAATTCTTCCGCTGAGGCCGTATCCCGATTTGGCTATGGGTAAGGTTGAAGTAAGCATCATCCACCAGCAAAAACGCCAACCATAAATGATACTTACATAACCACGGGATGCAAACTTACGGTTATGGTGGTGCATAATCTGTCGAAGCACATTTTGCCTATTACGGTCTTTGTCATGAGGCGGCATAGGCATATGATCTTCTGAGGCCTGCCCAAACAGCTGTAATGAACGGGAGGTATGGTTAGCAAAGTCAATCACATATAAAAATCAAGCTAACTTACGAGTTGCACGCTATGCAAATGAGCTGCATGACTCGCTCCAAATGATGGATTTGGCCGAAATGGATGATCCATTTGTTGTACGTGATGGTGCTGCTTGCATTGCCGTGGTGAGTTCTTCTCGCAACAATGTCGAGGGACGCGACTTTACGATTCCTTGTGGAAACCAACCACGTACAGTAGGGACATCAGCCATCATACTCCCACTAGGATATTCAGTGCCATTCTTTTGACCCTTACGAAATTGATGCAGTCGCAGTGGTTCAAGGTGACATTATCCCTGCACCGATTAGTAATGTAACAAGAATGGACATTAGAATTTGGAGAATACACGTGACAAAGGTAGTGATGCAAATGCCTTACTTCTTGACGATCCTTCCACGATAAAGTTGGGATGCCCGCAGCATGGTCAACGAAGCTTTGCAGGATTCTCTCATGAATCGCGCGTTGTTGTGGTGTCCTTCTGCAGTTCTTGTGTTTCCCTTTGCTTGGAGTTGCCTTTGTATTTCTCTCGCTTCATGACCAAACCAGTTATCCTGGGGATTTGTGCCCATCCCAGCTCATTCAAATTCCTTGTTTCTTGGCCGAGGTTTTCATGCCACCTAATCAACATGCATATCAGCATACAAACTAAGAGAAGGCAAGAAATGATAACCATACCATAAAGAAGAATCCATCAGGTAATAGGGCCAAATGTCATAAAGACACAACGAACACAAATAACAATGATGCACTGAATAGGTGGTCACTACGATCATGCATGAGTCCCTTCCACCCTATGGGCGATCAAAGAAGTACACCTTGTCACTTACCAAGCGATGAAGCTTTTGATGATGAATGCGGTAGACGAAAGAGACTGGTGATGATGATACTGGTGACAACAGCCTTGTTTATATGTGAATGGGCGTGGGAATTGTTGTCCATGCAAGAAAAGGAGGAGGCTGTGATTGATGAAGCGATCAAGGACCTTAAGAACATGAGGTCAAAGGCAATGTCAATATCATCGTTGATGAATCCATTTACCACCAAGGAGAAAAGTGTCATTGATGAAGGTGGTACTATCAATGCAAGTCGTCAAGCTGCATAAACGCGTAGACTGCATTTGTCGTCATGAGACTTTAGTGCTGCCACTTGATATGTCTTTTGAAAAGAATCATACTACGAGTGTTGTGAGGTATCGTTGAAGCTGATTACGTTGCAAGATAGACAAAAAGAGTGCATGACGAGTGGAAGGCTGTACACATTCATGGAGTCGATTGTTGTTTTATTCGTTGCTCGGTGAGAAAAAGGTAATCTCCAAGGGTCTTTGTTGTACATGGAGTAGAGATCAAGGTGAACGCTGCTGCGAATGTCGATTGGCGAGTGAATAGATGGCAGATTGGGAAAAGGAATGTGGTTGAGTAAACATACGTATAATAAAAGTGGGGTTGACAGAAGATGGCGAAGAGATCGGGATTCGAGGTCAATGAATCCGATTTATCACAATGGACCACAGCTGGCTCTTGGTGCATGTTCAGCTCAATACAGCTAGTCGCTCTGTGCGATGGTATCCCAATAATCAAATCGATCGCTTTAACGTGTATAAAACGTGGAGATGACGATTGCCAGCACATCCCGATTTGGCTAAACATCATCCAAATTATGCAATTCATACCCGGCTGTTGGGATTACATAGGATATCGCTCACATGGATCATCACAAATGGGATAGGGAGAAGGGAAGGGTGTATACTGCTGGTGATGATTCATTCATCAATCGTACATTAGATCCGAATCACCGATCTCAGCCAAATTCATGGAGGATCGTAGAAGGATTCCAATGCAAATTCCAAATCGGGAACCTCCCCAAATCGACACTGCTGCCTGAGACACTCGATATGAATCTGACACTTTGGATGATCGTATAATATAAGCAACAGGCGAAAAATGAACGATCTTTTCCTTTCCCCATCTCACTTTTTACCATGAATTCGCTGTTACAATGTGCAGCATGCAAATCTCGTCTTTATGAACCAGTGACCCTTTCATGTGGATATACAATCTGTAGCTCATGTACCCAACCACCTTCCAGCGATGCTACTGTATTCGTCTGCCCTGCCAAACAATGCCATCAACCCACTCACTTGTTTGCGAGGAATCAAGTAGCACATCACGTTGACAGCACTCTCCAGCGCATCATCGAAGCAGTGTCAATTAACGGTGATATCAAGTATCTTCTTTGTTGCCCTCATTGCCATGATACGCTATGCGAACCTGTAACAACACAATGTGGGCACACCTGTTGCTATGGTTGCATGCTGAAGCTCAAATGTCAAGGAAAATCATGCACCGAATGCCAATCACCTTTACCACACTACAGCTACCTCAACCGTCAAGCTAGCATCAACCGCCTACTTGAACAAATTGTGCGCTTTTTTGCATATCCGAAAATTCAACAACAAGTTGTTCGCCAGCAACATGAGTATCGCTCGCCATTGTTTACGACTGGGTCGATTATACTACCACGCCAACGTACCCATTTTTCTCTTTTCAAATCATCGGATCTACACCTCCTCGAAAAAGCTCTCTTGTATTCAAACGGCTCACTTTATTTACCAGTGATCCATCACGTACGATCTTCAACACCACCACGCTATGGCACATTGATTCAAGTCATTGGTGTGGAAGAGCGCTATTCTCCTATCACTGGAAAAGCCATCTTGCTCAACGTGAGGGGTCGTGAACGCATCAAGGTATCGGATATTGAGCAAGTCATGGAGGATGGGATGGCTATTATGGTGGCAACGTATGGGTTAGTGCCTGTCAATGCTATGGATAATTGTGACATTGTGCGTACCACAGCATGCGATATTGAGATGCGTATTCGTCAACTAGCCGCACATGATACGACGACCACAACGACAACGATGGTATCAAAGCAACAAAGCCATCCTACGTTGACAACCCATGTTGCCGGTCTTTTAGGACGTAAATGGTTGGAGGATATGCAACAGCAGCAAGGGCTATTACCATCCCCTGCGAAACCTGATTCTCTTGTATGGTGGGTGGCAGTTGCATTGCCAATCAGTGTCGAGCAACGTTATCGTTTGCTGTGCTCAGAGTCATTGCAGCACCGATTACACCTCGTGCTTTCTTGGATCACTCAGCTCAGCTCTCAATGGCAATATTGCCGTCGGATGGCCAACCAGGCTTTGGCTACTGTGTTTGATCAACAACCCTACAACAAGATGCTCTAAATTTACCACACACGCATGATTAAGAGCTCAACATACTCTCGTTTCAGCCTTCTAGTATGCCTCTCGTCGTCGGGAACTTTGAATACCTCACCTATGCCCATATCCAACATCCTTCTTCTTATGCCTGTTATACCGATCTATATGCACTTTTTTCTTTTAGCTACAGTACCATCATCAATAAAATCTTGGGGGATTATCGATCGAATAAGAAAGGAATGATTGGATCACTTTTATGCAAGGAGCTTTAGGGGCTGAAGTAAGAAGACTTTTGTATCTTACAGTGTTGTAGATGCGGATACTACAGCAGCAGCAGCAAAGTGTATGTAATGTTGATATTCCAAAGAAGAAAAAGACGACCAACGTTTCATCATGTTTCTTCCCACGTCATCCCTCAGCCATACTTTAAAAAGTGCTACAGGCTCGGACATCATCCAAGATTCCAAAAGAAAGTGATACACACACAACGCGCTTTGCAAACACAGTGGCACAAGTGTGAAACCATGAAGCAGCACGTTCAACATGAAATGCCATCTGTCTGAATTTCAACCCTGCAGCCGTACAAGAACGAAAAAAGGAAGGTAACCCTCAGGTTATGCAGATTCTTCATCCCCTTATGCAAATAGCAAATCCCAAACGTTTATCATCCATGTTTGATCTATGTCAAGGAATGAAATGGGTGGTTGTGATAGGTCACTATTGGGATATGGTAAAAGTAAAAAAGAGATGCTGTACTACAACGATACATGTCAAATAAGAAGAAGCACATGCAAGAGGAGAGAGTGGGATGTTGGATCATGTACCCAACCACAGGATTAAGCCTCCGATTTTGGCGTATGTCTACCAGCACCACACCCATCCCCTTCCATCACGCTCCACCAACCCACCTCTTTTTTTCCTTTTTCCCCTACTTTTCTTGTTTCCCATCCACATTTCATTCTTTTTCTTCTTCTCAACACTACTTCTTTTCATTCAATTCTTATCTTCTTCTTATTCGCATCATGAGAGAAATCATTCACGTTCAAGCAGGTAACCTATCATGTCCCACCCATAACGCGTTCGAACTCAGGTGGCTGTCAACCATGGCATTGTACTCATTGTCTCATGGCTCTCGTTACTTCTTATAGGTCAATGTGGCAATCAGGTATGCAATGGATTCCTCTTTCGACAATGCGCTTCCTCGAGATTGGGTTGAATGGGTTCCTCGTGTGAAGAAGACAAGAGTGTCCCTTCAGGGGGGTTACAGCCAAGGGGGCGGTGGGGGTGCAAGGGAACACGGAGGGACGGGCGGGGGAGTTGTATCTTTTGGGGGAGGAGAAGAAGCAGCATGATGATGATGATGATGATACTACTTTGGCTCTAACACACATACAACGAGTAGATTGGTCAAAAGTTCTGGGAAACCATCAGTCAAGAACATGGTATCGATGGCACAGGTGCTTATGCTGGTGACAATGATCTTCAATTGGAACGTATCAATGTCTACTATAATGTGAAGGCTCCACTGGCAAATATGTACCAAGGTAAATGATGATGATGATGACCATGTTAAGCATTGGTGATATGGATGTACTCATACAAAGAAGCGCAAACCAGATAGGGCTGTGCTTGTTGATTTGGAACCTGCTACAATGGATGCTATTCGAGGCAGCACCTATGGCAAGTGGGGGTGCAAGGGAACACGGAGGACGGGCGGGGGGAGTTGTATCTTTTGGGGGAGGAGAAGAAGCAGCATGATGATGATGATGATGATACTACTTTGGCTCTAACACACATACAACGAGTAGATTGGTCAAAAGTTCTGGGAAACCATCAGTCAAGAACATGGTATCGATGGCACAGGTGCTTATGCTGGTGACAATGATCTTCAATTGGAACGTATCAATGTCTACTATAACGAAGGCTCCACTGGCAAATATGTACCAAGGTAAATGATGATGATGATGACCATGTTAAGCATTGGTGATATGGATGTACTCATACAAAAGAACAAACCAAATAGAGCTGTGCTTGTTGATTTGGAACCTGCTACAATGGATGCTATTCGAGGCAGCACCTATGGCAAGCTCTTTCGACCAGACAACTTTATCCATGCTCAATCGGGTGCTGGTAACTCATGGGCCAAGGGTTACTACACCGAGGGTGCTGAATTGGTGGAATCTGTATTGGATGTGATTCGCAAGGAGGCTGAACACACTGATTGCTTGCAAGGCTTCCAGTTGGCTCACTCCCTTGGTGGTGGCACTGGCTCGGGTATGGGCTCACTCTTGCTTTCCAAGATCCGCGAAGAATACCCAGATCGTATGTTGTGTACCTATTCAGTGGTGCCATCTCCAAAGGTCTCTGATACCGTCGTGGAGCCTTACAATGCCGTATTGACCGTACATCAACTCGTGGAAAATTGTGATGCCACCTTTTGCATTGATAACGAAGCTCTTTACGACATTTGCTTCCGTACTCTCAAGCTTACCAACCCTGGCTATGGTGATCTCAATCAACTCGTATCAGCTGTCATGTCCGGTGTCTCTACCTCGTTGCGTTTCCCTGGTCAATTGAACTCTGATCTTCGTAAACTCTTTGTCAATATGGGTAAGTGAATGCATCTTTTATTCTTTTATCTACATTCATATCCACTCATTCACTTTTATTCAGTGCCATTCCCTCGTCTTCACTTTTTCATGGTTGGCTTTGCACCTTTGACGGCCTTTGGTTCACAACAATACCGTAATTTGAGCGTCCCTGAACTTACAGCACAAATGTTTGATGCTCGTAACATGATGGCTGCTTCTGATCCTCGTCATGGCCGTTACCTTACTGTGGCTACCATGTTCCGTGGTCGTCTTTCCACCAAGGAGGTTGAGAACCAAATGTTGGCTGTGCAGCAAAAGAACTCGTCTTACTTTGTGGAATGGATTCCTAACAGCGTCAAGACATCTTTGTGTGACATTCCACCTGTCGGTTTGAAAATGTCGGGCACTTTTATCGGCAACAGCACCTCTATTCAAGAATTGTTCAAGCGTGTCAATGAGCAATTCACGGCCATGTTTAGACGCAAGGCTTTCATGCATTGGTACACGGGTGAAGGCATGGATGAAATGGAATTCACCGAAGCTGAATCCAACATGAACGATTTGGTGTCGGAGTAAGTGTCTCACTTTATGAAACACGCAACATAAATATTCATCCACTCTTTTAGATATCAACAATACCAAGAAGCCACTGCCGATGAAGAAATGTTGGATGATGAAGAGGAGTATCTCGAAGAGGATGAGCAACCATTGGACGATTAGTAATAGTTTTTCATTTACAATGGAAGGGGTTGAAAGCAAAAAAGAATAATCATAATACACAAAAGGTGTTTGGGTCTCAAATAATCTATACTACAATGTATGTATGTTGTTGTTTAATGTTGTGATCGGTAAAGCCACACGGCCAAACCACCAATGACAGCGGCAGCAGCTGTGGTCCAGTTGACGCTGTTGCACAGGGATGACGTGGAGGTGTTTTGCACAGTATCCTTGGGATTGCAATAGTACTTTGCAAAGTAATCGTTTTGGATCCATAAGAGCTTGTTGAATGCAGAAAGGGCCTTGGCTTCTTCTTCACGAGGCAAGTTGAGAGAAAGCACACCACCCACGAGCGTGGTTTCGACATAGCCCATAAGTGCGTTCATGTGAATGTATTCAACGTTGATACGGCTCTTTTTTTCGGGAGTGTCGGTATGGATCTTTGCAACATGATCCAAATAGCGCAACATGCGTTCATCATAAGGGCCATCAAAGAGCTTCTCCAAATAACGCTTCAAAAAGTCCTTGCGGAACTTGATTTGGTCCGAATTGGGGTTCAAGCTGTCCAAGTCATCGACAACCTTGCCTTGGTAACCTTCGTTGCGTGGCAAAAAGTGCTTCCATGTGATATCATAGCCATAGAGCTTGTCATAGACAGCATCCACCACAGCAGGAATCAAAGGCTTAAGACGAGGACCAACCGTTTCAATGACCTTGATATCATCAGGACCTACATACATACAACATGTAAATGAGTAAACTTGATAACAGCAGCATGAGACGCGTGCGCTTGATACATACCAAAGTCCATAAAGTTGGTCACGTATTGGAAACGATAAGCACCATCAGTATAGAGCTTGTCACGATCAATGTGTTGTTGCATGGTCAAAAGTACAAAAGAGTAGGGGGTGGCGAGGAGGAGAAAAGAATAATGAGATGTGTTTATTTTCTGTCGATCAGCCAATTTTTATAGACAAGGATAAGCGGAGTAGGTTGCATCAGACGCGCAAGCGAACGTCAACCGTAAAAGGTAACAAACAAAACCGTTCCTTCGTACGTAAGTACGCACAACCACGCCATGTCTCAGTCAGATCATTATCCATCCGATTCCTTTGTCGCAGATGCAATTGGTCAAGTTGTACTCGAAAAGGTAAGCAAACAAATGCGCTCGGGTAGAGTTTTCTCTTTTTTGGAAAACAAACAAATCGGATGAAAGAGCATGGTGTGGAGAGAAGAATCGAAAAGTTCACCAGATGACTCAACAAGAAAAAAAAGTGGTTCCACTTGTTCTTCCGCAAGGAAATGGAAAGGGTAAACTATATGCGAGAATGATGTTTTCTTTTTTCTTCTTTTCGTAAAAGAGCCATGCATGAATTATAAGGCATTGATAGTCCAAGTGATGTTTATTCACACGATGGAGGGATACTAGTGGAACGTGTATGTAGACGATGGGAGAGAGAGACAATTGACTCGATCTTGATACGATACAAAGAGCCCACCTTACCATTATCCAATAACAATGAGGGAGCGGAAGGAGTCGGATCTGGCTTTCATTCTCCAAAATGTATTTCCAAACTATTTCCGCATTGCTGGTTCTTTTGTGATACAAGCCGAGTTGCCGCACAATAGCAACAATCTAGAAAAGTCTTCCTTACAAATGCAAATGTGAAGTGAAGAATAGAATAGAAGACTTTTAATACAAACATCTCAAGGTTTAACGATACAATGATCATGGCGTTTGTCAACTATTTGGCTGAGCTCGTCTAATGTTAGGGGGATGCAATCATCGAGGTTCCATTGTCTTTTTCCTGGATCACGTGGTAACCATAGGCGACGTTCAAGCTGCTCAACCAAGGGTGGGTATGCAAATCCATCATCGTAGCGTGGTTGATCTGAGGGATATAGGGTCAAGGGTCGAATCTCTTCTTCTTCCTCCTCCTTGTTGTTATCATTGCTGCTTCCATCACCATCCTCCAAGTGGGAAATGTCTTTGATCGTGATGCTGCTACTTCGGCTGGTGCTTCTCGGCGTAGTGATCTGCTGATGGATCCCATATCGTCCATGCACGTACCATGTCTTGAGATAAGAAAGTTTCCAAATATCATCCACGGGATTTGCATGTACAATGTCAGGTAGCTGTGGGCGGGTCATTGTTGTGGAGCGCATGTACTGCTTTGATAGCTTGATTTTTGCCCAAACGGTAAAAACCGAAAGTGGTATGATAGCGGTAGCTGCAATCCACACTCCCTTGAGATACAATAATCCCATCACCGTCATTTGGAAAATGAGCAATCCATCCGAGGTATAGCCTGCCATGCGCTGATAAAGGAAACCGTTCGACTCATAGCGACGTACATAGCAATAGGCAAATTGATGTCGAAAGCAAACAAGCGCAAGAGAGAAATAAAGGAGGGCGAAGAGTAGGATCAAAGGTTGGATGACTGAGTAGGTCATGGAAATCACAAACACCAAAATGTGATTTGGGTAATAGTAGTAAAAGGGGAACGACCATGGCTGAGTATGTCGAGAGAGTTTGCGAGGCGTGTTGGAAATAAAGGGAATGGATGCGATCAAATGGCCGAAGAGCTGTGAACCAAGCTGAAGTAATTCCATAGCATGCGAGGAGCTGTTGAAGAGGATATAACTTAGGAAAAAGTTGGCTCCTTGTGGTAAAAACTTGGCCAGCAAGTGAATCACCCGTGCAGGTTCATGAAGTACATCCAACATCGTAGATAGAAAAGTCGTGCCGAGAAGAAATACAATGAGAACGTTGAATATGGCAAAACGATAATAGCGGCAAAGTACGGCATCCTCCAACTCTGAATAAGATACAAAATCTTGTTGCTTGGAAATGACTACATCAAACCATTAGCTCTATGTTGATGATACCCGTTCTTTCATATAATCCATACCAAACAAGATCCAAGGAAGGAGGCTCATGAATAAAGTCACCAGAAGCATTGGAAGTACATGTTGAACAAACGATCTCACCAAGGTTGAGCTTGCTAGAAAGGAATCAAGAAAGCCGAGGTGTTGGGAGAGCGATTCGATCGACGTAAGACTAAGAATGAATGATACTGGAAAGAGCCAAAATATAGTCAACGACCTAGTAGATAATATGAGATGTTAGACCCCATTTTGTTATATACTCACACAATAAGCTTACCATACGGCAACGAACACGGTCCATCTTCTCACTTGGCTCATCACCTTGTCTCTTCGTCCACGACGTAGCAACCCTTCCCACATGACATCTCTTGGTTCAGGAGCCAACTGCGTTTGGAATACGCCTGGTTTCCATGATGTGACAATCTGCGCACATAGCCTTGCTGATTCTATGGATCTATTACAACAACCATGAGCATCTTTGTTGTATATAGATACGAGAGAGGGTCATCGATACATACTTGAAGGTAACAAAAGCCGTGCCAGTAGGTGTGCAATAGCGTGCTGACATGTGGTTAAGTTCACGTAGCCGTTCTATCTCTCGATCGATATCGTCAATCTTGTCCAGCAGATCGACAATGCCGTGGTGAGGAGGAATGCTTTGTATCCAGTTGGGTGTAATGCATCGTCGACCAAGGACAATGAGGAGACGTTCAAGGCGATCGATGTGTTGCATGCGTCGCTGAAGGGCGAGTTGAAGAGGTTCAGCACCTGCTTGACTCAATAGACTCACGGTATCGACAGGGCCAACCTCTGACGAAAAGTGCTGGCGAAGCGCTTGGACATTGCGTAGGTGATGCGGTACATTGGTGACAAGAACGGTGTAGGATCGCTTTTGGGGTTGTTGAAGAAGATGGCAATGATTGGCGAAGAGCAGCCAGAGCCAACCCAGGGATATCAGAAATACAAATGCAGCATGGATCCAAACAATGGGCGTGTCATCGGGCACATTGGATATTGATAACCGAAAGAGAGTCGCATTGCTATGGAAATAGGCGATTTCATCATCGTTGCTCAAGGTAGGTGTGGATTGCCAGTGCACCGATAACAATGTAGGACACAGCAACAATGCAAGTAATGCAAGGAATTGTACAGCCATCCGTAGAAATCGTAAATACATGGCCGCATCCAAGCCTACATGATCAATCATCCACGCTTCATCCAGCTTGATCGATCCCGTTAACCATCCAAATGGCTTTGAAGATAACGGATTGGTGCTATTCCTGATATATATAGGATGTTGTTAGTATTTACGTATCATTCATGCAATAAAAATCTTACTCTTGTAATCGTGTACGTGGTGCAAATAAGGATTGCATGGATTTACGTGATCGAAGCAGCTCGAAACCGGTAACACAGACAATGGCAATCGTACATGAAATACCAAATGTCGTCGTTAGCCCCAGGAGTGTAGGTATATAGTATACTGTATTAATAGTAGCCATGGATTAATGGGGGTAATGATGGGGTGGGTGAAAGATGAGACACGCTGTGTACTACACTGGCAGGAGCACAACAAAGGTAAAGACGTAAAAATGATGGATGAGAGGAAGGAGAGACAACAAGCGTTGTTGTTTCTGCTAGAAAACAAACAAACCGGGTTTCAAGAGCTGTCAAGAGATGTTGTCCACTCACAAAAGAATGCTATCTAGTTTCATTCAAAATGTCCACTACCACCACCAGGATTCTTTCACCTGCTGCTGCTGTCTCGTCACCTTGCTCTCTCTCTTTTTCTTAATACACCTTTGTTTGCTTTGCTATCAGCAGAAATCTTGGTCCAAGTATACCTTTCACATGATGAGATGGGGTTATGCTGAGCACCAGGTGGTGAGAAAAAAAGTACATCTCAATTGCATGATATTACAACTACCACAGCAGCAGCACCATCGCGTCCTTATATATCAGCAATATCCCCGCCCGTAGATGTGTTGCTTAAACATCCCATTCCTTGAAAACCTGATAAGGCTACTATGTGGTGGTGGTAGCAGCAGCAGTGGAAACCCTAGCTTGAGAAAGCTAATGACATGAATAATGCATAATTTAGCTGGTATGAAATCTCGTGTTCGACCGTGTTTATAAACAGCGAACGAGTACAAGAACCATGTGTTACCCACACACGATGTTTAAATTCTCAAAATGCTACACGACCATAAATTCGCTCATTGTGGCGAAGCACATTCTTGCCCAAATGAATCGTTTACAGCATGTACAAGGTGCATCTTGTTATAGTGAAGGCTCGTTGAAAAGTAGGCTGCTGTAAAGTGAAAAGCAATACGCAATACCTCACAGCCGCACAAAACCATGTTAGAACATGGTTCGTGTTACACTGAGCTTGAAGGACGGTTTATGTACACCTTTGTAGTAAGATCTCGAGCAACATCTTTTTCTTTCCCCCACCCCTCCTCCCTCTTATACCTCCTTCTCTTTTTACCCAACATGCTTGTCGATATCAGCAACATCACTATACCTACGACTTTACAACGCGATAAGATCCCAGTAATAGGCAGTATCAGTCTCGCTGCCTTGATCACTGTATACGCTTTGGTCAAAGCGGGCTCATCATCCAGCGACACCATTAAGGTTGATGGCAAAAAATTGAAGCAAGTACCTGTTGCTCCCAACCGATGGCCGATATTTGGTAAGACACAGCCATAATCATGTTATTGTGACATCTCGCTCACACATGGATGTACCATGTATGTTATGTAGGCCATATGTTCTCTCTCGGAAAGAAGCCGGTGTTCAAGTTTTCGGAATGGCATAGACTACTCGGTATTACAATGTGTATATTACATTGATTGTTTATTCACTTATTCATCCACTATAACAACAACAATAGGACCCCTTGTCCGATTTGACTTGGGTGCTCGACAAATGATCCTTATTAGCGATCCTCAAGTAGCACATTCGATTTTTGTCACTGAGGGTGAGCATACATCGTCTCGTGCAGCGGGTACCTATACCTTTGACATTTATGGGATGGGCGGAAGGTACATATGATCATCTTTTATTCTCTCATGTACAAAACTCTAATGGCATGTTATTTATCAGGAATCTTGCTACCGCTGTCTATGGCAAGGAATGGAAAAACAAGCGGACATTAGGCAAGCAGCAGCAGATGGGACGAAACAATGGATCACGTGAACTTACACAAGCTATGAATAGCACTCAACCTTTTGGCACCCAAGATGGTCGACACCTATACCGATGTCATTCGTAACGAAATGGCCAACATTGCTACCACCCTTGCTGCTATTACTGAACGCAATGGAAGTGTGGATCCCATGCAGACATGTCACTTGGCGACGACCAATGTCATTTTGTTGACTTGCTTTGGTACACGATATCCTTCATCGGATCATCCCAAGTTCTTGAAGCTGGTCGACTTTGTCAAGGGCCATTTGAATCGGTCGAGCGTGATGAATGATGTTGGTGCCATCTTTCCATTCCTGCGTTGGTTCGATATCATTTTCCGTCAAGATTCCAAACTCAGGGCCTTTGTCAAAGAGTATCGTGATGCTCCTCTCCAAGAATTGATCGCCGATGCACGTGCAAGTGATAAGCCATCCATGGTGAAGACTGTGGACCAATACAAGGAGCAATACAAGATTGATGATTGGGATATCATTTGCTTTTTCTGTAAGTGTTGTTGGACAACAAGGGCGTATGTATACGATGACAAGGGAGAATGGTGCTAACTTTTACCACAAAAAAAAGCCGATATCATTCTTGCAGGCACCGATACCACCGCTGTCACAGTGACATGGGCATTGGCTATTCTTGTAAAGTACCCAGAAATCCAGGCCAGGATGCAAGCTGAGATTGATCATTTCCGAGCAAACAATGAGGGTCGTATGCCAACCTTCCAGGATCGCAACGAGTTCCCATACATGATCTCTGTTCAAAAGGAATGCATGCGCTATCGTGCCACCACACCATTTGGCGTACCTCACGTCACTACAAAAGATGGTATGTATGCAGCTTGCTTTACTATCGATAGACTTATCATTGATTTCCACTTTAGTGACATGGAACGGATACTATATCCCCCAAGGATCTACGTTGCTAAGCAACATGTACACGATGCATCGATCGGATACAGTATATGACAACGCAAACGAATTTATCCCAGAACGCTTCCTCGATAATACCAATACCATGTTGGCTGCAAGCAATGGCAGGCTTCAAAACCGTGATCACTATAACTTTGGATGGGGAAGGTAAAAAAGAACCTAATGTACTATCCCACTCTCTTTGCTAACAATGATTTTGCATAAAGACGTATTTGCCCAGGCACTCATTTGGTATGTCAAAAGATTGGAACAAGGTGGCACATGGTTATTAACTATCTTCTTGTTGTGTAGGCTGAAGTCGAAATGTTTGACATGTTTGTCTTTATCTTTGGTGATTACGATGTCAAGCCAGCCGAATTTGACAAGAATGGCAATCCAGTCTTTCCCAATGTAGACACCGGTCTGCCAGGTGGTGTTGTCACTGATCCAATCCCATATCAAGTTCGTGTCGTTCCTCGTGCTAGCGTAGCAAAAGCATAGTCCGCATTGTAATCGCCGCCATTTTTACTACGCTTTCGTCGGATTAATATCACCCATTATTTATGTATATCAATGGCACATTCAAGCACCCCATCATAGGCACTTAGTCAAAAGACACTTTGATAGCTTTATCGGTAGTTGGTATGAAGAATGATGTAATAATAGTATTTTGAGTGTATTTATGATTATCGCATGATGTAGTACATTTTTGGGGTTGCTTTATTAAATGTAAGCTGCTTGCTAGGTACTATTACTATCCTTGTTGTACTGTTGTTTATCCTCACAAGTCATCATCATCATCGTCTTCTTCTTCTTCTTCATCCTCCATGCTATCTTCATGTCGAACGAATCGAAGCATGATGTTGCCTGCTGGTGTTGTCACCCTTCCGTTCGATGTGATATTATCAAGGTCAATTTCGATTGGTTGGCCCTCTTCATCCAAGGCAGGCTCAATGGTGCAATTGGTGAATAAACGCACAAATACAGTGAACATTTGCTCCTCCGCCTAAAAGATGCACCTGTCAATTGTCGATCTTTTGACACCCACACAATGACCCAAGCTTGTACTTACTAATTGTGCACCGGGACATACTCGTCTAAAGAGAGAATCCATCATTAGGTCATTTTGCACTTTTTCGGTAATCGACATGGATGATTTACCTTCCCCAACCGAAATTAAAGTGATCACGTTGGCCAACCTTGGCATTGGCTAGAGACGCCATCGTGCTTGTATTGTCAACAAAGCGATCGGGGATAAATTCTTCTGGTTGTTCGTACACCTCTGGATCAGCATGCATGAGGTACAAGCTCGTAACAATGGTAGTACCCTTGGGAAGCACATGTCCTCTCCATTCGACTTTTATATATATACGTCAATCGTAAGTATATCCACAGCATCCTCGTCAATGACTTACCATCTTGTTCAGTCTCATGGAATTCTCCAAAGGGGGTAATAGGTCTAAAACGCATGCATTCTTTTTGAACCGAGACAAGGAAAGGCAAGGCATCGCGATCAGCAAAGGTGGGTAATCGTTGATGCTCCGAAGCAAAGGACGCGATTTCCTCCACGATTTGGTATTGGGCATCTTTTTGTGTAGAAAGAATGACAAAAGCCCATAGCAACGCTGTAGCCAATGATTCGGTTCCTCCTTCAACAAGATCACCTAGGATACGCCCATTCATTGTCTCAATACCTATCATGGATCTATTTCCCCACTCTTCCAATAGAGTCATACCTGCTGCTGCCAAGATGTCTTGATCATCCATTTGGCCCATTTCCTTCATATCCTTGAGAGATCTGACAACACCCTCTTCGCCACTTTGATCCACCAATCGTCGAAATAGAGGCTCGCGTTCAGTTTCAATGTAATGTCGGTACATTTCTTCCGTCTTGCCAAGCACAAGCGATAGCACGGGTAGATAGGTGGTGACATCCGAGGAAGCAATCTCATGACCATGATCCATGACACGAATGACCTCGTCCAACGTGTCGTCATTGGTGTCGTCCTTGCCAAAGCATGTTGTCAGAATGAATTGCAACGAGGCCCGCTCGAGCACTTTGGTGGGATCCATGTTTTTTTGTGCACCACTACCGCTCATCAATGCAATCACCAATCGATCCACTTGGTCGTTCAACGACTGTGTAAATTTGGACGCCATCTTTTTCGATCCAAGTAAGGCATTCGCTATGTAGCATTCATCATCAACATCATCATTGTGTATATGTATGTACCCCCATATTGCTATTACTCACTGACAGTACGCATTTGTCTCCAAGCTTTGTTAGGACTTGAACATATCAACCCCCTATTTTTTTTCGCTTGATGGTCAATACAAACCCCATTCATGATCTTGGTTTTCATTGTTGATGATGTACCTTCCATTCATGCTACGATGTTTTGTTTTGAGGACCGAAAAAGGTCGACCCGAGGTGATGTTGCCATTCCCCACTAATAGTTCATGAGCGATGGTGGGATCACTGATCACAATCCATGTCTTGACACCCATTTGTAATCGAAAGATGGATCCTATTGTATACATAAAGTATCCGTATTAGAAACAAGGCTTGTCCAATGCTGTTGTGGGGGGCTACTCCCTAGAATGCGGGAGGGCGTGGGTGGGGATGTAAGGAGCCAAGTACAAACCTAATTCGCGATGCCACTGCATGAATTGTAGCATGGGCTGCTCACTCAGAGATAACAAATGGCCTACATGGTGTTTTTCAGTATACGGATAACAATTCATGGCGATGATGGTGCTGCTAGCTTCTTACGTACCAACGTAAGGATATGCATTTTGAGGAGATGGGATGTTTTCAAGGCCTTCTGGAACACCTTGATGATAATACTTGCGATAAAAAGCATAAGCGGTCAATGCAGCGGCGGTAAGTGCACTGGCAACAGAGAGTAGGCCACCGCCACCACTGCGGTGCATGGTCGATAATGCATCATCCGATATGATATCCATGTTGGTAGTACTACACTATAATTCGTGCCACACAGCAAGAAAGAATGAAGAATGTATGGCACCTCTACTGTTCTTGCCTCTTTTATAGTCCTTGTTGCTTTGACCTCCTTGCGAGAATGAGAGATAGTGTGCGAGAGAGCGATAAACGTTTTGTACATCAAGCTTTCTAGAGGGAGATGTGTGAGGGGCAAATAGGTTAAAGGTGTTGTTCATCCGTGGGTGTAGAACTAAAGGAGAGATTTACTTTCGCACGGCTTAGACTGGTGGAGGACAACACACACAATGCTGTGGCGTACATACAAAATGCTCCTTACCATCGTACCTGGATTAGACTCTTTGCACTCGGGAAATGAGGAGTAATCGACTTTCAGTGTTTAGGAGTGTGTCAACAGTGAAAAGGGTGATGGAGAGAGAGAGAGAGAGAGAGAGAGAGAGAGAGAGATAGGAGAAACATCATCATCATCATCATGATGGGGAGTGATACTATGTCTTTTCTTCTTTTGTAAAACCCCAAGCCATCTTATCTTGTATGTGCGTTATGTAACAAAAAGATTGGGATAAACCATATATTGAAAACAGATTTGGAGGGTGGGGGCGGGGATATTTATCTACAAGGTCTAAGATCCAATGAACAACGTAAAAATGTGTGTGAGATTTGATGGTGGTGGGGAAAGGGATATGACGATGGTGGTGATGGGGGAGATGTGAGGATCCAAAGAAAAGAAAAATGAGGAGCAAGTAGAATCGGATGCATGGATGAAAAAGGTAGAGATGGGATAAAAAAAAACTACCTGGTCGTGCTGTTGTTGTTGCTGGCATCGCTTGCTGGGGTTGTTGTTCCTGTTGTTGTGGTGGTGGTTGCCGGATTGTCTTCCGATGATGATGATGTTACACCACCATTGCTTTCGTTTGTGTTACCTTGAGCGGCATTTCTTGCACGTACCGCTTCCTGATCCTGCAATGACAGCCGAATCGCTTCCATAATCATATACTCTTCAATATCAAAGTCCATGCCATAAAACGAAGTACGCGGCTGATGATGTTGTTGTTGTGGATGTTGGGATTGTGTTGTTGCTGTTGTTGTGTGATGTAATGGTGTGGCTGCTGATTGTGACCGATTGGGTCGAGTAAGTATTCCTCGCCTATTACGAAAGAATGCTGGTCTGCCATCTGAATTACGACGTGGAGGCACTGGCGAAGAGGATGAGGACGAATCGGTAGGCTTTGGATTTTTCCAATCAGGTCGTACATGATCTAAAGGGATGAGTCAGTCTAATGAATCATCATCTTCACCATTCTTCACGTGATTCTCCTGCTACTTGCCTACAAGTACAACATCTGGGCTATCGTGGCTAACGTTTTTGCGTCTTGGAGGCTCAGCCCCATCAATCACTGCTGTAGCTGTAGCTGTAGCTGAGGATGCATTGGATCGTGCTTGTGTAGTGGGACTGACTTTGGAACGACCTGGGCTATTGTTGTTGGAGCGAGACTATGATCCTTGTATATCAGTAACCCCATCACAACAATGGCCTTTTACTACTACTACTGCTTACATCCTTCCATGTAGGGGGTTTGTAAACAACACCAAAATGATCCACCATACAAAAAGGACATGTTGCAGGAGAAGAAGGTGTATCAACAGGACGCTTGATTTGAAGGAAGCATTCGGTGCAAACGGGTTGATCACAACATCGGGCATGGTTGATATTCGCGGGATAGTACTAAACACACACACGTTGCATATGAGCCACATGGCATAATTACTTTGTTTAGAAGGGTCTACACAGCCATACCAGAAAGCATATAGGGCATTCCACAGCATCCTTATATAAAGCCTTTTTGATATCTTGTCCTTGGATTGTGGTACCATTGTTACTGTAGCTCGTCGAAGTCGATCGTGAACGCACTTTGCTCGTGGACGTTGTGGCAGTCGTGGGTGGAGGTGACGGTATACTGATCGGTTCATTGGGTTGCTCTGGTAAGTCTGAAAGGCCTATAGAAGAAGCCAAGTGGTTAATGGGGTGACTAATCCTATCAATGCGCGTGTGATCCTTGTCAACTTACCTTTGTAGAATGGCGCCAACTTCCTTTCAACAATGAGATTTCTTACAATGCGCAAGTTGAAGTCCTGTTGTGTAGCCGAGTATATGCCGTTAGGAAGTGTTGTACCATAGTCAACGGATTCTTCTATGGTTTGTTGTGCTGTTCGATTGGTGTCCTTTGATACACTGGCACCCATGCTATATATCAACCCAGTGATAAAAGACAATGATACACGGCTTGAAGAAAGAGTGAGAAAGAGAGGAGAGAGAGAGAGAGAGCAAGGGCTGTGTGTGGCCAAAGTGACATGCGCTTTACTCATTTTACTCAGCAAGCGGCGTCAATGGCAGACTCAAGTTGAAGAACCCCCCGCAGCAGCAAGCTTGGATGACAACATCATGCTATCATGCAGAGTACTATTCTATCATCATCCACGTGTACAATACCGTACACATTGATATATCACATTGTCTAATAAAGATGTTGTCTTGTTGCATTATGCACTTGTTGGCGTCATGTTTTAATCATTATCCCTGTTCTTTAGCTGCAGGAGATGTTGATATGGGATCATAATTAATTCCTCTTCTTTCATATGTACTCAAACGTAGGTAGCTGCATAAAACTTGATCATCATTATCCTCATCATGTATTTCTGCCTTGGGAGCAAGCAGCATGCATAACATCATGGCAACAGCTATCCAACCACCCTTTTACTTATTCTATCATTCATTTACAGGATTAAAAGGACACCCTCTTCTACCGTGTTTCAATGGGAAGAGTAGGAATGATATGGGGTGGGGTGGTAGTAGCAACAGTAGCCAAGAGATGTGTGTGGTGATGTGTTCCCGAAAAATGATAACGCGCCTTGCAGGATAATTTATCTAAAAGCTTCTTTTTCCATTTCACAAACATGCCTTTTGGTCAAGTAAGGTTTTATCTTTTCCGAATGCTCCCCTCATGCTTACCTTTTACACTTGTAGATCGTCGTAGGACCACCGGGATCTGGGAAAACCACTTACTGTTGGGGTGCATACCAGTACTTGACTGCCATTGGAAGGTAAACGATCAAAGGGTCCCATGTGTGTATGTGGGTATCAAGTCTAATGGGCGTATGCTTGTAGGAAAGTGGCCATTGTAAATCTGGATCCTGCCAATGAGCATATACCCTATCCTTGTGCTGTCAATGTGGCCGATCTGATTACGCTGGACGATACAATGCAGGAGCTTGGACTTGGACCTAACGGTGGTATCATGTTTTGCTTGGAGTATCTATTGGAGAACATTGACTGGCTTACCGACAAGCTTGAGGAACTCAAGGATCATTACATTCTCTTTGATTATCCTGGACAAGTGGAACTATTCACACATCACACAGCTGTCAAGCAGATCTTGGAGAAGTTACAAAAGCTGGATTATCGAGTAAGGAAGGAAGGATAGAGAGGGTATCATTATAGGAATACTGATAGTGTCATCAACAGCTTGTAGCCGTTCATCTCGTGGATGCACATTACTGCACAGACCCATCAAAGTACATTTCCGTGCTATTGTTATCTCTCAAGACAATGATCCAACTTGAATTGCCCCATGTGAATGTATTATCCAAGATTGATTTGATCGAATCCTATGGAAAACTAAGCAAGTATAGTGTGAATATGGATGTTGGAGAACAAGGTATTAATGAATGGGTGGTGTAGAGTTCAATTTGGATTACTATACGGATGTGATGGATCTTTCTTATTTGCAAGAGACACTCAACGATGACCCATTTGGATCGAAATTCAAGGCATTGAACGCAGCATTGTGTGAGCTCATTGAGGATTTCTCACTTGTGGGATTCTATACATTATGCGTGGAAGACAAGGATTCGATGACCAAGATACAACAAGTCATCGATAAGGCGGGAGGATTTGTATTTGGTGGATTGACGCAAGGCAATGAATCAATCATGCTATCAGCAATGAAATCAGGATACCACGAAGACGTCAAGGACATACAAGAGCGGTGGATCGATTCACAGTATGATCAAGAGGACCCTGACTTTGGTCGTCAGTAGTAGTAGTGGTAGCCATAGCACTCTCTGTGTACATATTTAAACGTGTAAATAATATTTATGCATCGTTGCACGACAGCAACTTAACACCCAAGATTGGTTTTCGCGTCCTTTTCCTCCTTTTTTCGCCCCTCTCCACACACCCTCTCTCATGTCCTTCAAAGATCTCCATTACTCGCTTAGCCGATTCAAGACCGATGTACGAACACAAATTGCTGGCAAGAACCCGTTTCAAAGTCAAGACACAAAGGCATTATCCATGTGGATAAGAGAAGAACGACACACGCAAGGTGCTATGGCCATGGCAGCCAAACATGGACACGACAACAATCAAGCTTTTGTACAATGGCTAGCACAAGAAGACAATGATCAGGGACTTCAAGTAAGAAGAGAAAGAGATGATGGGTGGAAGATCACATAAGGATGTTAACACGATGACTATCTAGGATCTTGGTTACATGTATTTACAATTGATGGAAAAGCAGGTGGAAATGGAGAACGAGATTGCAGGTAAAAATAACAATGTACATGTGTACCACGGTAACTAACTAAAAGAGTGGATGATACAGCAAAGCACGGGCGTTTCCGACAAGTGATCAAATCGATCCGAGAACGCGATCAACTTGTTTTAGCCGATCTCCGCGAAAAGAAACAGGCCGTTTCGGCACGACTAGAGCATTTACGCAAAAGCAGCCCTAATTCAAAGAAACAAATACAGCACCTTGAAATACAACTGGCCGATGTGGAAAAGGAGGAACGTGAGCGAGAATTGGAAATAGGCGACTATAAACGTTTGGCATTACGAGAAGCTTTTCATCTTCGATTCAACGCCATGCATGAATTTGCACAAAAGGCCGCTGTTTTAGCATCAGCAGGACAACGTCTCTCACAGCAACAGCGAGATGACCCACAACAGGATGATCTATTATTGATGGAATGCATGTTACAAATTGATGGATGGCAACCACCAGAAGAGCAAACACGTCCCACAGTGCTTGATAAATGGATATTCCAACCAGAAGAGGATGCGGCATTGTTAACGGATTTGGAGATTGCCACAGCCACTCATGAAAAACAAGCGGCTCAAATGGTAGCATCCTCCTTGGCAGATGAAGAGATGTCTTGTTCGCCACCACTACCGCCATCGTCGGCACCACCAGAGTATAAGGAAAAAGCACCCTACTAGAATGGTGGTTTCCATGACAACAATGTTGTTGTTGGGATGGTTACCCTTGTATGGACATGTAGAACAACCGCACCCCCCTTCTTCTTTTGCTTCTTTTTCTTCTTTCCAACCACCACTACCACCTTGTTTCCTTAACTCCTCTTTTACCGATAATACCCACCATGATCCATAAAGTTTACGTACGCCCAAACTAAAAAGTAACTGATTCAATCTATATGTTTATGCCATTGCATGCTTACAACGTGATGATGCATTTATGTGCAGCAGCTTGCAGGCATCCACGTTCACCACAACTTTTTCAACCATCATGTATGTATGTACCACAAGATAAAATAGCCAACAACGGAGACAAGTGGAAAAAAGGGAGTTGGAGAAGAGGCTTTGGTCTTTTCTAAGGCATCCATTTATTGACTTGCATACGTCTTACATACATACACGCTTTTGTGATGATGATCGATGCATTAGAATCCTCAAACTTGGTAAAAATGGGATGATCACGATGATTTTTATTTTCATGTATAAGCACAATCCATAATGATGTTATGCAAATGGCTCTTTTTTTTGGGGGGGTGGATGGGTGAGATGAAGTGGGGTATGTTCAAAGAAAAAAAGTGCTGTTGTTGTAGTAGTGAGTTGACCATGGGCATTATGTACAGGGGTAACTGTTTTTTTTCTTTTGTGAGTGATGTTGTTGTTGGGGTCATGTCTTGAATGATGCATTGATTGTTTTTTGTCTGGTGGGTGGGTATATATGTATGTTGTTTTGATATGTAGGGATAATAAAAGAAGAATGACAATGGTGGTGGTGGTGATTGTGTGATGCAGTATCATCAAAAAGACGCCCTGAAATTAGTTCCATGATTCGTGAAGGTTCACAACAACATGTAGCCATTCATTGTGCTTGACGGCGAAATGTTCAATGATCCATTTGTAGACCAAGCTACCATGGATGCGAACAAGCAATCGGTTTTGGCATATGGGACAAGGCCGATAGGTGTATCTCTTGGGATGGCGTGCGACAACGGATGATGATGAGGATGAGGATGGAAGTTTTTGCCTTGTGCCAGTGGTGGTGGGAGTGGTGCCAGCATGATCAGGTGGGCTCTTGGATAGCAGCAGCTCTGGATGATGCTGTGGACGATACATGATGTCGTATGTTGACATGAACTGGATGAATGTATGTATTGCGTATAGCACGAATGTCGAGGCAATTAAGCCCAAATGTTAAAGGATGAAAAAAGAGATGATGAAAAAAGAAAAGGCAATATGGAATGTAAAGCAAAAAAATCAATGCTTTGCAAGTTGCCTTTATATACACACACACAAAGTGGATCGAACCGGAAGATGGGTGCATATTCGCACTAGTCGAACAAAAAAGAGTGTCGTGGGACAAGGGGGGAACACAGAGTGGATCATGGGGGAGCAAGCAAAGAAAGAACACACCCATTGCGGGAAGGAGATAGTGGGGGAGAGGGAACACAATTTAGGGCGCTGTATATGCTCTCACTCTTCTCTCTCTCTCTGCTGTCGCTATAATGCACACTTTACTCCTTCTTGTTGTTGTTTCCCGCCAATATTTGAAAGCAGACTATATGTATATGTATATTATGTTTGCTTTACGGCACCTTTATCCTGCCGACATGTATGCTATGTATGTTGTTGCGGTTGTGTGTGTGTCAGAATTTTCGCTACTTGTGTACGTGTGTGTGTGTTTTCTTCATTACCCCCCATCTTTTAACCCGAGGAGGATGAACAAGACAAGAGAGAAAATGAGGGATGTATGTGCGTGGTAGTGGTGATGGTGCACCAAGAATCGGGGGTTACGCCATATGGAGTAGTGCTGCCGGATCCTGGTGCCCCGTGGATGCATTCTTGTTCTCTTTTCTTAGTCGCCCTGACCAACACCCGTGTCTCCTTTTTGGTGTTCGGTATCGTGATCATTAAGCGCATTGCAAATAGGATTGAGATGTATTTCACAAGAGCATCCATTTTGACGAAATTTGGAAGCAGCGGTATCAAGCATCATGTAAACAAGACCGCATCGATAATATCACCAGATTTTATGATTGTTTGCGTGTGTGCCTTGTTACTCACACTCCTTCCATTCTTTCCTCAAATGTGCAAAAAAGAAACTCGAAACACAAAATAAAAATGCACGCACTGACCATTATTGTCACGTAACAAATGGATGGTTTCGTCATAAGCAATCGAGTCGTGTGATGAAAAAGTTCCCAAGCATTCTCTTTTTCTTTCCCTCTTCCGGGATCTGCCCTTGTGACCTGACAGGTTTATCCTTCTTTTCAAAAAGTCGAATGTCAACGACGACCACCATCATCATCACCTTTAACATTCCAACATTTGAGCAACCATGCACGACATTGTATATGCTTTCTCAAGTTGCACCATCTTAATAGCCAGCTACATCAACATGCATGTGTAAGCCCTTTTTCCCTTTTCATAGACGTATGTATATAACAGCAGCATTATCGAAAGGGGGTTGCCATGGATTCTACTACATCACGTCGTATCCATGGATGCGTCATTGATGCTATGCTACTTTAACCTACCCCACTATGCCACTGTGCCCACAGCTTGATGTGTACACAAAATGCTCACGCACATGACTGCTCACCGGTTCGTATTATATTCTCTCATCTCTTTTGCGTAACCGATCCATGGTGGTATTATGGGCGACTTGCATCATTTCATGCAGTGTGCAGTAATGGGATGAATAAATATGTCATGGTGAGATTCGTTGCGAGTGTCTTTGCTGGGGGCCGCATCGTTTATTTTAGGGTGTATGTATCGTAATCTGCAGTGTACGTACGTCTCTTACTACAACCGCTACTACTACGACTATTACGCATGATGCATGCACCCAATTTGCTACTTGCATTCTACTACATGAAGATGCTGTAATAGCTTGCACATCCATTATCATCATTTCAAGCACCCGTGACAAGAGAAGATACGGCTAAGGTGACACATTTTGATATTACCGAAGCACATGAACAATAGAGGAGATATCATTTGAAACAAAAATCGAGAAGCGCTATTTACCTTTAGAGGCTATAAAGTGGAGAGGTACGTAAATGATGCCGGATGGATGCCCTTGTACGCTCGGCAGCACGTTACTCCTATGCAGAGCCCGAGTACGGGTTACACATTATATTACAATAGAGCCTAACCACCGGCATAAGCAAAGGGCGTCACGGGAATTTATCATTTTATTTCTCATTCCCTTTACTGCTGCTGCTGGGAATGTAACATACACTCGCTCTCTAGGGCATTTTGTCTTTGTGTGAGAGAGAATAACAAAAGCGTGCGAACAACAACGTCCTCATTGTGGGTGGTGGTGGTGGGATGATTTGGTATAACAACAATGAATGAGTACTTTGTATCAAACACAATCAAGGGGCTGGTGAGAAGAAAGGTGTGCCCATTGTTTCTTTTTTTTTTCATTGTTCCTTCAGCACTCGGGCTCTGGTAGTAGGAGGCCGCGGAAGCGTTACTTGAAATATCACAACGACACATCATCATAGACACCAGCAGATGAGCCTCCTCCTCGTCGTCGTCAGTTGGCTTTCTTTGTACAAGTTTTCCTTGTAACACCCAACATCAAGGCTATTACCGGTTTTATTTTTTCACCTTTCTAGCCACAACAAGATTAGTACAAGTTGATGCCTGCAGCAGCAGCAGCAAGCTTCCCCGAGAAAGTAACGTGGATGATGATGTTCCTGTACCAAGTGATGTTGCTGAGTCTTAAAGTTATCATGCAAGCCGATCCCAATGATTCCTTTGGTAAAGAAGCCGTGACGCAAGGATTATGATCAATGACAAAACAGAGTGTGGGATCATAATAAACGCTGTGTGTGATGTCAACAGAGGACGACGACGTCAGATCATGTTATCCCATGGCAACCAAGAAGATGCACTCTGATGATGATGATGATGGTATGTAGGTACATCTCATTCGAGATAATGGGCTCGTGATCATTTTCGCTTCCGGGAGATCGTTCGAGCGAGCATTCTCATGCAGCTTTATCAAGCGATCTATCCTTAAAGTATACAAGTGGGTACCGATCATGCAAGTTTTGAAGCGTTTTATACATGTAGCAAGCAATAGATGAACGTAGATGAGGAATCACTACACATTATACTTGCTTTATCTTTGACTTGAGACTGCTGCAAATCATTTTCATGCGCTCTCTAAAGCTTGATGGGAAGTATCTTTATGACATAAGCAGCATCGGATCTTGAGCTGGTAATGTTTGACAGGGGGAGCAATAATGAACGTATACTCTTAAAACCAAAACTTGGATATTATTCCCATCGCTCTCATTTTCATATGTGGTGGGATGTCGACCTACGTATACGCATTATCTAAATTTGGGATTGGAATCTGCTTCTTCATGTAGCGTTACTATCTGGGTATAAACCATTTTTCGCTGTCTCAGCTAAAGAATGATATTGGAGGAGGGAGTACCACCACCGATATTGAGCTGATCCGCTAATGATCGAGGTGGAATAATGCATCAAGGTTACACACTACAGCAATTGTCGGCGGGATGTAATCAACTTAATGCGTTTACGCTATGCTATGTCTTTCCCCCCTGGAGGATCTACAACCACCACTTTTTAATATTGCAGCCAAGTGAAACATGATTCACGGTGTTATCCATCACCACCATAAACGATAATGATTTCAATGATGGGATGCGTGGATGGTGGCTCATTGTGTTTATTGATAAGCGGTTGATGTAATAAAAGACTTCTCGTTGATGAATAAGCAATACAATTCTGTGGCTATGGCATGCATCTACAAGTAAGAATTAATAGAGCGGGATACCGATGGCCATCATTTGTTTCACCTTGTTTCAGTGTGCCTGAACCCCTCTTTGTTTTGTTCTCACCAAGCATGGAAGCTCTGCCAAGCGAGTTGATTACTGACATTGCACGATGGTTGACTCAAGGAGAACGCTATGCCTGCATTCAAGTGTCCAAGCAGTGGCGTGTATTGTTCATGGCGCATCTCTACCGTTCGGTGCACATTAGGGATCGGCAAGCCATGTACTTGTTTCTCAAGGCGATTCGACAAACGGCAAGCGATCAGCTACTGGGGCATTATGTACGAGAGATAGTGCTTGGTAGAGGAAGTCGACCATTGAGGCCGTATCGTGCAAACGAGTTACGAGATAAGACGTATCGATTGGGATTATCATGGCCACGTTGGCAAGCGTTGGTGCGACTCTGTCCTAACGTTGAGCTGCTCGATTTCCATTGGACGACATGGCTTGAATTGGATGAAGGAGGAGGACAGCAAAGGGATCATGTTTTGTTTCCATGGAGAAGGTTACGAGGTGTGGCACCATTTCACAACAGCGGCATTTTTTGGCAGGTGCTTGAACAGCATGGCTCACGATTAACACGACTCGAGTTGACACGGGCTGTATTGGAACATACAATCGATGCATGGCAACCCATCTTGGCACAGACACCTGTACTTGAAGAACTTGTTTTGACAAGTGGTATCAGCTTTGGAACGTTGATGACAGGACCAATGCTATTGTACATTGATGATCTATTGGAAGCTTGTCCCTTGTCACTCAAATCGCTCTCACTTTCGATGTTCAAACTCGACATTCGACCACAACAACACAACAACAACAACAACAACAACCATCATCCCTATCGCCATCTTACTCGACTTTGCAGCATCGACATGTACACAGTTGAATTCGTCACGCCACATCCACTCGATTATATGGCAAAGGCATGCACCCACCTTGACAAATTGGCGATTGGACGATCAGTAATGTCATTTGATGCCGAATACAGTAAGGAGACATTCATGGATGCACTTGTACGGGTCTTTGCAGCAAATCGTCAATCGTTGCGTAAGGTGTCAATGGATTCTTCGTGGAGCAGTTCATGGGTATTGGCAATGTTGCAAGTATTGGAGCGCCATTCGCTATTGGAGCTTTGCATAGGATCACATCATGGACGCCTGCTTGACTCATCAAGTGTTCGCTGGTCACCTGATAATTACGACGCCGTGCTATCAGTGCTTTCATCACGTGCTTCTACCTTTGAGATATCATTGAATCCGCAGCATACGATCGACTTGGGTCATCAATTAGCCCTTCCATTACAACGCACATGTCCTTTTCTCTTTGAACTTGAGCTCAATGGCGCACAGCAAGAGATCCCGCTCGATATCATTCTTCAATACCTTCCTAGCTTACATCGACTCAAGCTTTGCAATGCTCGCGTTACCATTCATCATCAACAAAATTGCATTTCAGCATCATCAACGAGGAGGAGTCGACTACAACATTGTGGATTACATTTGGCATTTGTGCAAAAAGACATCTTCAATTGCCTAGCAACCATGTGCCCATCCTTGACGAGCCTTAGCCTTTCAGCATGTCATTTTCATACGACGCTTCCTTCCGTGAGCTTAGACATTGATATGCCGCAACATACGCTACGACATGTCAGCATCCAATCCATGAGCGCTGTATGTGAATTGCCAGATACCACCACCAGAGAGAGGATACACACATTGGGCATGGGCAAATGTCTAGCGCTCGGTGTATCAGCATCATCACAAAAAGACGAGACAATCAGGTTTTATCACGTGTCGTATTATCGCCATTCATTCACTCGGGAGCTGTTGTCATTACCAAGAGATGCATTTCCATATCTTTCAAGAGAATCCATCCCGCATCATGGATCCCAGAACGACCTCGAAGCATTGCAAAAGGATTGGTTCAAAGCCCATCGACAACAACGTGCAAATACCATGGGTAGCTCTGTTCCAGAAAAGAGTTTTGGTTATATAGCTTTGCATGCACACTATGTACATAAATGCACCTTTGAAGACACTTTGGTACCCTTCTCACCACCCATCCAATAAAAAATTTGAGAACGCGCTGGTCGCACTCATCACACAACCATGTCTCTTGCACTATGTTTGTATTCACATCACTGTAAGTGGACGCATATCATTATAAAGAGTAGCTTGATGATCGTGATTATCACGTACTCTGATAGATCGATTTATGCATGGACAACATTACACCTGGGCCCTTCAAGCTTAATCCTGGCGCATGCGCCCCATCACTTTATGAGCTCATGCACCAACAATTTATCAATCCATCATCCCCAACATTCATTTTATCACTCTTTGTGGTCATAGAAATACCCACGGCCAACGCAAACAATAAAAGAGTGTTGTCGCCGCTCATCGTACTCCCACACATTTCTTCCCTCTACTATCACACTTTGATTGCTTACAAGGTCAAATTTCCAAGGTTTCGTACGTATCCCATTTCTTGCAACCTTATGTACAAGCGCTGATCTTTGTGGTCATTCATAGGATTTCTTTGTTATCCTGCTCTCATTGTTGTCATCGTCCTCATTGTGATGGTATTGGATTCTTGTAATAAGGTAAAGCCTAATCAAATTGCTTGAGTGCTCGCATACTCATATCCATCGCATTACTTTCATATAGCTATCTCCCGTGATGCATATGCAAAAGTTGGATTGGCGCCATGAGCCGTTTCGCAGCAACTACACCAAGAGGTTGCCTCGTTGGCCAAAAGACAAGGGGTCACTGCTCCAGCTGACCTCTTTTCGTTATGGCGGTCAAGCTACACACATGCAAGGAGTCCACAAGTTGCGACCCAGGATGTCATTGAAGTAAGTTATTGCTATGTGTGCTGACTACTTGACTTACTTTGTTTCACTCAAGGCCTTTCCAAGTCTACAAAAGCAAATGGGCACCTATTTTGTTGGATTTGGAGCCATGACAGGTCCTGCAAAATTATAAGGAGAGCTTGCCCCTATGGTCAAAGCACTCGGGTGCCACTGCTCCTGCCGATTTATACTCACTTTGGCGGTCAAGATATATGCAAGCAATGCCTAGAGGGAGACCCGAATTGGCACCAATGAAGTAAGTTATTGCTATGTGTGCTGACTGCTTGGCTTACTCTTGTTTCGCTCAAGGGCGTTCAAATTCGAGGAAACAAGTGGAAACCCATCTTTGACGAGCTGCAGCAACTGGTAAGAGTGGATAGGGGCACTTGGATATATATTTTCAGACATTGAAGGTCATCTTGATTTTTGTTGTAGCGTAAGACAACACATGAATATCGAGTGCAAAAACTGCGCACCTTGGAAGGGACTGACGAGAGTGCTGCAGACAGCACTGTTGCTTTTGGTGCATGGTGTTCTCACAACTAGCCTTGCCGAAGAGATGTCTTTGGGGACCGGTAGCATGGTAAGGCTATTTTCATTTCCGCTGTTGCAGGCTCATTGTTAACATCTCATACAAATAGGCCCACGAGCGTGCTATCAATGAGGGCCATGATTTCCTCGAGCAAGTGGCAACGACAAATGGCGATACGAGGCAAAACACGCTGGCATTTGCTGCATCGCGCTTCAAAGGTTGTACCAAATCGTGGGGTGATATCACCAATAAAAGTAAGTAGCCTTTTCGATCAAATAGCAGCATCATCAGCCCCAATGCTGATTTAATTAACGCCTATCGTCTTAATAGGGACTCTCTCTCCTCTGTCTGCAGCCTCATCTCTCCTCATTCGTACGACCACCTCAAGCGATTGCTCTCGGATAAGGAATTTGAGGGCCTCGAAAACAGAATCTCGCCATCCGTTGAAGGGCTCTCTATTACCGATCTCGCACTGAGTGATTGAATTATATGCGCTCGTTAATAAATATGGTTGTTGTTGTAGTCTACGTAAAAAGATGCCATCCTTGAAGTACATGATGAAGCTAACGACCTCAAAGCATTACAAAAGGATTGGTTCAAAAGCCCATCATCAGCAATGTACAAATACTATGGGCAGTTCAGATCCAAGAAGGAGCTTAGGTTATATCTCTTTGAGTGCTCACTTAATGCATTATTGAAGACACTTGTACCCTTCTCATCCAGCCAATAGAAATAAATTTTCACGCGAGCGCGATGGTCGCGCTTCTTCACTCTTCACAACGCGTCTTGAACTCCTCTCGCTTTTCCCTTTCATACACATACGCACACGCACACACATACAGCAATGAGTCTTTGGGTCGACAAATACAAACCAACCAGCATTGATCAGTTGACTTATCACAAGGGTCTCTCAAAACAACTCAAAGGATTGGTACGAATCACAGCACACACACGCACCCATTCACCCACATAACAAACAACTTATACACCATGTCAACAGGCTCGATCCGACAATTTGCCCCATTTGTTGTTTTATGGTCCTTCAGGTGGTGGAAAAAAGACACGCATTGCAGCTATGCTTCGAGAATTGTTTGGTCCTGGCGTCGAAAAGGCAAGCAAACACCATGCGACTGATATCGATGCACAGCTGTAGACTGACGCTTTTGCTCTTCTAGCTCAAAATCGATCAACGTCAGTTTTCTACGCCGAGCAACCGTAAGCTTATCTTCACTATCGTTCAAAGCAACTATCATTTGGAAATCAATCCAAGGTAACAAAGAGCAGACGAGCCATGAGGGGATCCTTTTCAGCTGACTTGTTATAGTGATCTCGGCTTTTATGATCGTATCATTGTTCAAGATGTGATTAAGAGTATTGCACAAACACAGCAGGTGGATGCCAATGCAAAACATCAATACAAAGGTAAGATGTGAAATGGATTTAGGAAGTAAAGGAGAGGATGCTAATAACAATGTGTTAGTGGTGGTGATTGATCAAGCTGATGAATTGACGCGTGAAGCACAAGCAGCGTTACGTCGTACCATGGAAAAGTATACGACCAATTTGCGATTGATTCTTTGCTGCAACAGCTTGAGCAAGTTGATTGCCCCTCTTCGTTCACGTTGCTTGATTCTCCGTGTGCCCCGCCCAACCTTACCCGAGGTAAAATCAACAACATCCAACAAGCGTTTTTTTCCAATCCTCTCACATCCATGGCATAGGTCTCCACAGGATTACAGCTTGTAGCCAATCAAGAAAAGTTCAACTTGCCAAAACCTCTTGCTGAGAATATTGGACGTATGACACAATGCAACATGCGCTCATCATTATTGACTTTGGAAAGCACGGCAGTAAAATTGTAAGTATCATTGAAACATCAAGAGATGCGTCGATTGACAAGCGTCTTTTTTTCCAGCTCTGATCTTTCAAGTGTACAAGTCCCTGAAGCGATGGATTGGGAAGTGGTCATTCAAGGATTGGCCAAGATGATTTTGGAAGAACAAACACCACAAAGGTAAAGAGTGAGGGGAGGGAAAAGTTTATTGAAAGGATCGAGTTGACAAGGATACGGGTGTTATACAGATTACTGGAAACCCGAAAGCATGTTTATGATTTGATCACGCGTGGTGTGGAGCCTACTGTTATTATGAAGGTACGTTGGCGGTGGAATCACTGTGGAAAGGTGTTAATCGCATATACAATTTGAATAGAACCTCTCGTTTCAATTGATGAAAAGGATGGATAGTGAAATGCAAAGAACGGTCATTGACAAAGCAGCTTACCATGTAAGTTAGTGTGATTGCATTCAGCGCTTGTGGCTAACACCAATGGGATGATAGCAACACCGCATGAATTTGGGCCGTAAACACGTATTTCATTTGGAAGCTTTCATTGCCAGTGTGATGGACGCCTATCTTCGGTAAGGAGAACATTGATACTATATCATGGTGGTGCAATACTAATGAACACATGTTTGATAGTCATCGTACAAAGTACTAGATTATTCTTTATGCAATTTGACATATGAAAATGATCATTTATACCAAAAGAAGCTACATGTGGTTTATGGATGGGGTCATTGGTGACGGGATGTGGGTGAGGTGACCAAATGCTGCTCATAATAATCGATCAACTAACGTAACATGTCGTCAGCCATGATATCCTTGTTTGAAATGATGTGCAAAAGAAACTCTACCTTTTCTGGTGCCTTTTTCCTTAGAGTTCTTGTCAAAGAATATGATGTCGTATCATTTGGCCTAGGTTAAAGCAACATCAGAGAAAATTCATGCGAGCGGAGAGTAACTCACCATTTCAATTGTGCCAGCAGTGGGCTACTATACGAATTCTTGTCGGCAAATACATGTGCCACCCTGATCAGTTCTGACCATTTCATGCCTTTGGGGGGTAATGCGCTTATGGGAACCTGCTTCATCTTGTGGAACTCCTTTCTTGGAACAGAAGATTGTGCTGCAGCCTCGTCTCCTTGTGATGCCCCCGTTGTACCCTCTCGTTCTTGTGTGGAAGCCAATGTAACCTCTTGTTCTTGTTCTTGTGTTGGAACTTCTTGTTCCGCCGGTGCTGCCGAAGCTGCTGTAGCTTCCTGTTCAGGAGTCGAGGATGTTGTAACATCTTGTTCTGGTGCAGCATGTCTTTGCTTTCGAGTAGTCTTTGTACTGGATGTCGTGGAAGATGATGATGATGGCTGCGTTCGTGGCCCGTGCTTCTCCCAATACGATTCAATAAGATCATGTGACAAGCTAAACAAGATCACTAAGTAATGGCTACTGAAAGCGACATGTTCCTACCTACATATTTTCCTCCGGCTCCCATGTATTCTCTGAATGGTCATAACCCTTCCATTTGACACAGTATTCTGTTACAGACTGCAGAACCATGATATCAGTGTACGAGGCCTAGGTTACACGTTACAGTAAAGAAGTGCGTTACCTTGTTTCTTTTGGACTTGCGATGAGCTACCAATTCCTCCACCTCGTAGAATTCCTCTTCGTTGCTACTCTCCTTTGTCAAATTGCCGCGCTTTCTTTTGGATCCGGAAGGCATTGTGGTTGCGTGTTGTTGACAGGTGCTGTGTTGTGGTGAAAGGAGAACCGGAAATTAAGCAAAGAGGGAGAGCTGGACAAGTCAAGTTAATTTCTTTGGTGTTCTTACTGCAACGCAATTATCTACTCAACCAACATGTCATATCCAAGACAACCAATGCTACTACCGAGATTGACTCCCACAGCCATACCACAACCTTGGTTTGCAAAGAAACGGAGCCTCGAAGACGAATTACAGGAGCTGCAATATGAAGAAGATCGATATACCCGAGAACGCGCACTCGCATTGACAACCAAGTACGATGCCATCCAAGTCGATGTACCCGATGCAGCCCATGGTGCCCAAAAAGTCCAGCAACGGCAATTGACACCATTCTCGCAAAGTTCTCAACAGCAACACTTGGTGGAACCTGAGGACGAGGGTGAATACGACGATGATAACGAACAAGGCAATTATGGCGTATCAGGCTCATCGACAGGCTCTGTCACTCCTCAACAAGTCAGAATGATGCAGCACAATGAGGATATGGTTCCTTCATCCATACCCGCCTCACCCGAGTTTTCAGACGATGATATGATGCTGAGCTTTTAATCGACATTGGCCACACAAAATAACCCTCGCAACAATCACACTATACAGTCTCATAAATAGTTTATCTACATCAAGGAGGTATACAAAAGATCTTAAAGGATATCTCTCTACTGAAGAATGAGGTGGATGGCACCAGCAAGTCTATTGGACAATGAACCACTTGTATTATATATCTCTCCTTTCCCTTGTAAACATAGCATCCATCATCCCCAAAATAAAAACAAACTTACCTTGCATCCCTACTATAATGTGCAGATGTGATACTTAGTACACCAGCAGCTGATTGCAAATGGGATCCAAAGCGGCTCTGCATCACGTAGTTATTAGTTTCCAATAGTCAAAGTATATCTGTTTATGTACAGAACTTACCACTGAATCCGCATTTTTCATGCAAACCATATCATCTTCAATAAATGACCATTTATGCACTCGTCCACGCTCTAGTGATTCCCAAAATGATGGATCAGATCAAGCTCCATCTTCCCTTCCAGATCATTGTATGTACCTCCATTGGCCATAGGTTCGCCTACCCATAAGCCCATGTCATATCCATCGTCATGTGATTCATAAAACGCCATTGCAGCACCCAGATGACCAGCAGCCTGTTTGCCTTCCATAGATCGTAACAAGCCATAATCCAAGTCATGCTCAGTATTGCCCGTATTGAGCACTTTCCAATCATAAACTCGAACAGCGCCAGCTTGCCAATGTCGCTGTAGGAGGCTATCCAAATCACCAGTTTCCTACATAGTGTATCATGTTAACCATCATTATCGAATGTTGTATCAATAAGGCACCCAATCCTACCTCCGATGGACTAGAAATCGCCACCAAACGACCTTGATCTCGCGTGTCAGCTGATACAATTAAGCTGATAGCATGATGCATTAGCCAAAGTATACGTTTTGTATGAAGCAATCTCTTCGCAGCGCTTACCTTCCAAATTGTTGAAATTCTCGTGATCCAGCCATTGTCCATTGAATTCCTCTTGTTTGTTGATTCATTGCATAGACTCGACCAACTCGTTGCAAAGGACCCATGTTATACCCTGGTGCACCAACCAGCAGCACACCATCTACGGACTCAAATGTGGTTCCAAATCTTTCATATGGCTGAGGACACGGGTTCTTGAAAACCATGTCAGGTGTCGAATACATAGCGGATCGAGGAGATGACTTGATGCTGCTGCTGAGAAACACGTAAATGGCACCAGCCTATGTATGGTATCATAAGAACAACTTGCCAATGCAACATTGTAGTCATAGAAAATACTTGCATGCGGTGCACCAGCTACTGTGCAATAAGGACACCCCACAACGAGATCATGATGTCCATCACCATCGATATCAAGCCCTTTGAGTGACACTCCAAAGCCTTCGGTACTACTACCTGGAGGTAATGAAATCCTCAAATCTGGTTTCGTGCTGCCGATACCATGCTTGGTGCTGCCATAAAACACATCCACATGTCCACGATTGCGATTTGAAAAAGGGGAGGCAACAGCAAGGTCATCCGTGCCATCCGCGTTAAGATCCACAGTAGCCATAGCCCATCCAAAGCGGCCACGATCCATATCACCTTTAAGCATGACTTGTGCAACGCGGCGAATGTCGTTATTGATAGCATCCTCCGTGGCACGATCACTTGTCAAAAGCGCACGTGTCCCGTTTAAAAGATACACAGCACCCGTGGCGAGTTTGGGTTGGTCATTGACATAAGGTGCTGATATGGCCAAATCAAGTTCACCGTCACCATCAAAGTCGCCTGTTGTAGAAGCGTGACCAATCGATGCTGAAAATGCAGGTGCTGATAGTGTAAGCAACGAATGAGCAAAGCTTGTTTCGTACGAGGTTGTATCCAAATCAATGCAATCGTCATCGCCTTTCCATGGGAAATTCCACATTGGATGTTGCTCATTGGGTCCCTGATCATTATCATGCAAATCCATCATCTCCTTTTGATACATCATTCCATGAGGTCGTTGTCGTCTAGCCGACGAGGAAGATGTGACAACAACGGGCATAACGTTATCCTGCTGAATCAAATCAAGGGGCTCCTTCTCATGTTGCATTGATAGCGTCAGCACACCACGCTCTTTATCATAATGCTGTTGCAATTTTGACATCTGCTTGTTGGAATGCACCCAATGGCGGTGAATACTAGTGCGATGACTAGGGTATGCTTCAGTCTGCTGATCCTTGTTGTCGAAATACGATCCACAAAGAACTGCTGGTTCAATGCCTTCAAACGCATCTACAAGATTGGCAATGCAATCAGTGACACTTGCTGTCATATCTTGCAATCCTGTATATAGGTATGGGTGATGATGAGTGCCACACACATAAACTATGCATGTTGTACGACAAACAAAACTAACCTCCTTTGTAATAGTCGACCAAGTCTTCAACCAGGAACGGGCTTTTACGACCATAATATCCGAATAGATGTTGGCCCAACTGATAATCGATGCGAGATGCGGCAAAGGCTGTAGTCATACAATACATCAAGTGACTTTCCATTGGTACACGTGGTGTGGATGAAGACATGGTGCTATCGGCGTAGAGTTTGGCATAAATGTTGACCAGGTCACGCACAGGAACATGCCATGTGGTGGCATTGATATAGGATGCTAATCGTGGAGTAAGGTGTTGTAGCGTGAATTCGGCACCGGTATCAGCGACTGGGTGGGCTTTTGCATAGTCGCCATGGAAATCCATACGAGCCATTGCATCAATAAAGTAACCAGACAACCCCTGCAGACTGTGCCATCGTACATCCGCCACATCATGTGCCATGACGGCAAATATGAATGAAATTAATCCCTAAAAATATATAGAACGTGAGTGAGAGAGAAAAAATAGGGCAATGATGATATTATACCTCGACATGAGGATCATCCTTTCCATCATACGTTTCTTGTATGTACTCGACAGCTGCTCGGATGAACGGCGCCCAATGTGCTAAAGTGTTAAATAATAGGTTTAGATTGATTCCTTTGGAACAAAGACATATCCCGTATACTTGCCATCCTCTGCTTGCTGATTATAACCCAAGCATTGATATCCCCTATGTAGCTATATCAATTCTAGAACATCTCATCATCCCTTTCAACCCTCACTCATTTAGGCAACTTACCAATCAGGGAAGAACGATCCTGCCTGCACATAGCCCGGTGACCTTTCCAACATGGACATATAGTCTTTTTGCACTTGGCTCACTGGCTCAAATAGTTCTAATGATCGATACGTTATCTCTGTGTGAACGGTCCTGAAAACAATAAATGAGACACGGTTGAAACATGAGATGCAGTGAAGAGGTCTTACATTCCACAACCAAGGGACATGCGAATGAATGGACCGCATGCCAGAGCAATCCAGATGTAGTGTCGAAGTGATATGGGTAACAGCATAAGAGTGCTAAGGGGATATACAAGAATGGAAAGGGAGGAAAGAGGAAAGAGATAAATGATGTGATGATGGTTGCTATATGCACGCTATACTGTTTTATGGATCCATACCTTATTGGACATGTATCAGCAAAACATACTCGGATTAGAAAATGACATTAGCTCAACACCACCAACCATGAAATCCAGGGCCAGGTCAAGTGATCCTCTCATCAGCTGTGAAATCACCTTGACATCGTCCACCTTGATTCATCATCATCGTGAACAGCAGGGCTGCTTACTATTATACAACTTGGGTTTATTGCCAACATCATAACAATGACATAGCTTATGACATGTGTGTACTCACAATGCACATAGCTCAAATGACACCCCCACATGTCCATTGCTAAGGGTAAAATGATCCTCTTGCATAATGTGTACTACGCTGCCAACATCGTTTATGGAATTGATTGAAAGAGAAGTAGGTTGACGGAGTTGGGGTATGATTGAATCTGGCTGAGAAATTGAAATAGGCAAGGCGCCACAATCCGCGTATGCTGCTATAATTCTAGATGCATAGCCCTCATCTGTGTTGTGCATCATTACCCATGCCGATCTGCATAACGATATCATAAAGGCCGACATACATCAAATGGGTTCATCTTCACTAGGAACACCACAGGATGATCTTCTTTCTCCACCATCAAGGCCGTCGTGAACAATGATCAAGTCTTCAAGGGAGGAATTCCTGACCAAAGCTTCTTACAACATAAACTTCTTGGTATGCGTTGTGCACAACTCCAATGACGCCGAATGTGTGTGCAAGGAGTAGTCATATATGACATGCATAGCCAGTAGTACATATATAGCATGTTAACAGGCACCTCGTACTCTCGTAATATAGCACCGATTACCCCTGATCCCTGGATTGACAAAAGAACAAGAATCATGATATGGTATTTCGAAAAAAAGGAATTGCGTGTGTGTCAAACCAAGGAGTTGGCTACAGACTAAAGAAACGCCCAATGTCAACAAAAAAGAATCCGTCTCGGGGGATGATGACTTGTTGCCTGGCAACGTATACGTTGTTGTTGGCATGTAAACAAAAAAGGGGAGGATAAAGGAAAAGGCTTAAATTTGTAAATGAATGCAGCAACGCGTCTATATAAATCGACCCCGATTTCTTTATTACGAGCTCTCTCTCTCTCTCTCCCACCGATCTTTCATTCGTTCCTCTTTCCATTTTCGTTTCCTTTTTCCCATCGTATCGGCTATATGAGAATAACAACAGTTGCCGTTCCACTCCTTGCTGCCATAACAGTTGCTTACGCCGGTGGTGATGAATATCATCGTCATGGCCATCAACATCACCATCATCATGATAATGATCAGCATACTAAGTTTCCAGACTTCAAAGAGTGTGAAGCTGTTGACGATCGAGCCAAACAAATCAAAGACGCCTTTCTTCATGCTTACAATGGTTATCGGGAATACGCATGGGGCGCTGATGAGTTACTACCTTTGACAAACAAACCATCCAACTCACGGTAAGCAAAATTGACACCATTCAAAAGCGGATGGTCAACTCATCAATCTACAAAAACAGCAATGGATGGGGTGCTACCATTATTGATGGCCTTGATACAATGATCATCATGGGCTTGGAGGATGAATACAAACAAGCACTCGATTTCATCAAGAATGACCTGAATTTCAATACATCGATTGGTGATGCAAAGGGATTTGAAACTGGTATTCGTTACTTGGGTGGTCTGATCTCGGCGTATGACCTTGCTGGCGATTCAATTCTGCTTGAAAAAGCCAAGGAAGTGATGGATGATGTCTTGTTGCCACTTTTCTCATCACCACCAGGTGCTCCCTATACATACATGAATGTCAATAGGTATGCATGGAGGATGAGGAGCATCGTGATAGAGCAGGTGTCTAATGCAAGATTTTTATCACACCTTTAGCAAAAAGCCTGTAAAGACCAACACAATCAATCTTGCAGAATTTGGTACTTACACGCTCGAATTCACTCGTCTCTCGCAAATCACCAAGGACAACTCGTATGCCAAACTTGCCAACAAGCTGGTCGAAGATGCCATTAGCCATGACAGTGTTATGCCGGGATTGTATCCGACCCATTGGGATATTAGCGGCGAGACGATGAAGCCAATCAAGAGCAGTAAGTGTGTTACACATATGGCTCTCATTGTATTCGTTGCTGACCATGTTTTCTTTTCCCCCTCATTAGGCATTGTGACCGTGGGAGCTGGTGGTGACAGTTTTTACGAATACCTTCCCAAGACCTTTTTGCTCACGGGCAACAGCCGATACATGGATGCATGGGCCAAGGCAGTTGAAAGCATCCAAAAGTTCCTCTTGTCACCCACTGCTCAAGATCCCAACATCCAATTTGTTGCCAGCATTACCAATGGCACCGTATCTTATGCATCGGATGAATTGGTACGTGTGTGTGCGTGTGTGACACAACGCCTTTTCATGCATATACGCTAATCACATGTTGCATTGGGCGATATCATAGATTTGCTTTTGGCCAGGAAACGTTTTACTCGGCATCACTCAGCTCAATGAAGGTGATCAAACCGATTCCTTCCGTTCTTTTGCCGATACATTTATGAAGTCATGCATTCAAACTTGGAGTGACACAGCCACTGGTATTGCACCTGAAGTATGGAGCTGGACACCCAACAAGGGGGCTACTGAAGGTGCCCTTGGTCAACAGTATGATGCCATCGGTGAAATCCTAAAGGACATCAACCTTGGCGAGAAGCATCATGGCGACCATAATGGTGGCCCTGTATTCAAGATTGAAGGATCAGCATACAATCTTCGCCCAGGTAAAGCATACAGGCACATGATCCACTTTGCATAATGGCATCACCTAATACGTATGACTTGATCATAGAAACAATCGAAAGCTTGTTTTATTACTACCGTGCTACTGGTGACGAGTATTACAAGGTAGGTTGATGATAACCTTTGATTCTACGTGTTGGCTCACATAAAATGCCGTCGTCTAGGAAACGGCATGGGAATGGTTTGAGAGTATCAAAAAATACACAATGACCGACTCGGGCTTCACAATGATCAACAATGTTGATTCTACTGCAGATACCCGTGGCAACTTCCAAGAGAGGTAAGCTCTCATTGCTAAAAACAAGCACTTGTTTATCGACATACCAACCCCCTGAAATAGCTTTTTCTTCGCCGAGACCTTGAAGTATCTATACCTCTTGTTTGTGGATGACAAGTGTATTTCTTTGAACAACTACGTTTTCAGCACCGAAGCTCACCCCTTCAAGCTTGAACGCAGCATCAAGTACCAAGAAGTATGATATACCACGCACACCAGCCAATCAGCTAATAGCACACTATACCCTGACCTGGCTCCATAATGTTGCACACATGCATATTACACACAATACCACATCCCACGCAGCATCAAATATACACAAATCAATAATAGATGGGCTCATTCCACCATGATTTATCATAATACATGTTCACTTTTCTTTAATCGTATGAGTACAAAGATATACAATAATAATAATGTTATGGGGGGATGTCTGTGCACTGCACAGGTGATAAAATAAGGGTCTACCTATGTCCAAGTATTCTAGTTGCTAAGGCCACACACTTGGTCGATGTTGCACTTGAGCTTGTCAGCAAGAGCAGCCTTGAATTGATCAAGAGGGCAAATCTCAGTCTTGCAACCGGGAACAGTGATGGGGCGTTCAGACAAAAGAGTGCGGATATAGAACTTGCCATCCTTGCGTAAGAGCTGGAAGGTGAAGTTAACAGCAAAGTGGCCCACTTTGGATGAACGATAGACACGATTGTCAATGTCGGATTGGCTTGAGTTAGCTTGAAGCTTAGGACCCTCTTCGAACATGCCAAGGAAGGTTTCCATGAACATGATGGTTTCTCTATGGCCAGCCTTGAAAGCGATACGATCATAGTCAGCGTCCTTGTCATTGCTCTTGCTTGAAGTGGCAGCATCAATATTGGCCATGACATCTTGCATAGTGGCACACGCGACTTGGCTATTGAGCTTGTCACCAGGACCCCAACCATAATAGTAACTCAAATCCTCGCGATACTCATTGACGAGGATATCATCCTTGGAAAGCAAAGAGCAAAAGGTATCAGCACGACGACGATGAGATACTTCAAAGACGCAGCCGGTGTAAATGTGGTCAACGTGCTTGACTGTGACGTTGGCACCAAGCTCCTCGGATAGACGTTTGGCAATAGGGGCTTCGGCTTGATCACGATAGGCGTGTGATTCATCATCCAAGTCACCACGCTTCTTCCAGTTGGGACAATTGCCATCCAAAGCGAGAATAGTATCATTGTCCTTGCCATATTGTAATAAGGGTGCGGGTAAGAACTTTTCCGTGCCAAAAGATCCATCACCTTGATAAAGGCCAAATTGGAAAGCCGCGGCTGATTGTGATGTGCGGTTCGAGAATGAAGAGTATGCTGACATGTGGATGATTGTATCACCGTCAATCACTTGTTGCACCAAGTCGGGATAGTTTTTGGCGACACGACGACCATGATCATAATGCTCGTATTGCCCATTTTTATCGAGTGATCCAGCACGTCGAGGCAAAAATGGGTTTTCATAATCCTTGATCCATTCGGGTGGGTTTGTGGCATTCTTGAGCAAATCAATCACCTCAACCAAATCGGCAGTGTCACCTTCGGATGGGTATCTTGATCCATGACGCTTGATAATTTGAAGCTGAACCAATTCATGTGTCTCGGTAATGTTGTCAGTGGATGGCACCTCCGGGTAAGGCGATTTGGATGCACCATGTTGTGAGAGCCAATCAATGTCATGCTTGTAAGATGTAACAGCAGCAGCAGCACCATGCGCAGCATGGGCCAACAAAGCCAATGAGCAAACAGCCGCGAGTTTCATTATGATGAAAAAAAGAGGGAGCCCAAGAGAGAGAGAAAAAACGACAAGGAATACAAGCTGACAAGGAAAGAAAATGTCCCTGATATTTATACAAAAGATGGTATCAGCAGCTGTATTACATTGATGTTTTTCTAGCGAGCTGTTGTACACTGTGAATGGTGCTAGTTCTCTCTCAGCGTGGAAATGCTGCAATGCGGTGGCGGTGCCTTGATGCTGATGATGGAATGTTTCTGATCTTTGCTTATCACTGCATCCACGTGTGTTACTCTCTGGTGTGGGATTAGTCCATTGCAGGCTAAAAGGCAATCAATGTAACCAATATCCCGTATAACCCCAGCCTCTGGTAATACGCACCCTTGCACTTTGATGATGTACAATATTGCACAACATGGATGGCATTGCTTCTTGCACAGCGATCTTTGTGTACAATTTCTATCATATTGATCTGAGACAAAATGTCACAGCTGTGCCCTTAAGCCCAGTGAAACCTTCTACCAATCGTAATTTGTCCCTCGATGGCTGACTCTAGATCATAACTTGTCTCCTCATACGATGTCTCGTTTTATTTCGGAGGTGGCCACTAGTCTGTGAATGGAAGTTCCCCGAGGTTTAACATGTTGTAGAGGCTATTTTCACCGTTTAAAGCACGATGTATAGTAACTAAACTCGGAATGGAAGTAAAATATATCGCATTTATGATCGTCCCAATGACGCTCCCGCCTATCCCGTACGTGGGACGAAAGTTCATATAGGTATTGTAAGGAAGTATCAAATTGTGTAACATAACGGCGTGTGTGAATTAGTGGAAATAGTGCAGCGGGGCTGTTTCTAATACCTGCTCTTGGCATGCATGGTGGAAAAGACAACAGCAAATGTATGGTGTCGTATAAGTAATAAGTCTCTCGGACCAAGATTCTGAAACCATACCTTGTTTTCGAAGATCAATATGCGCCTGAGTCCAAGAATGCATCAATGAGAATGGGAGGGATGAGACATTTTTGTCTCGATTTGCGGGGTAAGCGGAGGGAAAATATACAGCTATCTTGTCATGGGGTAGATCATCCAAGCACTTGGGTCATCACACATGTCCCATCTTGTAGGCTTGATCCATCATTCCTAAAAAAAGCTTTGTTGGCACGCTATAGATGTACGATCATCTTCGTCCTATACCTTTAATATCAATGAATACAAGCCATTTTTATTTAGTCCAACGTCGTAGTGATACGATCATGAATCGGAGTGCTGGTCGCTTTTTAAGGATAAAGCAAGCACAATGTGGAGAAACATGAGACACGTAGCCATCGGACACATGACGGCTTTCATAGTTGGTATCTACAATGCGTTCGTGCAACGACTTGTAGCATCACATTACCTCTGTGAATGACAACAAGATTACTCTAATGCGGCACATTGCCACGTCTGTTAATCGGATGGGTCAAGAGCTATCCAAAAGCAAGGTTCGATGTGAAAATATAGTATTGATATCTAATATAGAAAACTAGCAGCTAAGGGGTGCTCGCTTCGCTCGTAAGCTCTTAATGTCTCGTTGAATTGCTTAACACTATCTATGGTGTAGTGATCCTACAACAACTTCACAACCTCGCAGCATCCATATTTGTAGGATCCTCCAAACCATTGTTTATCCATATTTACAATAAGAGAATACCTCTGTAATAAGCTACATGATCCCATCCTTTTACCCTCCCACTCAACATCCTCATAATAAAGCATGGAGTCCTTATGAGAACCAAATTGATGGGCACTACCAAGAGCACATTATGTGAAAGCTCCACGATCGAGATGGGCAATCTCAATATCAAGGTTTGATGTTCAGCGTTCATGCATTTGTAGGACAGCGTCTGACAGGTCAACCTACTTAAATTTCCACCTTTCACTCCCACCCTCTTGCCTTTTCCTCCCATCAGTATACAACTGCCACCTGCAAACGATTGTCCTGCTTCAACCCATCATGTCAACCCTACAACTCTCTTGATCCAATTGTCGTTGACTGAATGGCAAGTCCATGGTGTGTACACAGCTTCCTTGTCACTCTTCTACAACACACGCTCTTGCATTCTCATCTGCCACGATCGATCGTAACAGCATTCGTTCCGGTAGTTGTTATTCGCTCCATTGTCTCAAGCAGCATTCTTTACTTGCAGCACCTTCCTTGCAGCCTTTTTTAAGTGAACAGCAGACAGCCATCATATAGAAGCAGCTTTATTCACATGTAGCAACTTACTTCAATACATACGAATCCTATCGATGGATACCATATTTACCATCAATTACGACTACGCAATGTAAGCTTCTTCACCTGGTTGAGCTACGATAAAAGGTGACCAAGGAAGTGGTTGACCAACAGCTGGATGGGATGTTGGGCTTGCAATGATTATGATTCGACGGATGGATGCAATCAAGCACAGTGAAGTGATCCTGAAATGTCGTTATCAGGAAGGGTGGACCATGTGTAAATGAATACGGCTGAGGATGATGATGGATCGGATAGCGTGGATGAGAGGGCTTCTACGTTTGACGAAAGATAGTGGATGACATTGAATGACATTGGATTATTGGAGTCAAGGCACTGCAGCATCTAGTTTGCAATCATGGATGAAGATGTTCTATGACGGCGGCAACCAAGGATACAATGACACAATGATACCCGCTGAATCTATGCGATCCACTTGGTTGGTTTCTGGAATGGAAGGAGGATAGGGATTTGAAAGGGGAAAGCGAAATTGGATCATCCACATCATTGCATCGAGACACCCTTGTTCCTTTGTCATATCACATTCTTCAAAGCATCCCTGTTCATATGCAGATAGACGATAGGCAGTGGCAATTCTTAGTGGGTTGTACACAGGTTTAAATAGACGCTTGTATTTTCAAATAAACCCATAGTTAACGATACCCAACAATCATGCTTGTTACAGATAGCTTAGTCCTATAGTCCATTGTAGGCTTAAATCATTATGTACGTTTAAAAGCGAGCTCTAATACAATGTGGCACGAGTACATACATGTGCTCATCTATGACAACATTCAGCATGCGCTATTATCATCATCTTTTTCTATGTGTATTCTTCTTATATGACAACAAACCTAGGAGACAAACGATACCATCACCCCTATAATCTTTTCGTACAAGATATGTATCCTCGGGTGCACTGATCATTATTAGCATATTAATCGGACCATGGTCAACTTGAAGAAAATACCAAACAAGCTATCATAGGCCGATCTTACTCAAGGCAGGGAAAGGATCATCATGCATTTCCCCACCAATAGGATCGACCCTTCAACTCGCCCCTCTCTTAGCTAGTTACACAACCACGCCCCTCTGCATCTTTGGCTATAGTCATGCTACTTGACAATGAACAAAGACCACTTCTCATATAGCATCAAGCTTACAAACATAAAGGTGCCTGTATCTCCGAACTTTACAATGAAACGTGGGGTTTTTATTAGAGCAACGTGCTCGGCTTGGTCAACAGCACCTTGTGCGAAAGTTTCACGTTCAATGTCGCAACTAGCCCAAAAAATATTTTTTTTGGTCGTCGTCGTCGAAGAGGTCGACCCCCAGATCCAGTTTGGCTGGTAGCGACATTGCGAAATCTGGGATTGGCAAGCTTGATCGTGAAGCTTTCACCCAAGGTGCAGTTGGCCAAGCCGAGCACATTGCTCTAATAAAAACCACACGTTTGATTGTAAAGTTCGGAGATACAGGCACCTTTACGTTTGTAAGCGTGATGCTATATGAAGAGTGGTCTTTGTTCATTGTCAAGTAGGTGGACCCTGGCAGAGCCAAAGATGCAGAAGGACCTCTTTCGGTAACTCAGCTAAAAAGCCAGGACTTCAGGGACAATGCATGACAGGTACGCAACCCCACTTTTATGTCATACATTGGCAGCGAATAGCCACTTTTGTGCATTCCCAACTTTTGTGAGTTCTATTGTAGGTGGACGATGCTCCTGCTCTAGACATTCATTTCCATGATTAAAGTAGGTTGATCCGAGCTGATTTGGTTGAGTTACGCTCCCACAAGATTACATCGGTTGAGCTACATCGAGCGTGCTCTATGTCGAGAGTGATGTAATCTCTCTTTGGCCGCAGCTCAGTCAAATCAGCTCGGATCAACCTACTTTAATCATGGAAATGAATGTCTGGAGCAGGGGCATCGTTCCCATGCAGCGGATCTCGCAACAATGATGATTGGATAAAAGTGGCCGTTAGCTAGCAATACATGCCTGTTCCTAGATGATCCATAAAGTAATTATACATTGGCCCTTTCATTCATGCAAACGTAGCTGTGTTACACAACACGACCCTCTGCATCTTTTGCTCTGCCAGGGTCCACGTACTTGACAATGAACAAAGACCACTCTTCATATAGCATCACGCTTACAAACATAAAGGTGCCTGTATCTCCAAACTTTACAATGAAACATGGCGTTTTTATTAGAGCAATGGGCTCGGCTTGGCCAACAGCACCTTGTGCGAAAGTTTCACGTTCAATGTCGCAAACAGCCCAAAAATATTTTTTTGGTCATCATCGTCGAAGAGGTCGACCCCCAGATCCAGTTTGGCTGGTAGCGACATTGCGAAATCTGGGATTGGCAAGCTTGATCGTGAAACTTTCACACAAGGTGCTGTTGGCCAAGCCGAGCACATTGCTCTATTCAAAGCCCCACGTTTCATTGTAAAGTGTGGAGATACAGGCACCTTCATGTTTGTAAGCGTGATGCTATATGAGAAGTGGTCTTTGTTCATTGTCAAGTACGTGGACCCTGGCAGAGCAAAA